GAATCTCCAACGTATATTCTCATCACATCATCCACAAACATACTCAACTGACGCAAGAGTTAACTTGCCGCAACACAAACAACCCAAATCCAACAACTTCACCATACCAAACTCGTCAAAATGTGTCAATTATCCAGCACCGCTACCATATGCGACTCCTGCCGTCATCTCATCGACTACACCTCCAGCAAGTCCTTCTGCCCTCTTGTCTTGAACCCCGTGATGTGTAATTTAAGCCTGAAACCCGTCGATGAAAATCTAGAGTGTCCTCAGAACCCTGCGATTCAAGTCAACAAAGAGCGAGCGTGTCTTGAAGAGCCAAAGGATACAACTCGTTATGTTCCTAAGCAGTTTTGTAAGCGTTGTGATGCCCAAGACTGTCAAGTACCCAGCCCCGGACTTTTAACTTGAGGCGGAGTTCCCGTTGCCGAGCCGGAAGCTTGAGATGGAAGGGAGGCTAAATTTTATTGGGTAAGGCGAGCTTGGAGGATGGTTACCCTGAACGAAGAGCATTGAAGGACGCTCGTCCACTCATTAATGTTCATGGTAGCTGTCACTAAATAAAGGCAACAGATTTTCTCTGTTGACTCATATTTTTTATGTTATTGTATTGATGAAATGTGATTCTGAATGTTGAGAAGAGTAAGCATTGTAAGTTGTTAGCTACCTGGATCCCCATATTCCGAGGTCAGCACTTTACACTCACTACTGATCGCGTGTAAGTCTGCGATACCGGCTTTGTTGTTCACATCTCCATTGCTTCAGCAGTTCATCTCAAAGTTGCGGGACTACATCACTCACCGAAAGTCCGGCAGAATGGCTCCAACAATTTCATCCAGCAGGGATCTTCATGGCCAATTCCGAGACTACACTCAAAGCATCGTCACATCCGGCCAACGATGAACGCTACCAACTTCCTTACTCAGAAATGTGGAGGTGCAATAATTTATCGAGTCAGAAAACCCTGATTTCTCCAATGTAACCCAGAGGCATGACCACGAGACTGGTAAAAGTCGATTGACTTTTCGGATGTAAACATAAACCCGAGTCACCTACTGACAGTTCAGGGCTATCCATGATGGGAATAAAGTCATGCACCTTAAGAATACTATGGCCGAGTATACACCGATTAGAAAGAGCATTAAAACACAACGGCAATTATAAACGGGAGTTTAGATGTCGTCCGAGATGCGGAACTAATACGAAGATATTAGTGAGAGCAATTGACTTGTCGTGTGGCTGATAACGTTATAACCCAGATAGAATACATTTCGTCCCGTCATGATGGCCTGAACGGTAACGACTCCGGGCCGAAGCCACTGTAACATCAGCGTCACCAGGCCGCTGCACTGGGTCGATAAAACTTTTGACAGAACCCGATTATCGTGGAGAAGGGAAAAAAGGACTCAACCTTACCCTGACAGTTACAGGGAAGAAACCAAGGTTTCTGTGGGATCTACACCTGTTTTCAGGTATACAATTCGTATGGTTTTGATTCCGATCTCCATCAACGTTAAAAAGCTACCTAATTTCTCCGCATGAACGAAGCGTGAGAGTCCACAACAGGGCCGATTTGAATTGCGGAGAGGAAGGTGTCTCCCCCAGACTTGAGAGACATCCCCAGCAATTGAGATGAATAGGCTAACCTCACAGACAAACTCAGTATAAATTTCGCTGGGAGAACTTCGGATCCTCGGCCAGATAGCGGCCGTATTATTCATTCTGTGGAGTGGTAAACCTGGGGCATGACACCATCACCAACAGTCGGGAATATCTTCCATTGGACACAGCGGCTAAGCTGCGGTAGATCTGTAGGAGTTCAAGTTCGCCGATGGAGATTAAACTGGGAATGGCATCACACGACGGGTTCGCATCGTGAAGGAAAATGCTACTCCGTATCGTTCATGTGAGCTAGTGAGTCGTTTCCTCTGTGCGGGGGGGTAATTGAAGCCGACGCTAACACTTGGAAATTCTGCAATGACGCAGTTTCTGTAGTAGCAAGAGAGGTTGGACTGGTGATCGCCGAGGGAAAGTGTAGCCGGTGCTGGGAATATATAAGTTGTAGTTGATAGCCTCACAAAATGAAAGAGGATCATCATCACTGAGCGCCATTCATCTTTACTCTCTCACAATGGCTAGCATTCGATCTGTGTTGGTCTCGGGTCTTTTGGCCGCGGGTGTTAATGCTCAAGCCTACGATTCGAGTGATCGCTCTGAAGATGCTTTTAGCTGGGTTCAGCCTAAGAATACCACTATTCTTGGACAATATGGCCACTCGCCTCATTATCCTGCCAGTATGTTCATCAACTCCATCAATTGAGGTTGAAGCTGTACTGACATTCTAGACAATGCTACTGGCAAGGGCTGGGAAGATGCCTTCGCCAAGGCCCAAGACTTTGTCTCCCAATTAACACTCGAGGAAAAGGCCGACATGGTCACAGGGACACCAGGTCCTTGCGTCGGCAACATCGTCGCCATTCCCCGTCTCAACTTCAACGGTCTATGTCTCCATGACGGCCCCCTCGCAATCCGTGTAGCAGACTACGCCAGTGTCTTCCCCGCTGGTGTATCCGCTGCTTCATCATGGGACAAGGACCTCCTCTACCAGCGCGGTCTCGCAATGGGACAGGAGTTCAAAGCCAAGGGTGCTCACATCCTCCTCGGCCCTGTCGCCGGTCCTCTTGGACGCTCGGCGTACTCTGGTCGTAACTGGGAGGGTTTCTCGCCGGATCCTTACCTCACCGGTGTTGCGATGGAGGAGACTATCATGGGACACCAAGATGCGGGTGTTCAGGCTACTGCGAAGCACTTCATCGGTAATGAGCAGGAAGTCATGCGAAACCCTACTTTTGTTAAGGATGGGTATATTGGCGAGGTTGATAAGGAGGCTCTTTCGTCTAACATGGATGATCGAACTATGCATGAGCTTTACCTCTGGCCTTTTGCCAATGCTGTTCATGCTAAGGCTTCTAGTATGATGTGCTCGTACCAGCGTCTCAACGGCTCCTACGGCTGCCAGAACTCAAAGGTTCTGAACGGTATTTTGCGAGATGAGCTTGGTTTCCAGGGCTATGTCATGTCCGATTGGGGTGCTACCCACGCCGGTGTTGCTGCCATCAACAGCGGTCTCGACATGGACATGCCCGGTGGTATTGGTGCTTATGGCATGTACTTCACCAAGTCATTCTTCGGTGGTAACCTCACCCGCGCTGTCAACAACGGTACCCTCGATGAGACCCGCGTCAACGACATGATCACCCGTATCATGACTCCCTACTTCTGGCTCGGCCAAGACAAGGACTATCCCTCCGTCGACCCCTCCAGCGGCGACCTCAACACCTTCAGCCCCAAGAGCACCTGGTTCCGCGAGTTTAACCTCACCGGCGAGCGAAGCCGCGACGTCCGCGGTAACCACGGTGACTTGATCCGCAAGCACGGCGCCGAGTCCACCGTCCTTCTCAAGAACGAGAAGAACGCCCTTCCCCTCAAGAAGCCCAAGTCCATTGCCGTCTTCGGCAACGATGCCGGTGATATTACCGAGGGTTTCTACAACCAGAAGGACTACGAATTCGGAACTCTTGTCGCTGGTGGTGGTTCTGGAACTGGTCGTTTGACATACCTTGTTTCGCCGCTTGCTGCTATCAATGCTCGTGCTAAGCAGGATGGCACGCTCGTTCAGCAGTGGATGAACAACACCCTTATTGCTACCACTAACGTCACTAATCTCTGGATCCCTGCTACTCCTGATGTCTGCCTGGTTTTCTTGAAGACTTGGGCTGAGGAGGCTGCTGATCGCGAGCACCTTTCCGTTGACTGGGATGGCAACGATGTTGTTGAGTCTGTTGCCAAGTACTGCAACAACACTGTCGTCGTCACTCACTCCTCTGGTATCAACACTCTTCCTTGGGCTGACCACCCCAACGTCACCGCTATTCTCGCTGCCCACTTCCCCGGTCAGGAGTCTGGTAACTCTCTTGTTGACCTCCTCTACGGCGATGTCAACCCCTCTGGTCGTCTTCCTTACACCATCGCTTTCAACGGCACCGACTACAACGCTCCTCCTACCACTGCCGTCAACACCACCGGCAAGGAGGACTGGCAGTCTTGGTTCGATGAGAAGCTCGAGATTGACTACCGCTACTTCGACGCGCACAACATCTCCGTCCGCTACGAATTCGGCTTCGGTCTCTCCTACTCCACCTTCGAAATCTCCGACATCTCCGCTGAGCCTCTCGCCTCCGACATCACCTCCCAACCCGAAGATCTCCCCGTCCAGCCCGGCGGCAACCCCGCCCTCTGGGAGACCATCTACAACGTGACCGTCTCCGTCTCCAACACCGGCAAGGTCGACGGCGCCACTGTTCCCCAGCTCTACGTCACATTCCCTGATAGCGCTCCTGCTGGTACACCACCTAAGCAGCTCCGTGGCTTTGACAAGGTTTTCCTCGAGGCTGGTGAAAGCAAGAGTGTTAGCTTTGAGCTGATGCGTCGTGATCTTAGCTACTGGGATATCATTTCTCAGAAGTGGCTTATTCCTAAGGGAGAGTTCACTATTCGTGTTGGATTCAGCAGTCGGGATTTGAAGGAGGAGACAAAGGTTACTCTTGTTGAGGGGTAGTCTAACATGTTTATGATGTATGAGATATGCCCTAATTACCTAGATAGTGAGTTCACGTTAATGTTAGTTCAAAGTAGTTTCTTGTGCCTGTAACAGCTTTTATGACCCATGTGGTGTTAAGTCAGTTGTGCGAAGAAACTGCTCTGGGGTGTGCAGTGTTTGGCAGTGATGTGGATTGACAGTGGCCGATTAGGTTGAACATCAAAGCACGATGCTCCCCTGACAACGCCAGAGAGGGTTATCCTCCCCCCTTCACCTAACAACGCAAGACTTCCGTCTCCCGACTCTACAGACATTCACGAAGAGTCCTTGAGGTGACCTCTCATCTCGTAAGTCACTGTGCTTGGATCAAAAGCAAGATACTGACCTCGCCAGCATTACCATGTCCGACTATCCCCAAGATATGCCGGCGAACTTCGCAAATGGCCGCCGCGGCTGGACCTCCGCGGATCCAGTCTACATGCCCCCAGAACCCGTCTACAAATTCTCCGACTCCGCCCTCCAGGTCGGCCACTTCAAAGAAGATCTTCCCGATGAAATCTCATCCGCCAACCGCAAGAAAAACGCCAAAGCCTACCTCATGGTGAAGCGCGACGGCGACAAGACCGGGTTCCTCTAGTGTGACGCCGATGGCAAGGCCGTGGACAAGTACATCCAGATGACTGAGGGTATTGTCATCAAAAACCTCAAGGATGATCTTGTGGAGATGTACAACTTTCAGGAGAAGAAGCTTGTGGAGAGATACAATTATGGAATCATTATTACGATGAGTCGACGTGCTATTGTCAAGTTTGTGGCGCGGGGAACGGCTGAGCCGCCTGTTATTGATGATGAGGACCAGCCTGAGCAGTACTTCAAGCAGCGTGTGTTTTGCAGCGAGACTGATCCTGAGCTGAACTGAGATCTGTTGTTGTGGTAATTGGGGGTACGAGAACAAAGGATGATGGCAGTGTATGAGGACGATATTACATCTCATCTGTTCGTTTGCAGCGACAGATAAAGAACAAAAGAACACCTTCATCCCATTAGTTGTTCAGTGGATGCACGAATTTCTTTGAGCTTCAACTGGAAAGACTTGCTCTTTGTCCATATGTGATGAGTGATGAGTTGAAATGAGAACAGTGGATGTTAACTAACACTTTATGTCCTTTGTTTAATTACTGAACAAAAGAACAGCGGATAGTAACTTGAGCTCATTGTTCAGTATGATGAGTGAGCATGAGATAGCTTACACAGCTCATGACATTAACTTCATCACATCACATCCCAAAGAAAGAATATATAGTCAGTCTCTCCCCTTATGAACACTCCAAGATAACTCATCATTTCATTCAAACAAATACTAACATCTCAAACCAACATCGACATCAACATCTCAACTCAAGATCAAACATGTGTAAACACTACATCACAACAACAAGGTGCCGAGGCTGCGGCCACTGTGTCGACATCGACTTCCACGATACCTACTGCGATGCCTACAAGAAGTCGAAAGACTGTCGCCGAAAAGTCCAGCACGAGCAGAAGGAGGTTGATGCTTCAAAATGCGATGAGTGCAAGCAGAGACGTATGTCACTGTAACTTTTCATATGAGGTAGTACTTACCAGCCCAGAGAAACTAACCGATGAATGTGTGGTCAGGAAAAAAGAGACAAGCTTCAGGTTAGGAGAGCCCAATGCTATAGTTCTAGGTCGTCCTCGTGGAAAATAAGTGAAGCTATCACGAACTCTTGGACGGTTGACTAGCTCAGCTCATTATTTAGTCCAGGGCGTCAATTTTGCAAAGAAAAAAAGTCTATCTAGACACAATAAGAATAAATTAAAATCTATTTTGCTTCGATACTAAGTTTTCTAGTTCTAGTAATGTTTTTGTGAAGTTCTCCCGTGTTATAAAAACGATGTAGGGTATTTCGGTGAAGGTATAGATCAAGTCGCGTACGTGCTTGTCGTGGCTCGATCTGTGGCGTAGGGCTGATCAGATAACCACCGACGAGCTCGCCAAATGCCACATGGACGCGATTGACGATGTTCGTCAAGAAACGATAGGTGTCGTAAACATTACTGAGTCACAGCGCACGATCAGAGTGGGCATTCCGTGATCCACGCAACAGACGTATAGATTGGCGTGGTGTTTACTCTGGCGACCTCAATTGAAGCTTCAGAACGACGAACGGGCCATTGAACCTGATCTTGGGCTCGAAGTCAAATCTAAACTCGAAACAGGGCAGCATTGACTCAATACCAAAGCGCGATGCATCAAACTTACACGCGGTCCCAAGTCCATCATGAAACCAAGCACAAGACATGCTGCTCACTAAACCCTAGAAAGAATCTTCAAAGGTGGATGTCCTGCATAACTACCGAACACAAAAGCGAATAAAAAGCAAGGCAAATAATCCCAGCCAGACTCTTTTATGCTTTTTATTCAAAGGGATTGGTCTACAAGTCTCCAAACGCGAGACCAGTCTCGATGGATTCAATGGTGGAGACGTGTTGAAGAAATTGGAGGTTGAACACCTCGAGACAGGAGGTTGGCTTTTACAACAGTCCCGTTAAAATCTCAACGGCAGTTACTTTACAGCTGAATTGATAATTAACGTGTAATTGAAAGGGAGATATTAAGTTAGAGACAGTAAGAAAAGGGATATACAAAAAAGAAAAGGAGATTCGTTACACATGAGACATCAAACATGTCAAGCAAGGATCTAAAACGCAGCCACTATAACTCAGCGCGTCCAGTGAGCGTCATCGTTGTCGATTCACCAACACGGGTGCCCACATTACCACTCAACGCGCCCCCACGCAAGACCGCGTTAAGCACCTAAATTTTGAAGAAGTCACTAATTTACAGCGCTGTCAACCACTGTAAAAACGCCAACGCCAAAAAACCACGACAGCTCGCGAAGCGCCGCGTTCCCCTTCCCGCGTAAAAGGGTAAAGCGGAGCATGCCTCTTTAAATACCTCCCGGTACCCAACACGAGACCTTTCTTACATCTCACCACCACCTGCACGTTTACTTCCTACATACAAAAGGTTTCACGCTTGGTCGAGTCTTTGGGACCGATAATTTGCCTGATTCATTCTTTTTAACCCTATGATTTAAAAGGAAGTACACTTGTTAAAGAGAGATACTAGACCGCCTTTCGTGTCGTCATCGTTCTGCAAGAGATCTTCTACCACGACGCCTATTGGCGAGACGTCAAAAGGATAAGGGACAAAATTGGCGGAAAAGAAAGATTCGATCTTGATTTCGAATTCTGAGCGAGTTTGACATTTGCACTTTACGCGTGTTTCTGGTCTCGTCTCCTTCGTCTCTGGACGCGATCCAGTTCGACCTCGATCCTCAATCCTCAATCCTCGATCTACAACACCACGAACCGATACAACTCTACACCAGAGCCAAAACACAAAAATGGACTCTCTAGGTTCATCACCACGAAAAGGCTCCTCCGCCGAACCAACACTACCAACAATGAAACCCTACTCCCTCGCCGGCTCCAAGCGTTCAGCACCGAGTCTCCTCCCGCCCTTTGAGCCGCTATCCTCATCTCCAAACCTCCCTCGACCCGTGAAGCGACAAAATCTCGGCTCCATTTCTGGTTCTGGTCGTTCTTCGTCTCGAGCTCACCTCAAATATCCTACTCCTGTTCCTACTTCGAGTACAGGTATCCTCTCGAGTTCCCCGCCTCAACGGTCCGCTACCGCTTCCGAGCGTGCCCCGCTCGCTGCCGTCCCCGCTGTCGAACTCTCGGAAAATGGCGAGACCCTCATCATGGGCCGATCGTCAAATTCGTCACACTACCAGATTTCCGCTGACCGCCTCGTTTCCCGTGTCCACGTAAAGGCTCGCTTCGTTGCTGCTGCGAGTCCTCTTGAGCCCAGTAAGATCGAAATCGTCTGCAATGGCTGGAATGGTCTCAAGCTGCATAGCCAGGGTCGTACTTGGGAGCTGTACAAGGGCGATAGCTTCACCAGTGAAACAGAGGGCTCGGAGATCATTATTGACGTGCAGAACTCGCGTGTTCTCGTCCAATGGCCCAAGCGGGCTCTTGATCATCTCTCTGACACTACTTGGGATTCTCCTCCCTGCCAGGCTCGTGCCCAGGCCATTCTCCAGTCTTCCCCTCCTCGTCGCGCTTCTCGTATTGCTTCTCCCGAGAGCCCCACGCCTGCTAGTCTGTCTAGCTCCCGCCGCCTCCAGGCTCTGCTACCCGGACAGCGTGACATTGAAATCTACGAAGATGATGCTGAGCCTGAGCTTCCTGAGCACAAGCATGATCCTACTAGCATCAATGTCAGCATGTGCACCGAAATGACTGCCAGCTTCAGCAGTGAGGTCAGTGATGGTGAGGACCACAACCCCGATGAGGAGAATGATCCTATCGTGCACTCTTTCGGTCCTTTTGGCGCCGACATTTCCTGCCGGTTGGCTTCGATAACGACAAAGTCTCCCAAGGTGTTCAAGAGTGTCAAGCGTGCCAACCCTCTCCACAGCGCCATTGCTTCCGATCTGTTCGCTCCTCGTCAGATTCCTGCTGCTCCTCAGTCTCCTCGCAAGCAGCAAGCCAGAACGGAGTCTCCACTCTCATCTCCTCCTCGCATGTCTTCTCCCACTCCGGAAATCTTCAGGATGTCCTTCGAGTCCAACCCTGCTGTTGGTAACCATGTTATCAACCAGCTCGCCTTCTCGCGTCTGTCTTCAACTCCTCTGTCCACCATCATGGCGCACCTCCCCTCCGAGGAGAAGCGAGATATTTCCAAGGACGATCTCCGCGATGTCATTGAGAGCACACCCTGCATTGGTATCATCAAGCGTCAGGGCAAGGACGCCGCTGGCAAGCCCCTGGAGAGCGAGTACTACTACGTCCCTGAGGAAGACGACGACCAGCAGCGTCGTGCCGCAGTGGTCGATGGCCTTCGCAAGCCCAGTCTCCGCGCTTGTCGCAAGCAACACAAGGTTTGTAACATTCATCATTTCACAATTGGGACTCAAGACTTACACTATATAATAGCAATACTACTGGAAGCGACCCAAGACTCCTTGATCCACTTGTCTTTTCACGTACATACGATTCTTCACTCCGAGAGATGACTACATGATTCTCAAAGTTTCTTGTTTAACGGTGGATGTCTGTTTTTTTGCTGTATACCCCCATTTTTATTTCCATGTTTCTACATTTCTTTCTTGTCCCTGACGGCTCTCATGTTTCGCAAACTGCATAGCATTGGCGTCTTAGTTTTATTTCTGCATGATGGAGTTGGAAAGGTTTAACAAAAAAGGGAAGACGATATGATATGCCTTGTGTTGAACATATAGAAAGCAAAGGGCTTGGGGTAGCGTATTCTTGTACCTGTTTTTAATGTGTGTATGGTATGTTGTATGAGAGCAAAGCAATGGAATATTTTCCCTGTTAATTTGGTTTGCTTATGTGAGGAAGTCATCCAGTTGGTGGATGATCTGATGAGCATCACGAGGTCAACTAATGGTCTCGACTTTTACGTGCATGATTCCACCAACGAACGAGGCCTGTAGCCCTTAACCCGGGGACATTTGGGGTACCCCGGAGAATGCCACATGCATTTGATGTAACTCCAGAACCTCAATTTCTGTTTTACCCGGCAGATCAACCTGTAGAAACAATACCGAATAAAGACAGATGCATATTCAATGATACAACCCAAGAATACTTACAAATCACAGTGGAATATCTGTGAATCACTGCATTGATTGCTTATCACCGCATTGATTGTTATTATCACAGCATTATATCCACCATCACACGACACCCAAATCCCGAGGTCCGATCTTGTCCATCAAAACTCTAAAAGCCCGAGATAATCACGCCTCAGCGTCACTTTATGCGTCAGGCCATTCAATTCGCCACATCCAATCATCTACATCCGTATCTCCAATCAGTCACCCCAAGTGAACGCTTGGGTCCAATCAGTCACGTCTGCTTGCTCAAATGTACGCTTGAGTCACGCTTGTAGGGGTTGAGCTGAAGAGGGGATTCTCTTAGATCTAATTGTGCTTCCCGGGAAGAACTGTGTATAAATATGACAAGAAGGTCCTGATTGAAAGGAAGCTGCAAGTAAGAAAGTTAAACTTAACATACCTTGATTAAAGTATCAATTGACTTTATTGTTATTGAGGGTAAGTGCGCTGAAGGGTAATGGGGTATAAGACATGCTGATTGAAACTACAGCAACTCACATACCAACAAACCTCTATATCAACATTCGCCTCACCCCAACATCAAACCTACAACCCAATCGTTCAATATAATATTATCATTCACAATGGATCGCCAACCAACAACAATCTCAACATCCCACACAACCCCTCCCTCAGAAGGTACTACAACCTACACGCTTCCAATTCTGCACAAGCTGACATCGACATCCGCAGCTCCAACTTCTCCATCCGCCCAAGCCGGTGCCGACCGATGCATGCGCCACACGAATAGCTGGACCCCCTCGATCCAGCGACGACAGAGCTGGAGTCCTGAGGAGCAGAAGCATGAGATGCACATGAACAAGATTGGGCAGGTAGCTACAGGTCCTGGATTCACAGAGCGAGAGGGCTCTTAGATCAGAAATGTTGGGATAAGGACAAAAGGGAAATTGTAATTGTACGGAAGGCTTTAATGGAATGGGTATGGAAAACACAAGGAGGCAAAAAAGTCACGGACATTGTACACTACAGATTGGCTACCAAAAGTATCAGCCCAAGAATGAACACGATTGCTTTATAAACGAATGTCATTGTAATCATAGCTATCGAATGATGCAAATTGATGTGCCGAGGTATCTTGACTCCTTAGCTCCGTGTTATCATGCTCCGCTGAATGCGTCCCACATGTAAACTTCCAACCAACAAAGAAAACAGGCTGTCATACCATAAACGCTGGGGGATGGCTGAGGCATCCTCAAGCCCAATCGCTGAAATCCCAATGCCAAACTCCGAAGCAATTTCATTATATGCCTTAAAACTGAGCCTTTGCAAAACTCCCATCCTACCACATAAAAGGCACTGTCGTTCGAGCTAATTCCGTATCCCATCGTATCCCCTAGTTCTGCTGCTTCACATCAGAGCTTCTAGTATTCAAAGACTTCGTTAACAAGGCCGCTGCGTAAGCCGATCCTGCAACCACACCAGTTCCCACCAGAATCTTGCGCCCGATGCTTCTCTTCTTGGTCGACTTCTTCGTCTTAGAATTCATCGATCGCCGAGTTGAGAATCGCTTAGATCTTTGGCACTGGCTGTCAGTCCAAATCCTGGAAATGCTGTCAGAGGTGGGAGAGGTTCCACCTTGACTGACCATTTTATCGGCTGACTGCATTTTACGAAAGATCAACATCTGCCCGCTTCCCGACACTACTTCGTAGCCTTCCTTTTGAAGTGACTTGAAGTAAGGTAGAAACTTGGCAGGGTCCACCAGCTTGACAAGAGCATCAGGAATGGGCATTGGGTTGTCGCTAGCGCCGACTGCGGAATTGGCTTCAGCCACGCTCATCACCCTCGAAACTGGGTCAAAAGCGACAATCTTGTAGGAAGCCATATTGGGCATCTCTGATGTCTTTGTCGTAGACTCTTTAGGCGTGTAATGTTTCTCCATGACAGGCATTGTTGGGCGCCCACACTCTTCGGAATAACTTGTCTGCAGACCCTGAGGTTCGCGCGAATACAGGTCCTTAATCCTCTTGGCCGCATAGCGATCTAGTGCCGTTTTTAATCTTGTGTCATCCACAGGAAAGCTCTCGTCCATAGATCCGGGCTCAATATCATCTTCCATAGCGCTTGAGGTTTCTTTCACGGGTGGTGATGTTCCTGAAATGTTATTGGGAAGCAGTACCGACTTGGATGATGAATTGTCCCTGCTCCAGGACCTGGCAAAATCCTCGGGAAAGTCACGTACATAGTTCCCCGTAAGTTTGGAAACATGCGCCGTCTTGACCTGTTGACCTCTGTTGCTAGACAGATCTTGGTTCTTGGCTCGTTGACTGCTTTCTTGGGCTCTGCGAAGGACTGCAGCTCGGATGACATCGGCGCTTTCAGGGCCGGAAGGGTCAATATTAATTTCCGTAGAGCCGGGAGAAGACCTGTTCGGGGATCGAGAATAAGTATATAATGCTGAATCCGGGGAATCTTGGGAACCTGCCTTGGAATCGAACTCTCGGAGGCCGCGGGCGACTTCATCCAGAGGGACCGACATCTTGCCAGGGGGTTCGTTGGGACGAACTCCTGTGTACTTGCGCAGGTCCTGGAAGACCTTGGAGGCCTCCTCGGGCTGAACAGGATAGCCCTGAGCCTGGGAAGCAAACTCGGAGTGCCTGTAACTGCCAAGATCCGTGTAATTCTTGCTCCGCTCCTCAGGATGCACCGCCTGGATGATGTCGTCAAAGCCAGCTGATGGATACTTGTGTAGATCCTTGTACTGCTTTGATGCCACTTCCGGGTGAACGCGCTCTGTGTGGGGGTCGCCATTCTCGAAAGAACCATACGCACCCAAGTCAGCATACTTCTTCGACGCAACCTCAGGATGGATACGCGGTGTAGGGTCATCCGCGTTCTCGAATTTGCGGTAGGCGGGGAGATCCTTGTACACCTTGGAAGCCTCTTCAGGATGGACTTGCTCGACAGGGGGTGACAAGTCACGAGCAGCATACTTATGAACGTCTTTGTAACGCTTTGACTCCTCCTCTGCCGTCAACGGTCGCAAACCATCAGGCTCATTCCACTTGAAGCCACCGCGGTACAAGTGAAGGTCGTCATAATTCTTGGATAACTCCTCAGGGGTAGGCTCTCTGAGACCATCTGGCTCGTTCCAGTGGTAAGGACCATACTTGTGAAGGTCATCATACTTGCTTGCAAAGTCCTCGACTGGAGCATCGACCTTCGGTGCTACGGGCTTGCCTCGCATGGTACGGTCCATCTGCGCCTTCTCGTGGGCCTTCAAAACCGACTGACTGGCTTCAAAAGGATCTGCGTATTGATCCAAATCCTTGTACTGCTTGGACTCCTCCTCAGGCGTCAGACGACGCAGACCGTCAGGCTCATTCCATTCAACAGGTTTGTACAAATGAAGATCTTTGTAGTTCTTGGAACGTTCCTCAGGCGTGGGCTCACGCAGGCCATCGGGTTCGTTCCAATACACACCTCTGTCATACATATGCAGATCGGCGTAGTTCTTGGAAAGTTCCTCAGCAGTCTGTGGCCTTTTTCCATCAGGCTCGTTGTGGTAGACTGGCTTGTACTGATCCAAATCATCATAGACCTTGGATTGCTCTTCAGCGGTCAATTGACGTTTGGCTAGCGGGTCGTCCAAGTTCGCAGAGGAGTACTTGTCAAGATCTTTGTACTGCTTAGAATCCTCTTCGACTGTAGTATGTCGCTTTCCATCAGGCTCATTGTACTTGACAGGGCCGTACTTGTCCAAATCATCGTATTCGGTAGACTTCTCTTGAGGTCTCTCATCGATTACAGGTTCATACTTATCAAGATCGTCGTACTTGGGTTGATCTGGCTGCTTGGTCTCAGTATCGACTGTAGGCTTGTACTTGTCCAAGTCGTTATACTTGGGAGTCGAGTCAGCCTCGACAGACACATCAACGAAGTCAGTTGGCTTGTAGTCTCGTTGGGCTTCGCATCGAGCTGCTGTTCCGACCATTGTAGACTTTGACACCCGGCGATTTGTTATAGGATCGATGAAAGTAGCATCTTGTCCGTGAACAGCAGAGAAGAGTGTGTCTTTCGAGCTTGCCGCACTTGCACTTGCAGGACTGAAGTGGTGAGCATTGGTAAGAGTAGCCTTGCGAATGTTGGCCTTGCTATCACCTCGAAACAAGTGCTCAATAGCACTTCGCTCCACATCTTCAATATTCGCTCCTGGTCGGATACCAAATAGGTCACCGGCCCAGGTCGTAACTTGATCAATGGTAGGAAACTTTGAGACATCGGCGGATCGGTTGAGGCCTTTTGCAGCCTTCTTGGCAGAAACTTTGGACTTGGCGTCCCAAGAAATGCTGCGATTCAACGATACAGGTTGCTGGAATCTGATTGAACCACGCCGGCGTCCATTTCGGAACTCAGAAGAGGTCGAAGATGACACGGCGGGAGAATAGTGTCTGCATTGCTCGCATTTCGATTGTAACGAAATAGTAGAACGTAAAACATTCGCAGTGCCAGTGCGAGACTGGACAAGTCGTTCACTTGTCCAGATGCGTGTTGCCGCTAGCATGGTGTAGTAGAGCTATGGATGACCTAAAATGAGCTGGTTAAGGTCAGTACTGTGTAAGTGAGTCAAGTAGTAACACATGCTGGTTGCGAATGCCAAACATGTTGCAGAAGCTATCAACTTACAAGTATGATTGAGGGCGAGCACCCAGGTCACAATCCTGGGGCTGCTATTGGAACAGTTCAAAAGGCACGGTACGTGATGTAAGGCTGGAAACCGAAGCCGTCGGTTCTTGAAGTGAGACAGTAGTGACTAACACGGTGAAAATTGTATTGAATGCGAGCGTAAACTGATGTAAACTGAATGTGAATAATGTGAAACTGAAGAATGAAAAGAAAAGATGACGAGCTACATGAGGGGAACCCAAGACCTTAAAACACACTGGATGGACGGAACGGAAACGACGAACGACGACACGCGATGGGGCCTTGTTTGGTCAGGGACGGCCTGCGGTTCAATAAAGGCCGGGGGAAGGCACTAATGGAAGTGGAGACCCTATAAAGTTGGGGGGAGTGGAGAGGACATGGCCTAAGAAAAAGAGGGGACATGGAGAGAAACAGCCAGTGTAAGATACAATTGGATTGAGGATTGTGAAAGAGCTAGAGCTGGAGGAGGGGCTTGTTTGGTGACGCCGTGAAACCGTAACACGACTGACCAGTTGTGACTCGTGTTGAAAGCCTCTTGTGTCTTGTTACATTGTATTCAGATTCACTCAGAGACTTCAGTCCACAACCCGGTAAGAATAGAGCTTACCAAGCGCCGCAAACGTGTCTCAACCTGCTGACGGTTTAAGGCATTGAGAGCTCTACCTATCTTAGGTACTTTAGGTACCCCAGGCAGGGAAGTATTCGGACCATTCAACCGCTGTAACGAACCGTGACTGCAGAAGTATCGACTGCTCAGACCCACTGCTCGTCGTCCATTTGCGGGGAACGCTGTTCCCGCCCCGCCTGTCCGTGAACCAGCCGTTGACGTCAAGCTCGCAGGGCCCAGAGCCTCTGCTTGGGGAGTTAATGATGGGCACATCTGTTTACACAGCCGCTTGCTATTTGACTGGAAGATCTTGTGAAACAGTGGCTTCCTTGATCCCAGACCAGCAAGTAACTATCGTGACCTCCAAAAACAGACATTCCGCTCATTATCAAGCGGCCGCTCAAAGTTGTTAATGGTGCGGCTCACGCGAGGTGGCAGGGATGGTCGAGGTTGGCTTATCTGGTCTTTGCTAGGGTCTTTGTGGCTTTGAACCCCTAAGACATTCGATTATGAGGACAAACGCAAGCAGACATGGATTCGATGCGACAGTATTGAACCGGAAAAGGTGGAAAAGATATCAACAAATGCGGTTCTCTCTTCTCAACTTAAAAGAAGTGTTGCTATCGTGACGCCGGCCTCGACGGTCTCGGCTGAATTTAACATTTTGACAGACTGTTGAGGCTATGTTTGTTTGTTTGGTGATTGATTTATGGCGCATATCGCGGCGATTAAAAGACTCAATCCTACCTGGCGTGCCGCAACCAATCGTAAGACGACAGGGGCTTTTGTTGTCTGAAACCAAGGGATGAATTGCTCTCACATGCTTGCATGCAGTGGCGATTCATTGCAACCTGAAATACAGGTCATCAATTCAGCAAACCAAGGCCACCAGCATTCTTTGCTTTCTTTTTGCAAGACACAAGACATGCAAAGCCAAGTTGGTCATGCTCTATTATAGTTCTTGCATTGACAGTTACAAACTTTGAGCTTATACTGATGCTCTGCTTGTCATTGAGATAATTGGTATCACTAACTGATAAGTCACTTCTGTGCCTCTGTGAATCGATAGTGTATTTCATGCTGTAAGTCGACGGTTTGAGAAGTAATTGCAGGGGTTCCGTAAGCTGATTGGCACACTGTGTGAGCCGCAGCACGTATGTCCTTAGTAAACCGAGGGCACTCGATGGTTCCTCCAGCGGGCGCTAAATTAAGGGAATACCGTGAAAGATCCAATGTCTGTAAGCCAGAGAATCTTATAATTATTCATGCCTTAATTATACCCTCTTCACTTAGGTAAACCAGACTCTTGGAGTGACTTGTGATAAAATGATAGGTATTTCTATGGAGGGTCTCAGGTCCAGGTTAGCTAGGACATCGTGAAGAAAAAGCTGGACCACTTTCTATTGGTAGAACACTTGCGACCTGAAGTTTTTCCTACGTATAAGCTTTGATCGAAATTAAGATGAAAGTTATTTTCCTACCTACTGGAGAATATGTGGCATCTATAGGTCACAAAGGAATTATACGCAAATATTTCGCTGAAGCTTCTCATGTTTGGAAACTAACACTCACGATACCGTTTGTCATCAACCAGGCTGGGAAGATCGGCGTGAGTCAAGACAGCCAGGGCTAGGGATGAGAGTTATTAACGAGGAAGTTTGAGAGCAATTAGTGTTTAATTGCAGGTATTAAATATCCCTGACTTCGCTTCCAGTTCTACCATATCATCTCTCAACTTCATCAACTTTGCCGTCATCCATCGTCTACATCTGTCGTGAGAGAGGCTCATACAGTGGATAGCCCGACCCGCCCTCTCTCACACACGCCCGAAGGTGTCAAAAAAGCCTAGTCTAAAGACCCACTAAGTTATACTGAACTTACCCAAGTCTTTTTGTCATTGAGGATAAAGGTCCTAAGTTTTCTCTCCTCCCCTAGCCCCGGTCCGTGCTCCCATGTGACATCACTTCCTCACCACCAAATTTGATATCATCATCAGCCTTGCAAGCCTCAACCGCCGAGCAGCACCTGTCACTTCGCATCAATATATTTACCTGGCCCCCACCGAATAAATCACAGTCATGAAGCGGTCTCAAGGGAAACCGACCGGCCGTGGTTTTGAAGGACCCCGCTCCGGTTTCTCGGGCTTCGGAGGCTTTGGCACCGCCGCCTCCGGAACTTCCTTGTCGTACCTCGCCGAGCCTCCTTCATTCGTTGCGGTTTCGGATCCGAATGTTGTTGTGTCGCTCAAGAATGTTTTGAAGAAGGATAGCACTACCAAGGCTAAAGCGCTCGAGGAGCTACTAGCTTATGTACAGGCTCATCCATTCGACAAGGATGGCGGGGTTGACGAGGGCATCCTCGACGTTTGGGTGAGTTACCATTTGACAGTTCTTGAACATTTCCAGAGTTACTAACATGAATAGGTCCAAATATACCCTCGCACATCTATAGATAACTCACGTCGCGTGCGTGAATTGACGCATAACCTCCAGTTTGAGCTCATGAAATCAGCTCGCAAGCGCTTTGAACGTCATCTGCCAAAGATCGTCGGCGCATGGCTTGCCGGCCTGTATGACCGTGACCGCGTTGTTGCCAGGGCTGCTAGTGACGGTCTAACCTCGTTTCTGAACACCCCTGAAAAGGTCCTTGCGTTTTGGAACAAGTGCCAGGGCCAGATCCTTGACTATGCTATTGATGCTATTCAAGAAACGCAAGACTCTCTGAGTGATGAACGTTCAACGACAGCAGAGGATGCTGAGGCAAAGTACTTTCGAGTTGTTACCGCCAGCTTATCACTTGTCTTGGGTTTACTACAAAAAGTCGAGCCAAGTAACTTGGAGAAGTTGCAATCTCGATACGATGACTATTTTGCCGAGGAAAATGTTTGGAAGACCATTACGTTCAACGACTCGTCAGTTAGGAAGACAGTATGCCAACTACTGTTTGCTTCTATCGACCGGAAATTACCTTACGCCGATGATACGAAGGTCAAGCAAGCCTTCGTCACGGGAGGCCTAAAGACCAACCAAGCTGGCTCAGCGCTCGAATATGTACGAGCGTTGACAAAAATGACACAAACATACCCCGATGTTTGGTCATCAGCGAAGACATTGAGCGGTCCAAAGTCTCCCCTCGGCAGGCTGCAAGCCTTCATCGCCAAGGGTTCTCAGGGAAGCCCGCCAAAGTTCTGGGAGTACCTAGATCAACTACTGATGGTTCTGCCATCAGATTTGATCACACCTGAGGTCGCCTCCCAATTTCTGACTTCTCTCAAGTCTGGTATCACACATCGCGATGAGCCTCGAACGAATACTTCTTATGCATGGAAGTGCTTCATCGACACAGCCAAGCGACTGCTGAAGAACTTACCCGCCGACGACCAACTACCCTTTGTTCAAGAACATCTCTTCCCTCTCATCGAGCAGTTCTTATTCTCAGTATCAGAAAAGACAGTGGCTATACCGCTCGGCCCAAACGCGATTTCCGTCCTGGTAGAAGCCTACATCGCCACTGTCCAAGCGTCACCATCAGTGGTGTCCGCGTCCAAGGAGGAATGGGACCGACTCGCCAGCGTCTTCTGCGCAAAGATTTCCGGGTCGCTGCCCGAGGTTTCACGAGAGTACCAACAATCTCAAGAAAAGATCTCCGAAGAAGGTCGACGGTGGTTCGGCCTCGTGGGCCAGATTGAGGAGAAGATAGCTGATCTCGAAGAAGACGTGCCAGACCATACAGCTCAGCCCTCTCTCAAGGCTATTTCTCAGAGTATCACACTTTTGGAGAGCCGGAATTTAAAGCCATTTGGCGCAGCTCGAATCATCGAATATGCATTGAGTATGGCACCTCGCTTATTCGACGGTGATGGAGCTGTAAAGCTCTCGACGTTCTTCACTACTTTGGCTCGTGATGATGCTGCCAAAGCTGTCACTTCGCCCTCTTCCCGGTACCTGCTCTCTTCGCTTCACCTTCTCGGCTCCGTGTCAACTCAGTTCGCACCTATCTGGAACTCTTGGGTCGAGGCTGTCCTCGATCTGCCATCAGAGGCTACTCGTGATGTCGCCCTCGCCTCCTTGATCTCCAACGATAGAGGAGCTGTTCTCGCCAAGGGTAACATGGACTTGCAAAAGCACATTATTGGTCAGGCTGTTCTTTTAGCGGTCGGTGGTAGCAATGATTGGGAATTGTTGGAAGCTGCTGTCACATATCAGACTCTTACAGACAGTAATTACCGAGAGCTCGTTCAAGCTCTTGTCGAAATCCTTGAGAAGGAGCCCGCGAAGACAGAATCTACCCTCCAAGCTTTGGAGATCGCAGCTAAGGGTCGACCAGAGCTGTTCTCCCGCGATGAACGCGTTCATACAACATTGGTAGCTCTGCTTCTCGGCCTATCTGAGCTTGAGGACTCTACCATTTCTTCCAAGGCAACTTCTATCCGCACTCTTCTCGACACTCACACTGATGGAAAGCTACCTGTTATTGCTGTCGTTCAAGCTAACCTTGAGCGAGCGGGAACGCAGTCTCTGGATATCAACACGTTGGTGTCGCAAGCATACAATGCAGCCTCGAGTGATATCCCATCTGAAGAGCTCTTCCCAAGCACCAACGTGTGGATGAAGGAGCTTGCGCCATTCTTGGAATTGTCCGTCAATCCGGCTCTATCAATTACCAACAGCATCGGCGGTGCTGCTGCATTGGTAAAGGGAGCACCTCGATCTACAAACCTACGGACTTATCGGGACAGGAAGGGACGTGCCATACCCACAAGAATGGCCCTCTACGTGTCTCAGCTTTCGGAGAAGCTTCCACTGTCTCAACTGCCCAAGCCCTTCCAGCTTGAGCTGTTGTATCTTCAATGCCTGACTGTGCAGCTTATCTCTGACCAAATCACTTTCATGGAGGAGAACCGACTGTGGCAAACTCTGAAGCATGCTGAAGCTAGCGCACAGGCTGAGGAGTTCGTCTCCAAGACGCGGGGTATCTTGAATCAATTGGCTGCTGAAGCTGGCGCCTGGAGCGACTCGGAAGAGAAGCCGATCATTCAAGACCTTATTGATCTGTTGACTCAGCACTCGACAGAGTTAACACCCAGAGGGCTGCATAGCGCAAGGGCGCTCAGTGAGCTTGTCCAATTCCTGGCCGAGGCACATGGAGCATCGTCCAGCTTTGAGGATGCTCTTCTGAAGCCTGATATCCTCAAGATTGGCCCTACCACCGTCCTGCCGGCCTCGGCCATCATTTCTGGGTTTGGTGAGACTCTACAACCCTCCAAGGTCGCTAGCAACTTCTGCAACAAGGTTGTAAGTGAGATCGCAGGAGCCAAGGCAGATAGTGACAAGACGTTGATGACTCTTGTTCTTCTGTCACAATGCGCTCAGATTTACGAGGCTGGTGAAATGCCTGTGGCTAACAACCGAATCGTTTTTGCCGTCCGTCAAATTACCTCCTGGCTTGACGAGCCCGAGAGTCTGAGCCCAGCTCTTTGCGCTGAAATTTGTCGAGCCCTGAACAAATTGCTGCCTTGTATGAAGGATGTCTATGGATCGTACTGGGAAAAGACTATTGAGTTCTGCATATCGCTATGGAATCGTGCCCACGAGTTCGAGTTGAATGAGGCTCTCCCCTTCATTCACTCTTCACTAAAGCTGTTCAAGACAATTGAGTCTCTACAGGAGCCCAATGACGATCTTGAAGATGCCCTCAAGGAGTATGCCGGTGCTAAGCCTAGGGCCTTGATTGAGCTGTTGCGACTTTCTCGTGACACACGCTCGCAGCCACTTGAGATTGTGGATGCCATGCTTTGCCGAGAGGTTGAGAAGATTTCTTTGCGACATGTGCCTGATCTTTCGGATATCTTTGGCTTGGTAGCATCGGAATCGCGGGATATCCAGACGGCTGCCTTCAATCTGCTTCACAAGGCTCTCCCCGAACAGCAACAGCAGAAGTCCATTGATGCTTTGCTGGAAAAGACAGGTATGTGCCAACGGTTACCACGCGAAGACCAAAAACTAACAGTCCCAGATGCACGACTCCCTGACGAACTACTCTCACTCCTTCTTGACGCCCCTACGCTCGAAAAGTACTCAGACGAAATGCTTGCCGAATTCCCTTCTCCCATCCGCTCGTATCTCCTATCCTGGAAGCTCGTCTTCGATGCCTACTCAACATCATCATTTAAGATCCGAAACGACTTTACCGACAACCTTAAGCAAGATAACTGTGTAGCGCCACTGCTAGACTTCATGTTTGATGTGCTAGGCCACTCGGCTGCTCATCCGTTGAAGCTAGAAAAGGTCAACCTCACTTCAGAACACATTCAAGAGTACGACGTGAAGTTGGCAGAGTCGGAACCCGAGGAGAAGAACATGCAGTGGCTGTTGGTTCATCTCTTCTATCTTCTTCACAAGTACACACCTGGCTTGTTCCGTGCTTGGTACATCGACTGTCGCTCGAAGCAGACACGCATCGCTGTTGAGTCGTGGACAACCAAGTACTTCTCACCCATCATCATCACAGATGTCCTAGATGAAGTTCAAAAGTGGGCTGATAGTCAGGAACCTCCTGCTATGGACGAGAAAGAACTCGTTGTACGTGTCGCTCGATCCTCTAGAGAAATCATAGCTGGCTATGAAGTCGACGAGGATCAAGCGGCAATCGCCATCAAGATCCCTCAGAATTACCCCATCGAAAACGTCTCCGTCCAGAGCCTCAACCGTGTCGCCGTCAATGAGAAGAAGTGGCAGAGTTGGATCATGACGACACAGGGGGTCATCACCTTCTCCAACGGCAACATCATCGATGGTCTACAAGTCTTCAAGCGGAATATCCTCGGTGCACTCAAGGGCCAGAGCGAATGTGCTATTTGCTATAGCATTATCTCGACTGACAAGCGCATGCCTGATAAGCGATGTACTACTTGCAAGAACTTGTTCCATAGGACGTGTTTGTATAAGTGGTTCCAAAGCAGTAACCAGAATACGTGTCCGTTGTGTAGAAACCCAATTGACTATCTGGGTTCGGATACGAAGAGGCGGCAGGGTTAGAGGGCTGGAGTATCACTGGGAAGTATAGTATAGAAGGTAGAATTAAAAAAGTTTGAATTGGCACATTCCTATGCGATGTTTGGAAGAGAAACCGGGTTAATGGCGCGTCTACAGCTTGGCACCACCATCCTCGTTGTCCTCGCTATCTTCAACAAGCTTCACACCGCCGTCTTCCTTGTTTTCCACAAATCCGCTCTGCGTGTCATCCTTCTTTTCAGAGTTTCCATTGTTATCAGAGCTTTCGCCCTTGTCATTCCCGGTATTGTCGCGCTTAGGAGGGCTCTTAAACTTGTCAACCTCGGAGGGGTTGAACTTGTTGTACTCTGCTTGAGGTTAGGGATGTTGGAGTGAAGGATATGGAGTACGTGCCTGCGGGGGCGCCCATTGTGTCTGTTTGGAGTGTTTTTGAAGCGTGTTTGAAGTGTAGATTTGTTTGTAACGTGGATGAAGTGTTGGTTTATTTGTGCAGGCGTTTTGGAGTGCGTTTTAGTCTTGTTTGTACGATGGTGTCGGAATGATGAGAATTTATCGTCGAGAGAGGACTTTCAGTCGGGTTATACAGATGAAAAGAGACAGTGTGTCCAAAAATGTGAATGGGGTTGACGGAGACCTGTTCATTGTTGGTGCATAATGCCAGCGCTTTAGCGACAGGCTGCTCTGTCGATTGACCTCAGGGGTTCGCGGCAAAGGCTTTGTGATCACGGGCCTAGGGATCTTTGTTAGTGATGCAACAAAGGCAGGTGAAGCCATTGGAAACTAACCTGCTCAGCGTTGAGTCGCTGACTATCGTAGCGAAGGAGTGATGATACGAGGTCGATAAAATCAGGGTCTACATTGGGAAGAAGCTCTTCCCAAGGACGAGCGGGGAAGACAGTCCAGAGCTCGAAAGGTGCGACCTTGAATTGTTTTGCCTCGGGCCATGTCTCAGGCGTGGGCGTACCAATGGTCTTGAAGACGCTGAGAATAAGGCCAAGCTGATTACCGTCTTCATGAACAGCACGAGACTCGAATATAGGGTTTGGAGGATCACGGAGTGTTTCTGAGAGCATGACACCTAATCCCCACATATCAACCTCTGGTCCGTAGGATTTGTGTCCGAAGAGGACTTCTATCGCGCGGTAAGGACCTGTTCCGATATCGAGAATTTTATCGCCTGCTGGTTCTGAATGTGCTGATAGCTCGGGATGCCATGCTGTGCCAAAGTCGGAGAGATATGCTGGGCCAGTTGGAGATGAGAGGAGAATTGCGGACGGTTTGATGTCTCGGTGGATGATGCCTTGTGCGTGTATATCCTTTAGAGCATGCAAGACATCTCGGAAGATAGACCGGACGGCATCAAGCGGTAAAGGGCCGTTGGCGAGAAGGTCTACCAAAGTATACGGCATGAACGGAAAGACCAGAACAAATCTCTGCTCCTGATCGCGAAACGTTTCGAGGAGAGGAATACACGGCTCTCGCAACCCCTTTAGAATCTTGGCCTCCCTCTGCGGATTATGCGGTTCAATATCCTGATAAGTCACAATAACTTTAAGCGCCTTATCGCCAGAACGAAAGACCTCCGAAGTTACACCATCCGAAACAGGTCGACAGTTTCCATAAGGTCCAATGCGTATCCCCGAGTCAACCTCCTCTTCCTCCTGAGGAGGCGGGGGCGTAGGTGTCGAGGTTGGCTGACAGGCGAGATTGTACTCGTCCTAGGCCATGTCAGCGGATCCGCGAGTTCTGGACCGCTGAAGTTCGGCGCACCTGAGTAGAAGCGATTTGGTAGGCGGCCTGTTCTATGGCGATGGCCTCACTCATACTTGTTGTAGCAAGGGAGGCTTGTCTACGTACGTAAGTCAGTATTTGAATGTTACACATTAGGCTACTTACATTTTTTGAATCGTCTCATAACGTTGAGACATTGTCAAAGCTGCTTTCCAATCTGGTAGTTCCATTGTTGCAGGGTTGTTTTGGTAAGAGTAAGATACAGTAGTTGACAGGTCAATTAAGATCTGGAAAGTCAATTGCTGTCAAAAGATTATAGCACAGCAGACAAATTCCCCCGCCTGACGGTCAGAACAGCAAAGATCAGCCTTTGTTACTGGGATGTCTCAGGTTTGAGCATCTGGTTTCTGGTGGAAAAACACGAATGGAGAACAGGCCCGCTATTTCATAAAGCAGAAACAAGGCCAAGATGACAAGGAGCAGGGGTATAATAGTTAGTTATGCAATGCCTGTCAAGTCAGAACAGATCTAAATATTGCTTCAGTATATATGATAATCATGAGGCTTCATCTGGGTTGATATTATTTGAGTACCGAGCTTTACTATGAGGTCATGTGGTGACCTCGTGACTCTAACTTAATTTGTTAGGGAACTTCTCGAAGGGCTCTAGAGAAAACTAACCAACCACCAAACGTTTACCCATTAACTTAGCTCCACCGTTTCCAAGCTACCCCAGCCCAACTCTGACTCTGCCAGCCCTGTCTTGTTTCGCTCACTTCAGCGCCAGCCTCTCTCTAGGTCAGGCCTTTTAGCCGTTGTCGTCCCAGCCAAGGCATTAAGTTACTCTTCTGTCTCTTGCATCCTCGTGTCCCGTCCATCCTCGGCTGCATTGCATTGGATCTACGCATTCTGCGGCAATAATACTCACTTACTCCTCAGAGTCCGACTCTTCCGATAATACACAATCATCTGATCTACTACTCTACTACTCCTTTGTTACGTAGCCATCATCGCATACATACGAAGCTTCGTCGTTTTGTCTACCTCCGAACCTCGACCGACCCCTCTCGCCCAAGCAAAATCGCGATGTGCATCACGGCCTCGAGCGATTAATCCTATAATTAATTCACTACTCCCTCATCCGCATATATACATAATTCCAGTAATCCTTTGCGCTGCCCATCATGGAGGATATGGCCAGGGCCGAGTATCCCGCCATGCTGGTGAGCTTAATCCCCTCGACCTCCAATTCTATCGCCACGGGCGACAATGAGGGCAAAGTCAATACTTCACCTGGCTGAGCTTCAGCTGACTCCTTTTGCGCAATTACTAGGCAACTCTCCAGCCCAGCCAGGCGGTGCAGACTCTTACCGAACGAATGAAGCGCATGTCCCGCGTCAACACCGAAATTGCCGACTGGCTCCAGGTACGACAATCCGCAAACCACCAATGGCTACGCAACGACATGGCATCATGTTGCGAGTCTCGTCGACATTCCGCTAATCAATCCTACACAGGAGCGCCGTCGCGTGGAGGATCAGTATGTGCAGGGCCTCAAGAAGCTTGCTACCTTCAAGGTTCCCAATTCTCAGTCTGAGCTAGGGTAAACATCCCTCCTGAGGCCTTTGTATCGCAATTACTCACAGCACTGCAGTGTATTCCAAGCGCCATGGAATCGAATCGTCGACTCGACAGAAAACATCGCCCACTCGCATCATCAACTTGCCGATCGCATCGAGAGAGATATCGAGCATCCGCTGCGCAATTTTGCCAACCGCAAAGATGTTCAGAACATGAACACCATGTCCAGCAACCTAACAGCTATGGCTAAGGACCTCGAAGAGTCACAGGATCGTGTCGATAAGCTCACTAAGAAAGGAGGTCGTGCAAACACTTCAAAGGTCGATGCAGCTTCATCCAAGCTTGAGTCTGCTACAGGGCAATGGGAATCGCAGGCACCTTTTATCTTCGAATCTCTTCAGGCCCTCGACGAGTCGCGAGTGAACAACCTGCGTGATCTTCTCACACAGTATCAGACCCACGAATCCGATTCAGCTCAGCGCGTGCAGGAGAATGCTATGGAGACACTTGCATTGATGCTTGAGATTGACACGGAAAAGGAGATTCAGTCATTCGTGCACAGGGCCACGGCTGGCAAAGCGAAGCTCCCGACAAGGACATCAACACGACAGTCATCTTTCGCTGGCACCACTCCCTCGACACCAGTACCTCCCAGCACTGCCGACAGTACGAATTTGCCTGCCCCAAGCGCTCATACATCTTCTCCTGCGCCCGTCCCAGCTCCTGCCTCTTCGCACGCCGGCGACGATGATATCAGCGAACACAACTCAGTTCCCCAAGAGAAGCCAGGTAGGTACATTATCAACACTCGTTTACTGGTCACTAACAGCTGGCAGGTGGTAAATTGCGCCGCCTCGGTACCATGTTCGGTGGACGCAGGAGACAGAGCATGCACGCCGGTTTCGGCCAGCTCTCTCCCGGAAAGCTAGGCCCCAGCTTCGGACGATTGGGTACCAGTCACAGCCAAAACGATCGCGGTGTCTCCCCTCGAGGCTCCTCCAACAACCTTGCAGAGCACCACCGATTGTCCTCTCTAGCAGAAACTCCCGATGTGCCCAAGCTACCCAATAACGAGACCGACTCACCCGGACCCGATGCCTCGCACGAGAACACGAACGGGGTGTCGCACAACGGAAATCTGCTCGACAGCCCGATCCCACAAACGACTGGAGGTACAGTCAACGGTAACCATGAACCCGATCTGTCAGATGTCCAACCTCCTCCTGGTCCTCCTCCGTCGCACAAGCAAGAGAACCAGCCCCCCGCGCCGCAACCGCTCGCTACCAAGGACGCTGAAGGATTCACTGTTCCACCACCAATGAATGACCCTATTTCTGAGGCTCAGCGTGAAGCTCAGAAGGAATCTGGTGAAGATCCTGACCAGCTTCTCAAGGTTAACATCCAGCAGACACCTGTGGAGGATGAGGATCCAGAAGCCAAAATGGCTGCTCTTTCTAGCGTCGCCAACAGTCTCAAGCTCGGACCGGCCACTCGTCGTAGTGGTACAGTGAGAGGACGTCGTGACGTGCGCCATACAATGTATGTGCCACCACCCAACCTCCCTGAGAGCGGTACAGACTCGTCCGTGAGCGCTAGGCCAACATCTCCATCTTTCGCACAATCTGCTTCCAAGGGAAGTGCAGTTGCAGCCTTGGCATCCGAGGCTAGCATTGCCGGTACTTCAGATACGCAGTCTGTGAGGTCTGGGAACTCATTGGGAGGTTTGAACCATCCTCAGCATGCGCATATGACTGCTCCAGGTCTCAACACGTCTATCATTGAGAGTGTTTCTGCTACGTTCGAGGATGGTGTCGTCAAGTCAACAACCATTACCGGTGAGGTTGCATTCGTGAATAACCCCAGTGACTCCGGTGATGCGAAGAGTAATTAACCCCCAGTATCACAATAATTTCACCTACTAACACGAATCAGGCTACGAGACTATCCGCATCAACAACTTTTCGGCCCTTGAGCGCATCGGACCGAACCGCATCTTTGTGCAGAACTCATCCCCTGACCATAACGATCAGTTCAATCTCGATGTATCTCACCTCACCAAGAATGCAACCGCATTCTCATACCGAGTATTTTCCGAGGACTCCGAAACCCCTACACTGGGCGAACATGCTCCTCTCCTCCTCAAACCCGCATGGAAGCCTCAAGGAGACAAACTCGGCCTCTTGCTACAGTACCAGCTCAACCCATCATCAAAGCTCACTGCCCCAGTAACACTACACAACGTCGTCATCGTCGCCACCTACGAAGGCAAATCCAGCGGCGCCCAGACAAAGCCCGTAGGAACACACCTCAAGGACAAGCATCTCGTGTACTGGCGCATCGGCGATCTCACCCTTACCGCGGAACCTCACAAGATCGTCTGCCGCATCATCGGCGCAGAAGGCGCAGAGCCTAAACCTGGCCACATCGAAGCCCGCTGGGAACTCACAGCCACAGGCGATCAAGTCATCGGAAGCGGTATTTCCATCTCTAGACTCGACGAGGGCAAGGGTAAAGGCAAAGACGTATCCGAAGACGATCCCTTCGCAGACGACACCGCTAGCACAGAACACAAGTGGGTTGACGTACCTGTATCGAGAAAACTCGTCAGCGGTAAATATGAAGGACGGTAGTGGTTGTGCTGAATAATTATCACGTGCATGGATAGAAAAGACAAGATGCCATATCTTGGCGGCGCATTGAATAGCGAGCGTATGGGCTTGTTCCTGGGGTGAACTTTCACTCTTCTTCATTTGTTACCCATTTTCATCATTTTCTTTAGTATAATTTTCTTTGTATGCGTATTTGTATGTTAAAACTACCTAGGGAGGAACAGAAAGTAGGCTTATATGTATGGAGCTGGAAAAAACAGAACCATGTCTATGAAAGATGAATCATCAAAAAGGACAATATGCCCAGTCTTTTGCTACTGCGCTGCGTCTATACTAATTCCTTTTTGTCCTTATACTCCAACCATCCTCATCCGTGGGACATAAAAAGGAGTTATGCTTTTAATATACAGAAATGATCACGCCTTTTTGCTCTTTTTACTATCTTGATCCTTCTTATACTTTGAATACTTCTCCCCTAGATAACGCCACGTTCTTGAGAATCCGCCCATCAATAAGCCCTTGATACTTTGTACAGTACTTGGCCAATTAACTGTTTGCTTAATGACGATGCGCACCGTTTCGTGGAGTTTTTGGGCGTCGTCTGTGGCGATGCGGCGTTCAAACTCTCCGCCCTGCATCTTCTTAACGGCGCCGCCTGCTTCATCCGTCGAAGCCTTCATGAGCTCGTTGAACTCTCCGCGGGGAATACCGAAGCGTTTTTGGTATTGAAAGTATAGACGTGATCGGAAGGTTTGGGGGAGGCGTCTGACCATGTTACCGCGACGAACGGGATCCATGTCTTGTTGGAGTTTGTTGCCGGCTTCAGGGTTCATGATCCAGTCTGTGTCGTCGATGCGACAAGCCCCTGTGAAGTCGACGTTGGGAAGGGTTTTGACGAGAGGGGCGTAGAGACGGCGGAAATGGATGATGTTGTTGTCCACGATGTTTGTGACTTTGCTCTTGTTCTCTGTAGGGAGAGCCATGCGTGGATCACCTAGATAGCTCAAACCGGCGATGGTGCTGTAGAGTTCAGCTTCGGTGAATTGCGGTGGGAGGAGAAGAAGAGCTGTTCGGACAGCGGCGATGAGGTTGTGTTGGTTGGCGAGTCGGACACGAGGGTGGTCGCGGAGAATCTTGACGGGCTTTTGAAGACGACCAGCGAGGTATAAACTATCCCAGGAGGAAAGGTCGCGAACGAGGTTATCGATGCTTGTGACGCCGTACTTGATGAGCATGCCGTTGACCTCGACATAAGGATTGAAGTAAACGCCAGCACCCCAGTTCTGCACGCGCGATACAACACCAGAGCCTAGCGAGGCGAGTCCAGAATAATGGTTGCGATGTTGCTTCATATTGATAGAATGCCAATGCTCAACATGCGACACACCAAAGATAAAGTCCAGCACTTTCGGCGATCCCTTCTGCGACTTTATCAACGCATCCGGTGGATTCGGATGCACAGCGCGAAAGTCTGCTTCCGATATACTAGCCTCCGAAGGACTCTGCGGAAAGACACCAGAACCGTAAGCGAAGCAGTACATTATCGGCGCATTAAACTGCCGCAGCATAAGGCGCAAAGCTTCCTTGAGCTCATAGTTGATAATCATGTGTTGATTCGCGCCGAAAAGTCGATGTGGTAGGTCAGCGAAGGACTTGATGGATGTGTCGAGGTCTTCCCATTCGCTGCTGAAGACATTGAGTTTACTGCTTGGTGTTGAGGATGCGCTGCTTGCGATGGATTCGTCGGAGCTTGAGCTTGAGGTGGAAGATTTGGTTGAGTTGGAGTAGCATCGTGTGTATTGTGTTGGAGGGATTTGTCGTAGGTGGGAGGATCGAAGGGTAATGGCGCGGGTGGTCACGGAGGACTGGAGATGTTAGAAGGGGGATGGCGGAGGGGAGGGGAGGTAGAGCTTACCCGGAGGCCAATTGAGGCCATTGTTGAAGATGTAGGTTCTCGACAGGTGATGTAAGAGGTTGAGTTCAAGGTTGAAAGCTGAGGAGGTGTTATAAGAGATGATGTTACAGAAGAAGCTCGCTGATGCCGAGGGTCGTTAGCTACCGCGGAAGCTTCGGTTCCATTCACTCAAGAACAAGAAGAGATAAAAACAAGCGCAAGCAAAAAGGAACGAGTAAAACCGTCGTCATTCAATAATCGACGTCAGTGGAGCTCAGTTTTGTAAGCGGATGGATCGTATCGTAACTCGGTGATCGTCGGGCCTGAAGCTTGACACAAGGGAAAGCAGAAAATAGAAAGGGAGTGGGTCATGAGGAATGTGGGATGACCAATTAGCAGAGGCTCTAGAGACGGGACAGGGTCCATCTTTATCAGGTACGGAATACGTCACTGGATGATATCGACTTGGCAAGCTTGGAGACAGGATGGTTTGCAAGGATGCGTCATTACGGGGGGAGGGATTGGAGAGTTTGTTAGGGGTTTTAGGATATTTGTTTGGCTTGAATTTGGGTCATTGGTTTGTTGTATGAAACTCAAAGGGCTCTGAGACATGCTCACAATGAGCTGTCCAGATAAAATAACAAAGGAACCGTGATTGATCAACCCAACTTGTTGGAACAAAAGCAATTGGCCATTGAGCTGTTACTCGTATAGATGAGATTGACCCGAACTTTCTCAATGCTAAATTAGCCTGCCGTTAGACGCCCCAAGAGTTCAAGAAGCTTCGTTGAGCTTGACAAAGAGCTTCATCCAGCATACCCTACAGGTCGGCTTAAAAAGTCTTGGGCAAATCTCTGGGCCCAAACGCTCTCGCAGTAATCAGCAATTCATCCCACGATATACGGATATCTGGTTTTATTTCCTTATGAAGCTCATGGTAACTGTCCCAAGATGAAAATATTCTTATTCCCCATTTCTTCGACCTCGTCTTGAAGCCCACTCTGTGAACGCAAGGACCCATTAGGTCACGTGCTGACGCAAGCTACCGTGGTGATCGCAAACAAACCATCCCCATACCGCGATCTTTCATTCAAGCAAGCAACGCAATATAGAAAACTCGAAAATGCGCTCGTACACGCCCAACGATGGAGATGGGCGTGGGAGCCGACGAAGCTCTGTTAACGCCAGATTCAGGGCTAGCACGTCTGCTATAGACAGACCTCAGACATCTCTACGACAGTCCAGGGTAAGTCAACACAAAACAAAACAAACATTCCCGAGCTTGAACACATGTTTCTGACCGCGAACCCATGGCTGCAGATTTCTTCTTTTCGCGCGAGTACACAGCCTACATACAATCTATTCACAGGCGAATCAAATATTCCTCGACCTCAATCTCGACAAAGCCACGTCGCCGAGTCTGTCCGCCCCGGTTCGCGCGAAAGTCATAAGGAGAACATGGCGCCCCCCGACGCGGACGAGTATGAGAAGTACAGGCGAGAGATCGAGTCATTGAAAGCCGAGATTGGGACGCTGCAATATCGCATACAAACTGCCGAGCAAGAGAAAGAAATTGCGACGTCGGAGCAAAGTAGCAAGTTGGAACAAGCTCGACGGCGGGAGCAAGATGAAGCGCAGCACCGACAAGCCGCTGAGGCTGAACGCGAAAAAGCAGTTGCGCAAATAGAAACTTTACGAAGGGAACTGCAAGAAGTCAAGGACTCGATCGATGGCGATAAGAAACAATTAGAGCGCAAGGCTCGTGAAGCAGAGGATGAGGCCCGCTTGCTGCAGGAACAGCTTGAGGACCTATCCACCGCGAAGGACGATGCAGCTCGTATTGCCGACCGGAAAGTCACCGACATGGAGATGCAGATTGCCGCGGCGCAAAAGACTATCCAAGAATTTGAGCAGGAGAGCGAGCAGCGGGAGAATGTCCTACAGCAGACACAAGCTCAATTGGCTGAGAAGGATGGAGTTATCGCGAATCTCGAAGCAGATGTTTTACGACTCAAAGCGCAAAGCGGCGATGCAGAGACCATGGAGATCATCAGACAGGAACTCACCGAACAAGTTCAGCATATCCGAAACCTCGAGGCGACGAATCGCGACCAACTCTCCGAGCTTAAGCACCTTCGAGCCTTGAGCAAGGCAGTCGAAGTTGTCGAAGAAGAGAAGCGAACGCTACAACGAAAGCTAGAGTCAGCGGAGTTGATCGAAGCAGAGCTTGCTGAGGCGCGTATCCAGCGACAGCGACTGGAGGACGAGCGCTTGGCCTGGTCGGCGTATCTAAGAAACGCTGCTGAGACGGACGAGTCTGAGTTTGACTCGCCAGAGGCTGTGGCAAGAGCCCTTGTTGAAGAGCGCTTGACGAACGCATCATATGTCGAAAAGGTTGGGGCTCTACAGGCTGAGATCACTGCTGCTCAGAACACGATCCAATCGCTCCGCGACGAGCAGGCTCAACTTAAGAACGAAGTCGAGAATGCGAAGACAGTGGCAAACGCTAGCAATACCGACAAGGCACGAATGCGACTGGAACGCCAGCGCGCCTTGGCCGTCAAGGAGGTCGAGTATCTCCGCGCACAGCTCAAGACCTTCGACACCGAAGACGAGACACTTCAGCCAGAACAATTTGACCAAGCTCGTATACAGCGCGTGCAAGAGCTAGAGGATCTTGTCGACAAGTACAAGATGGAAGTCCAGAACCTACACGCTGAGCTATCGTCAATCGAGCCCTCAGCACCAAGCACACCCCAACCTGTGACGGGTAGCAAGCGCTCAAGAGCGGAGGATGACAGTTCTCAAGAGCAACTTGGTCAACTCACGCGAAAGAAGCGTATGCTAGAAGAACAATTGACAAAGTCCCAAAACAAGATTGCTCTACTAGAGAAAGACTTGTCCACCAGCAAGGAACAACTAAAAGCTGCTAAGCAACAAACACAAACACGCGTTCTATCACTCAAGTCCAATCCCACTTCAGACTTTGAAGCCATCAAGCGCTCTACCCTCGAAGCACTAAAGAAAGAAAACGAAGACCTCCTCGCCACCCTCCAATCCAAGAACTCCAACTCCTCCGTCCCCATGATCCCAACCTCCGTCCTCGCCGCGATGGAGCGCGAAATAACCGCCGCCAAGTCCGAAACCGCCTCCGCCGAAAAGCGCACCCGCCGTCTAAAAGAAGTCTGGGGCTCCAAGTCCCAAGAGTTCAAGGAAGCCATCTTCTCCACGCTCGGGTGGACCGTAACCTTCATCCCCAACGGTAAAATGCGCGTCGAGAGCACGTTCTATCCCTCGCAGACTGATGAGCATGAGAATTCTATCGTGTTTGATGGCGAGCGGGGCACGATGAAGGTTGGGGGTGGACCGAGGAGTGATTTTGCAAGGAGGATTAGTGATCAGATTGGGTTTTGGGTTAGGGAGAAGGGGTGTATTCCTGGGTTTTTGGCGGCGCTGACGTTGGAGTTTTATGAGGAGCATACGAGGGCTTCGAAGTAGGGAGTGGAATGCAATGTGATGATAGTTAATACCCCAGTACATTTGTGTTTATAATGGAATCAGTTGAGTATTGTATAGAGAAGGTATGGCTTATCGATGAACTCGAGATACCTTTCCACGAAGCGTTTGTGCAAAGCTTCTCAATCGAACGCTGTCTTGTTCCCAACAATCACTCGTCGAACCCAATTTAGACTTGATCTTGTGCTCTTAGTAGTGCTTGACTACACCAACTACAGGTCACTGGCCTAACAGATACTCATCCACGCTTTTCACACCAGCTGAGCTCAGCACTGTTGATCTGTTCTCATCGTCGCCAGTGGCTCCGGGGTCATCGAGCTGACTTGAGTGCCTCGCCAGGAAGGTCAGATGTGAGCCATTCTTCTGAGTAGGTACCTTACCCAGTTGATCGCTTGATAATGAAGAAGGCGAAAGAACAGCGAATTACTCTTGCTTAAGTATGAAAGTTGTGAACTGACAACTTCCCTCTCGTAGCAGTGCCTTCTCCTAGTACTTGGTTAACTACTTTTGTAAAGACATCTCCTAATGGCTAACTTTGACAAACTTTGACTTTTGATCTATTATCATTCATCATTCATCATTCATCGCTCATCACCATCCATCAAGACTATACCGTATCATATCGAATCATCATGTCCAAGTTTAACGCCAATGAGATATCAACCGATTCGAACCCTTCGAGCAGTGTCCCCCCACCTTCAGGTGACCAAACCTCCTCAGCGGGAGCTGCTCCGTCCACCGTCGACCTCACCCAAATGCCAGATTCGGCCGATAATCAGCAATATGACGATGCCACTGGGAGGTATTTTATATCGGTTGACCTCACCGGAACCCCCGATGATCTGCCATGTGAAAATGCCACTGGGAGAGAAGAAACCGAAAACCTAGAGCATCTTATATCGGTTCAACGTGCTGAGGCTGTTTGCGAACCTATCCTGAATCCTGTTGAGATACGCTCGACTGTGGTTGCGCGCCAATATCCTACAGACGATACTCCTGACGTTGCGCCTGAAATCCCATCTCAAGACACCAGTTCATCGATTTCGCCTCCGCCAGAACAAGCGCCTTCCTCGGCGGTTACAACCAACCAAGAAATACCCAACCAGGCGGGTGAACTGGCAGGAGCCTGGCCTCCTATAGATACCCTCCGAGAACTTGGAGAGGCCCTCATGAACAGTCTAGAATCAATTGATGATAAAGATCCTGGCCGTGACAAGTTGATTCAGTTAGCGCCTGTTGGACTCAACAGCGACGGAAGTTGCTCGGCCGACTACGTTTGCCTACACCGCACGCAAGGAATTCCTATGCCCCATGAGCCGTACCGGATAAAGATCAACTGGCCGCAGATTGATATGGGTCAAGGAGCTCCTCGGCGCGTAGAACGCTACCATATCAGATGTTGGGAAACAATGATAAACCAGGGAAAACTCGTGAATATCAAGCTCTTTCCGAAGACAGCCGAATATGGAGACCTCAAGAAGATTGGGCTCATGGCGAGACAGTGGCTTAGATACTCGGGAGGGGTGTTTCCTGGCAGAATGGACGAGATGCTCAAGGAAGTCGAGAAGCTTGTGCAGCCTGGACAAAATATCGCAGAACTTTGGGAGGTTACATGTGCGAAAACCGTGTGGCACCTAGCGGGTAAGCCCCGTGCTCTTTCGGATATTCTCGAGATTGGGGATGCGCATGAGGAGTGATGAAGGAACAACGGCTTTGATAGTAGTTGCAATAGAATTATCAGGTCATCTTGAATCCTTAACTTCGTGGTGCGGTCCCTGAATGTTGCAGAAGGCTTATAAACCTCGATGACTTGAGTATAAGCTAAAGCAACTTTGAAGCCGGAGCGACTACAGAAGTCGATTAGTAAACCTAAGTGAATCAATATAAAGTTGGGTAGCTTGAGAACTAGAATGGGAAATATTTTAACAAACTGGCTCAATGTGTTGAATCTTGCTGGGTCAGAGTGCACAGCTCATCGAACAGGCAAGCTATTGGAATAACATGATATTTACTACCTATATCACTAGATTTTGCATTATGCTCTATATCACCTGGTAAATTGCCCTCAACAACGTCCACAGCGCTTACAAAAGTCCCCCCTCTCCCGCTCCCTCCTCATCTTTGCCATTCTCTTAGCAGCCCTCTCTTTCTGTTTCTGTTTCTCCATCGCTTTATCCACCATTCTAAGAATCTTAGAGTCATCAAAGCTTGTAGTGCTCGTCTCAGTGTATACACTATCTCGTCTTGGAATGGGAACTGTTTCGGGGAGGGGGTGTGCTGGAACCTGGCCAAGTACTGGAGCTTGATTGTGTACTGGTACTGGATTGTATCCTTGATGACCCGTTGGTAGTGCAGAAGCTTGGTGAAGACCTGGAATTTGCTGTGGTATAGTGCTTTGCTGCGGAGCTGTTGGCTGCACCAGCGGTACCTGTGCTTCTTGAGGTCTTGGGACTTCCAAACCGAGCTCGCCAAGCATTTGATCTATAGGAATCTGCTGTTCTGGAGGTTTTTGTTGATTCTGAACCTCCGCCACTCCCGGTTCCGCCCCTTGCTGCCCTGGCACTTTCTCAGACTCCTCCTTGGCCTGCATATTAATAACCTTTTCCATATTCTCGCCCGCCTCATCGATCATACTACTAACTTCCTCTCTCCTTGCATCAATCATCTCGTCAAATTCCAGATTCTTTAACTCAATAAGAAGCTCAGAGCTGTGAGTCAAACTGGACATGAGTTCATTGACAAGTTTCGCCTTATCGAGGATTGTCTTCAATCTTTCTTTTGTGGTGATATCTTCGGGAATAGGGAGATTGGCGGTGCTCATATTGCGGAAGAATTGTAGTTGGATGGATAGTGCTTGGTAGGCTTGAGTGGTCAGGAAGGGAAAGGTGTCGACTAGTGAATCCCAGGGAAGGTCAGATTGTGACTGCGGACTTGTGTTGTTCATGGTGGTGTCCATTATCCGTAAATCTCTGTAGGATTCGGAGTGGTAACAGTGTAATTTAGCTGAAAGGCTTCAGTTCCTTTCAGGCTTAGAAAAAGTCCTCCGGAAATGCCGTGGGCGAGTTAGGTAGATATATCATTCTTTTAGAGATATTGATTCAGAACTGTGGCCAGACATGATGGTGTGAACACTTTGCTGTGCTTATGAACAAATGGCGCTTTTCGTCAATAGTTAGTGAACGTGATGAGATGGATATCTTAAGAGATGGCTTATCATCCACAAGACAAAGGGATCAGATCAGGGTGACGAGAGTGAACACAGCAAAACGAATGACAACCGGTTTCTGGTAAGAAATTGATTATACCTAGACAGTTATTTTCCAAGGTTTGGATTATTACACCGGCATTCATGAATCTTGAACCTCGGATCAAGATCTAAATCGCTATGATAAAATATTCTCATAGTCATAAACTCTAAACTCTATATCTATACCCATTGGACCTTTTCAACTAGAACAAAGTGTACCTCAATCGCTTCCACCAGGGAAACGTAGCAAGCTCTGTCCTCCAAGCATTGATAGCCTCCCAATCATGTTCACGTCGGCCCGTATCAATATCAATCTTCTCAATGCTGATCCAACTCGTTCTCTTCCAGAGATATCCTCCAGCCCAGAAAGCCAGCACAATAGGCAACCCAAGATATTGCATAAAAAAGTCTTCAACAGTGCCCATTCCAGATTCGCCAACAGGGGCCACAATGGCCACGTAGAACTGAAACTGTTAGCCGATGTTCCAAAGAGCGAAGGGTCAGAACTTACCTGAGCGATGAGAATGACAACAACGAAGATCAAGCCCAACCATGATCCCCAAACACCTCCAATGGCCTTGAATGGGATTTCATCGAGTGTATGTCCATTATACTTCCACGCCGCTCTAAATCGAATATGTGCGAGACAGATCGATCCCCAGCAAACAAGCATAGCCAATCCCGACAAAGCCAAAAGCCAATCGAAAATAACAGGACCAGCCGCATCAAGGTTCAAAAAAGCAAGACATCCAAACGCAATGATGAATCCGACAGACGGCAAAGGTCGACCCGCTCTATCAACCCATGTAAAGATCTTTGGCGCAAATCCCTGCTGCGCAAGGGCAAGAAGTGTGCGTGACCCTCCATACACGGAGGCGATGCCGAGGGATAAGACTGATGAGAGGATGACGGCGTTCATGTAGTGATCGAGACCCTTGAGACCGGAATATTTTCCAACAAGGACGAAGGGTGAAGCTGCGCTGTTGGAGTAAGAACTTGAGCTGAGGAGGTTTTCATCATTGCAGCTGATCAACAACCCAACGAACAATAGCGCGACGATGTAAAACAAGCAGATTCTCCAGAAAACCTGCTTAATAGCTGCGGGGACTGAAGCAGTAGGATTTCGAGACTCAGCCGCTGCCAAGCCCACGAGTTCCGAACCCGCAAACGAAAACGCCGCTGTGACGAAAACAGAGCAAAATCCCTTGAATCCGTTCTTGAAAGCACCTGGATCATGCCAAAGCTTAAAGCCTTGATATGTATCATAACTCCCACTCGACGGACCCCCACCACAAACCAACACCAACGCGATGATCATAAAGATAGAAATCGAGGTGAGTTTAAAGCACGCTGCCCAGAATTCTTCCTCGGCGTAACCCAGGGTGCCGAACATATTGAGGATGGTAATAGCAGCGAGAAACACGGCGATCCAGACTCCGGGGGAAATGTCAGGGGACCAGTACTGAATCGTAATAGCGCAAACTGTGAGTTCGAGAGGAAGTGTAGCGGCCCATTGGAGAGTGTAATTCCAAGCCATGGCGAAACCAAAAGATGGGTCGATGAAACGAGCTGCATACGTATAAAAGCCGCCGGAGATGGGATACATGACAGCCAATTCACCCATTGCGTAGACCACATTGAAAACCATGACTCCAACGAGGAAGAAGTCAATAAACAACGTAGCAGGGCCCTGTAACTGTCAGTATAAACTCAATTGAGTGAAGGAGTCACTTACACCTTTACTCAACGCCGAACCAGATCCAACAAAGAATCCAGCACCGATAGATCCTCCAATAGCAACCATCTGAAGATGTCTCGGCTTCATCTTCCGATCCAATTCCACAAGCCCCAGACCATAATGCTTCCTCGTAAAAGATTTAGCGTTCAATCCCGTTCTCGTCATGAAATCATCTTGCTCATATTCTTCACCCGTTGCAGTGAAGGCTTCTTTCGTTGGTGCGTTTTCATCAGCCATGATGCCTTTTTCTCCAACGACTGGAGAATCAGACACGACTTTTTCAACAGCCATGATTAACCAAATCCAAGGAATTACCTAACAGATGGAAAAGAGTGAGGAATTAAAGAAAGGAAAGAAAAAAAGTTCTGAATGGCCCCATTATAAAAAAAGATTCAAGGCCCCATAGTAACAACGCTATTAGGCCCACACATGGCATGGTCATGACTCTGGATGCAAAATTTTCATTAATCGTAATAGGAATCTCCACGATTCTAGGGGAGGATTGGGCTTTACTCCAGATATTGAATTAGGTATTTACGTAAATCTCCATGGGGAAGGAGTTGGTATTGATAATGAGGTTATCTACGGGTCTTTACTCCAAGAAATCTGGAGGGTTTGCGACTCCACATTGCAAAGCTGGAGAAAGATTTATACCAAGACCGCAAAACATAAAGAGTCTAAGATATCGTGATGAGTAAACAGTAGAGATTACGGCTCCAGTCTTCAATTAAACCAGTTGACTCACAAGGAATTGTAGACAATAGAGTCATTCGATCCTAAGTGGAGTGGTTCGAGCAATTTGCCACTGTAAAATACTGAGGTCCAACTCTTATACGCGAGATTCTCGTTTATCAAAAGCCTCAATTTGGTTTAACTAACAAACTGATTCGACGATCAATCAAGATCTATCCCATTACGTTACTCCCAAGTCTAATAAGTCCACTCTGTGAATCTTCAACCCCTGTCTCTATAACGTAAAAAAGTTGCGGCTCAGCGGATCTTGGTGGAGACATGATCGGAGCCGATGGATGGTCACTTATTCCCGAGTTGCAGGCCTAGGGGCTCAATCATCTAGGGTATGATTACTACCTATTTTGAGATAAACAGAATACCAAATAGATAAACCAACAGCAACAATAGTGGAAGCAATAAAGACAATGTAGAAATACCACTTAATCGACTCCCAAGCGTAGACCATACTAGAAAAGGCCCCGTTGCAGAATGTTGCTAGTCCCATTCCCGTGGATCACAACGTACCTGGTGAAAACTCGGAGGCGAGTGACTATGTTGTCGAATTCAGAAAGACGGCGTAGAATAGATTCTGAAACTTTGAACCACATCAACTCTCGAAAGCTGACACATGGCCTATATAAAACAGCCGCGAAGGATTCTCTATCCGTACTGTGCACTGAAGAGTTGAAGAAGTCGGTAATTTCTCATGCTCTGACGAATTAGTCAATTAGCTCTTCTATAATATCTGCCGGAGCATGAAGTATAATCTCTTCTCCATCCCAACAGATAGTCTCCAACATGATGGCCGGCTCGGTTGGAGAGGGATCTAGCACTCTTCGTTCCTACAGCCATTTTAATCTGTAACTGCTATGGTATGTTGAGGAATTAGCTCGCTGATGTTGCTTTTAAGGAAAAGACTCGGGGTGGTTCGGTGCCAAAGGTTGTACTTGATGCACTTCGACATCATCATGCTTGGGGGACTAATTGACCAACTCGTGTATGGGACGATGTAACTCTTCTTACGCCTTGGAATTTCTGTCAGGAATCAAGGGATATCAAGATTTCGAAGGCTTAGTATCAGCCGATGACTAGTTATGTGGATGGGATATCGCGTAATTCGTCTGCGCCTACGAGCTTATGGGAGTTTGGCCACTTTCAGCCTGGTGTGAGTCAGCTGCGATATCGTTTTCATATGATACTAATGCACCTCTGTAGGATTGGCTGGACCAAAATGCTTCTCCGGAGTATCCCGAAAAAGCTCTCACAGATAATTACCCCGTCGCCAACCCCTTTCTCATCAAGACCCTCTAAGTTCTGTGTGGTGATAATAAGTTCTCAACCACAGGACTCAACTGCAAATAACACATCTAGCTTACAACTTAGACATTATACCACATCAAGACCCTCAATTTACCGTCCCAGAGCACAGGCCACATGACGTCCTTCAACCACTACGCATCCGGAGCTATAGGGCACTTTAATATAGAACGATTATCAGGGTTGCAGGGTGATGAGCCAGGGTGGAGAAGATCTCCTGTACGGCCTGAGATGGCGGATGGTATCACTTAGGCTGAACACCAGACACCGTATGGGTTGGTCTCTTGTTCGTGGAAGTTGAAGTCTTTGGATGAGGAGGTTGAACTTCTTACTGTAGGTGTAGTGCTTCCTGTTTTGACACAGATGGAAGTCGTACTTCCGCTGGGAGATGATGAACGGAGGAGGTTTGGACAAGTTGGAGCGGGATTATGGACTTTCCATTCACCTCTGGTGAATCGTCAAGACTATGGTACAGGATATTCTGAATGCCGAGCCAGCATAATTTTTGGTCCACCTATCTGCTAGATTGAAATAATGATCATATGTCAGCCACGGTTTTTCGATTGGTTGAGATCGTTTGTGATTGGGAGGCCACTATTATTCTGGCGTCGGAGCTACAGTTGCTAAGTACAAACAAAGTATGAGAAAAGGGACACTAGCCTCCAGGTTGCTGGGATACTATGAGCATGCAGAAATGATCCGACAACACACCACCAAATGTTCGGCCTTGATTACTTAATACCCACCAGAAATCGCTGATAGCAGCTTCTAAGCCATCTTGTCTTGCTTAGGGTAGTTTCGTGGTTGGCGTTTTATTTCCAGCCATTTCCAATCATCCGTATAACACAAGCACAGCCCCAGATTCAAAATCTAATTATATCAAAGGTTCTTCCACCGATGCCGAGATAAGACCAAGGGTCCCTGAGATCGATCTCCTTTGCATCCCATATTTGTCCTGTCCCGTATACTGAACGATCTTCCTGCAATTGAAGAATGATGGCTGGCTGAAGTCAATCAATCTGACAACGAACGAGACATTCATGCCACGAGGGATGAGGCTTGTTTTGTTATTTGCTAGCCTGCTGAGATTATGTCTCGTAGGTGAGACACGGAATGCATAGTGATGGAATAGTAACTTTGCGTGAGAGAGTCTCAGTCAACATTTTCTGCACATCTAATTAGCCCCATATCTCTGAGGCTTTTATTCAAGAGTTTGAGCCGTAAGTGACATTACATCCAAGGTAGTCTAACAAAACTGATTGGCAATGAGCACCACTGTCCTACTACAACTTGGTAGAATTTCTAAACCCATCATAGTCATGTATAACAAGGTGTAAAGACCCATCATCACTAAACAGCTGACGGATCACGAACTCCCCACCTGGAGAAGCACGCTAAAAGTCTGTAGATAAACTTTCAACCACAAGCCGATCAGCTGCAAAATAGCTCACAATTAAGACGTCATAGCTAAATGCCTCAACAATTCACGAAATCGCCGTGTCAATCAGTTTCCCTAGCAATTCAGCTTCATAAATTGCGGGGAATTGGCTGATGTTGCCCAGCAGATCTGGCCACATACGGACGCCACAATAATCAGAATAGGAAAATGATTCGTCTAGTTTTCAAACTGTCTCTGAATCCAAGGAAACTAAGACACGGAATATGCACGACGATGCAAGCCCGAGGAGCCAATCAGGCTATGACGCGTCCTGACGTGAGGGGAACATGGCACAGTATATAAAGCCAAAAACCCTCGAGGTTCTTTGAAGTACCCCAAAACTATTCAGCAAACAGAATTGAAAAAAGCATCTCAAAATGACAGTCCACGAAGTCAAGAAGTAAATCTATTGTAATCATTCTAAAAGTCAAGCTAATCAGTGCCAATAGTCTCACCGAGTTCAAGGAGACCCTTGAAAAGAACTCAGTCGTCCTTGTAGACTTCTGGGCTCCATGGTGCGGACCATGTCGATTCATCAGCCCCATCGTCGAGAAGTAAGTCCCGCCGATGAACTCGCATATGTGCAACCTTGCTTACTCCTCACCACCAGACTGTCAGAGTCAGCTGGCTCAATCTACTTTATCAAGGTCAACGTCGACGATGCCGAGGATGTGTCTCAAGAGTATGGCATCCGAGCGATGCCTACCTTTATGGTCTTTAAGGATGGTGAGAAGGCCGATGAAGTCGTGGGAGCAGACCCTTCTAAGTTAGAGAGGCTTGTTCAACAATTCCAGAGCTAGATACGGTTAGGAATCTGTATTTCCTCGCTACTGGACAGAGGACATACTTAAGCCTGAGCTTCATTAATTATTGTCTCATTTGATAATAATGGAGAGTTTGAACCTTTCAAGTGATACAGAAGCTTCTTGCTTTATCAAATCACCTTTGCACTCTCCTTTTAAGCCGTCATGACCACTATTTTAACTATTTACACTACACATTTGCAAAGGGACGTGCCACTAATGGATCCCCGGTGACCTTGAGGCTCTTTGTGCCACCGCATTGAGTTCTCGCAATAGTCACACAGCGACTGTCAATATCGACTGAGGTATTATTATTCCAAATCAAACGCGATTCCCGCCAGCTGTGACATGGACATCGCGTCCCTGCAAGACACGAGATTTCACACGAGTCACCAACGTTCAACTATACAACACTGTGGAATACCTCTTCTAAATTCCTATGAAACTGATGCTAAATAAGTCATTGCTACAGCAGCTTCGTTGAAAGATTCCCCAAACACTGCACTGAACCAAAGAAAGATCAAGATGGTCGTCCACGAGATCCATTCGTAAGTAAACCCTAACCTCTTTCCCTCCCTCCAACGCTGCAACAAGTCACTGATTCCGATTATAGAAAGCAGGAATTCAAGGAAGCCCTTGAAAACCATGCAACAGTCCTAGTTGACTTCTGGGCTTCGTGGTGCGGACCTTGCCGAATGATAAGCCCCATCATCGAAAAGTAAGCTCGAAATACGGCTCTTAACACCTACGGCCAACTGACGAATCTTGGCAGATACTCTGAATTTTCGGAATATTCATCCATCTACTTCTGCAAGTTAGAAATTGATGCGGCCAGAGAGGTTTCTGACGAGCTGGGTATCCAGACAGTGCCTACTTGCGCGATGCATAAGGGCGGTACCAAGGGTGATGAGGTCCATGGGGCGTTTCCACAGATCATAGAGCAAATGCTGAGGAAGTATGTTAAGAAGGAAACGGATCCTGCTTCAGAAGAGTAAGTTGGTAACGAAAAGTTTGGGTACAGAAGTTCGACCCCGAGACTTTTACTTCGGTAGTAACAAGCTTAGCTACTCTCATCCTAGCTTCTGTGTCATGATTTAATTGAATAAGCAAGATTGTATGTGCGCAGAGAAGTCTGAAGCTTCTCCCAACCCCTCAACCTTGTAATTCTACCATAGTAGCCTTTACCACGCTACACACTTCCCTAAATGGCCGAGAATACTGCCGATCTTCCAGCTGCCCTGAACAGTAAATAGGTAGTGACCTGAGAAGAGCAGTGATTTATAACCCGTCGTCCCTATTTATGCTCTGCCTCTGTGACCCTGAGTATCAGATTTTCATCATGAAACACCATGTAACTCTCCGACCTCATCGCCACCTCAGGCTCAACAAGCTGAAAATCAAAAACCCGGAGAAGCTATCAACACATGTCAGTAAGATCATCCACAACAACGATTCAAGTACACACCTCAAAGATAACCTTGTTCAGTTCCATAAACGCAATAGGCTTTCCAGCACACATCCACCGTCCATAACCAAACACAATCTCAACATCTCGCTTCATCTGAGCACTGGTCTCCTTATCAACTTCAAGATATCTTTCTGGTCGGAAGACTTGTGGATCAGGCCCGAAAAGTACTTCGGAGCGTAGGAGGGAAGATGCGTTGATGCCGATTGATGTGCCTGCTGGGATATACTTTCCATGCATGGTTTCTCCGCCGGCTGGGACGTCTTTGAAGAACATGCCTGTTGTAGCTGGACGAATTCGAATTCCTTCGTAGATTACTGCCTGTTCAGCCAATGTTAGCATGTTTATATGGAATCTGGCGGTATAGCAAACCTGGAGATACGGTAATTGTCGAGACTCAATGTCAGTGATTGGGTTCGAAGCTCGGCCTTCAGATATCGCTTCGGTGATCTCTTGTCTCAGGCGCTGATATATGTGAGGAGAAGCGACAATGTAAAGAAGTATAACCCGTATGACAGTGGCTGTGGTTTCTGATCCTGCTAGAAACATGAACAGAGCCTCAGCCTGACATTCTTCTAGTGTTAAACCATGTCTCTTGAAGGAGCCCTTTCGTAGATTAGTATCCAACAAGATCTGGGCTGGAAGAAGAACCAACCAGCATATCGTGGTGCTCATCAGCCTCTGGAGCGTAACGCTCACGAACAATGGTGTTCGCGACTTTCATCAACGGGCCAATTCCCTTGGTATCTTTCTCCGTCGGACCAAAGAGCTTGAGAAAAAGAGGAGAAAAGATCAAGTTTCTCAACCAAGGAATGTCCGTTGCAAGCGTCATGACCATCACATGTTCATTGAGCGCCTTGGCAATCCCGTGAAAGTCTGAGTCAGCCTTGAGATAACCAAATTCTTGACCAAGAGATAGATTGGATATAACATCAAGCGCAAAAAGGCGAGTTATTTTGGTTCCTTCAATTGGACGATAGTCTCCCTGTGTAGAAACATATTTATCTTTGATTAGTTCAATCAAATTCTCAACCTGCTTGTTGACAGCGGCTTCAAGATTCGGAGCATCGCGTCCACTGTAGGCTGGAGATAGCTTGGCTTTGACGCGATCGTGTTGGACTGGGTCTGTTATCTGGAACATGGGGTCGTGATATGGATTGAATTTGCCGCCATGATACCAATTTCCTTTGGTGTATGTATTTCGAGTACTTGAGACCTTTCGGATCAAGCCTGGGTCATCGACAAGGACCTCGTTAGGTCCAACCCTGACGATGGGTCCATATTTGCGATTGAGATTGACCAAGTGATCATGTTGTGTGCCAGTGATGGTGATGTAAGCCAACCATAGGTATGAGAACCTGCCGAAGAAAGGACCCGGTATATGTCGAAGACGATACCAAGAGAAAACTGAAGATAAAAGAAACCAAGTAAAGAGAGCAACGATGAAATACGGAAGCCATGTAAGGCCCACCTCAGAGAATGGTGAAGCCATGATGATGTACCTAAGCTCTGAACAGCAGCAAGAAACAGCACTGATCGGGAATATATAACAAAGCCCAATCTCAATCCTATTTTACTTTTGCTATCGGGCACATAAGATGGCTGTCTTGGCAATCGCAGCTGAAAAAGAAAAAGACATGATTGGCACATTTACGACAATTGTGTAACCCCAATCAAAGACATGCAGCATGATTACGTGGTTTTCCTTGATTAAAGGGCCTCAAAAAAGCCACGGAATATGTGAGATGGTATCAATGTCTTGGACAAAAGGGCATTCTAGATACGGCGGCTCTTTGTCTTCAACAATTGGTGGACGATGGTGATGGTTGTTTAAAGTGCATCGTTGGGAGTTAGGATTAGACTGCTACTTGATTAACCAATCAGAATAGTTCGGACGGACCTTCAGATCTATCGCAAAGTAACGCACGTCATCAGAGGTTTCAACTACTCAATAACGATCACTTCCTTTTCAAGAAGGTTGCTTTACATAACCGAGTTGTTTCCATAATTTATGCAACAGTATCATCCTACAGCCGAAGCACATCATACCTTCACTTCGGGCTCAAGAACAACATCCGGCAAGGCGGGGTTGATACGACGTTGAGATAACAAAACCTATAAATTCATCATGTCCGACGGTCGCTATGACTCTCAAGGTGAGGATAAAAAGCCTCAAGTGTTCAATATGAGCGTCGCAAACTCCAACGTTGTCGTGGTTGGTGGAGGTATCGTCGGTGCCTCTGTCGCTTGGCATCTCTCCTCCGAGACAAACGTCACCATCATCGCGGAAGACATCGGAGGGGTAGCTACTCCCAATTCATTCGCTTGGCTGAATGCTGCATCGTCGGATAAGAAGTTCTACTACGATTTTCGACTTAGGTCTCTTGAACACTGGAGGGAGATTGAGAAAGCTGTTGATAACTTGCCTATTCATTGGGGAGGCACTACGAGCTGGGATAAATCACCTGAAGAACTTGAGCAGGAGGAGAAGAACCTTACTGATTGGGGATATGATGTTATTCGTGTTGACAAGACGGAGATATCGCAGCGAGAACCTCATATTGAAGACACGAAGCTTCCGGAATGGGGTCTTGGTTATGATGGAGAGGGAGCTCTTGAGGCTGAAAGGGCTGCGGAGCTACTGATTAATCTCGCACAAGACAATGGCGCCAAATTCCTCGAAACAAAAGTCAAAGGCTTCGCCAACACCGATGGCCATATCAGCGGCGTTATTCTCTCTTCCGGCCAAACCCTCCCCACAGACCATGTTGTCGTTGCCGCGGGCCTTGGAAGCGTCTCCCTTCTCGCATCACAAAATATCTCCCTTCCCCTCAAAAGCACAGCCGGTCTTCTCGTCAACACAAAACCCACCTCTAAAAAATTAATCAAAGGTGTAATAAACGCCCCCGAACTACACATCCGCCAAACCCTCGAAGGGGCTCTCCTCTTCGGCTCCAGCTACGCCGGCGGAGATCTAGGCGACGACCCCGAAAAGACAGCACGTGAACTCTTCGCTAAACTTCAAAAGTCGGTCATTGGTGGGGATGAGCTTGAGTTCAGTCACTACACTATTGGCCATAGAGTTTTACCAGAGGATGGACTGCCGATTCTTGGAGTCACAGGAGTGGATGGACTTAGTGTTGCTGTGATGCATTCCGGAGTTACAAATGGAGCTCTTGTTGGGAAGTTATTGAGCAGGCAGATTCTCACTGGGGAGACGGATCCTATATTGGATAATTTCCGACTTGATCGTTTTGCATAAATGCTCTCTCGTGTATCTTAGACCCAAGTCATTCCGATTCAGACGTGGATCGGATGCTATGGCAAGTTTTCAGTTCTTGCAATGTGTCCAAGAAAGTATAGATAGTCGAGTTCTCGAGCATAATCCTCCAAGTGCCCCTACGATGATGATGTGTCAGGGAGAAGGACGAGTTTGCTTATATGTTGAATGAAAAATCTGGCCAGATCGATGGGTCCCTCGTTTATTTGTTCAGATGTGTCTCGTGCGGGCTCGAAAGGTAGTATCTTTCGTCGACGAAAGCAGTCAAGGATTGAATGCGCTGAATCGCCTGGAGACTACTGCTTGATTAAATTCGGGTCAAGTTGATACCGCAATGTAGAACTAGGTATTTGTGGAGAAGAGATTCCAATCTCCTCTTCCATCCTCTGCAACCTATCAAAGAGACTACTGTCTCTTTTCTTCCCCATTGTAGTCTACAAATCCTGCGGACGGCCCATCCCGACTGATCATATAACCGAACCTCTTTGGCTCATCGAGCACCAGTGGCGGCATATCCTTATTACCCTCAATTCTAACAAATTGATCCTGTTCCCTCCCCCAGAGATCTTTCCCATCTCTTACTGCAGCAGCGATCTTATCTTTATCCCTATACTCTTCACGATTCATCCACCGATGAGAAAAGCTCGCCATCTTGTTCAGAAATTGGTCTATCGTCGGAAAACAGCTGCTGCAATGCCATCCCGCGTTACTTAGCACGCCCCTCTCTAGGAAGCGAAATGGACGGAAGCCTCCATCTCCATTACGAAGATTGGTGGGTTTGAGGGTTCGACGTCCTTGGTAGTAGGTCGCTTGGGGATGTTGCCACTCTGGACCGTTGTGGAGAAATTGGAATGAGTAGTAGTAGAATTTGGAAGACAGTGTTAGGCGGCGAGGGAAGTTGCAGTATCGGAGCACGAGGAGGGATTGTGGACGGGGGATCTCATCGACGTCTGCTACGATGAGGACATCTCCTCTGTTTGGTGCTCTTGGTCCGTCGAGACTAAGCATGACTTGCTCGAAAGGGGCGTCTCGTTGCAAGTCTTCGTAGTCCCAGGCTCGATGGGGGTCAAACGTGGATGGATATACCAACTCATGGTAGATGATCTTGTCGTGATATCGACGGAATCGTTCCCAATTCCCTTTGAGGATAAGGGGTTTGGTATTGCCTTGGAATGTTTTGGCTGACTCTACGATGATGAAGTAGTCGGCATAATCGTATAATGCGTTGAGGCGTATTTCAAGAAAGTCCAGCTCGTCGTTTATCATGAGCATATCGTAGACTTTGCGCTGGCTTGGGGGACTATTGGGCACAAAGGCTGAGTAGCCATGGATGGTGCAGACATCATGAGCTGCTCTAGAGGCATTGGTATCTGTATGATAACCGGAAGTCGGTTTCAGTAAGTCCAGTGATTGTAGCGGTTCGGTAATCACTTCATGAGTGCCGCGAAGTGGTTGGAAGGTCCACCAGATCAGAGAGCAAATACCAATAACCAGAACGACCCTAGGTATTGGTTTAGGTACCATATTGACCCGAATGTGAAAGATTGGGAGTGAAGTGTGCAAGACAAATTGAATCTGACATGCCTCTTTGTTACCGTTACCTAAGCTGACTAAGGACTGTTGGTTGCACACGGAACTCGGCATGGTTACATGTGAAATCCTGCAACCAATAACATCTGATTACTGTGATACGAGCAGTGCAGTCTGACTTGAGGGAGTTTTGATTGGTTGATGAAAATTGAAACAAGGTAGGACGGTAATAACGCACGAGGGGACTTTTGTGCATCTTTTGTGGTGATCAACCAACTGCATATAAGTAGTAAAGTATTGTACTCTGTTTCTTTGACTAATGGATTGTTGGTCCACGGGTGGTCTGATCTGAATAAGGCGGCCATTGGCGAGTCCTGCAGTAAGAATGCGGGCAAACAAGGTAGTATCATGACAGATGATCGACCGGGCATATTCCGTCTTGGCCAACGGGAGCTAAATAAGTGCCGATCCTAACCACAGAACGAATCAGGGCTTTTTCCAAGACTAAGCAGCCAATGCAATGGCAGAAGATTGGAGATAACTACCAAGATTATGTTACCAGTGCGCTCCGTTAGAGGATACAGTCAGACGGTCAAGTGAGGCCCGTTTGCTTTGACACCTGTTAAAACACTATGTGCAGAAGGCCGATCATACCGCCGTGGAAGACAGTCTAAGACAGGTACCGGTACGAGAGGCCCAATCGCGATCGCCCCCAGCGCAGGACCTTTTGTTATGCATGGTCCTGGAGTTAACCAGTGATAGCTCTTTCAACAGGGATCTCAGCCCTGTCGCCGTTCAGCTTACCTGCGGCCCGTACGAATGTAACTCTTTCGTAGGAATGCCGGAAGTCGGGTTTACTGAATGCTGATCTTTTTTGACGAGAGGATTTCTGGACTAGACTTTGCAATAAGATTGAGAAGCTTAGATCAGTTAAAATAATGCTGTGGACTAATTTTAAAACTCAAGCAGGCCTACTGACTTCAAAGACAGGTCTAATCGAGATTGTGCTAAGATCCCTGTAACATTTTAGAAATAATGCTATCCCGCACAAGTCTAGCCATGTTTGCAGTATATCAATTTATGCGTGATTCGTTTGAATCATACCTTTCTATCAAGGTGGCTAGGCCTTTTGGTACTTTACGAGGACTTTCAGCAAGACTGCAGCTCGTCATGATATGCAATGAGGGATTTTCGAGGCCGGCGCGCTCCTTTCTCATTCCATCCTGCGAAAACTGGAGCGAAGTGAGGTCGCAGTCCTTTGAAAATTTGATTTTCATCAACATACGTAATTCTGCAACCTTTACGCTTCTTATCTAACATGTGGGTGTCTTGAGCCCTGAGTGAAGCTATCGGAGTTCTAGACAGCCCTATTATATTGATACTACTCAAGCTTATACGACAACGTTTAGCAAAGGTTTTCATCCCCTTGGAAAGCACGAGTGAGATATTCCCATGGAAATATTGGTGTCTCTACTTAGACAGAAATAAAGCCGAGAGTCGTATGATGCTGCACTTCCATATGTACGCACAATCTGATGTGCATCTGCTCGTAACCCACTGAGGCTTACCAGCACGAAGCAGCTCCCAGATTTGAACATCAGATGTTTCTCAATGACGTTGCGAGATGGATCCTTCCTCAAGGTCACAGTGAGGAATGTCCCCGTGCATGAAATGAGAACAGAGGATGAAAAATATACCCAAGTTGAGACCTGCGCTCGTCAGAAGTGGTCTGCCACCATGTAATATCCAAGTGCAAATCATTGACGTGATGAGTGAGAATTACTCTCCTAAATAGTTATAAAAGCTCCCAGTAATCTCAACTTGACCAGAGATCACACCGCAAGCTTCTCACCCCTTCAATCAACAATCCATCAAACACAACACCACCAAAATGAAGACCGCATTCTTCAACATTGCCGCCCTGGCCTTCACCGCCATCTCTGGCACCATTGCCAATCCCGCCCCTAACGGAATGGCAGTTGACATCTCCGAGCGCGACGGAGTTCTTGAAGTCCGTGAAGTTGTAAGTCGCCTCACCTTTCGAGCAGGTGAATTTATTATTGACGTTCAAAGCCCCGTGCCGAGGCTGGCATTCAATGCAGAGAGTGTGTTCATCTCGGTGGTCGCTGCACCATTGGTGATGGAAGCTGCTATGCTTCTGAGCATGCTAGTTGTCGCTGGTGTGGAAATCACTGCAAGTCTCGATGTATTGGTGATGGACAGACTTGTGAGCAGTGGTGTCTCTAAGTTCATCAGAGGGGTCAAATCTTTGGTAACAAGGCTTGAACATATACGCGATGGGTGACCTGACTCCCTGCATGGAGTACAACTACAACACTCGTTTATGGTAACGGAGTTTTTGAATGAAGCTAGCTAGCTTAGTACACTCGCTTTATTGAAGCTATTGTCGCATATCCCGTCAAGCTAGTCACTTCTGATCTTGATGTTCGACTTGTAACATCGCCTTCAGATGGGCTAAAAGTGAAAAGGCTCGAGATGCTTATAGGATCCTTATAAAAGTTTAAATAAATTAAATACAGACTTATGCTTGGCTTGGTTGAACAATGCTCGAGACCAGGCCCTTCGATATGCTGATGTTGCATGACTCTCGCTTCTGCCTGATGTTATTCTGACTCTGATCAAGCTCTTGTAAAACCTGACCAAGCCCAACAGCTTTTCCATTCTTCAAAACAGGCATCAACTTTGCTCCACGTTTTCTGAAGCAGCCGTTTACCAAAACAGCCTCAATATCGCGAGCTTCGCTGTACGTCACGATCGCCGCGACCGGCTCTTCCCTCGCTGATGCCCCAAATGCCAAAGATCGATCTCGCGAGAACACCAGAATATCGGCTCGTTTACCGACAGCAATAGATCCTATCTCATTTTCCATGCCAACAGCCCTCGCAGCTTCGATAGTGGCTTTGTTAAAGACGTCATGACTCGTGTGATCAAATCTATCAACCTTTTGATCTTGTTCTTTTAGTTCAAGTGTCTTTTGCAGACGGGAGAAAAGAAGAGCGGTTCTAGCTGCTTGCATAAGAGATGAGGAGGTGAGGCAATGACAATCTACGCCCAAGGCTGTGACGAGGCCTGGTTCGAACAGGAGGTGCCAGCCCATTGAGCCTTGGGCTTCTGTGGCTGGCGTGCAGGCTAATGGGACGCGGTGCTTTTTGAGTAAGTTGAAGTCTTCGTCGTCCATGTAGTTTCCGTGGGAGATGACGATAGTGTAATCGTCTTTTGGGGTAGGGAATAGAGAATACCTCTCAAGGGCTTTTGGTACCGATGGCCCTATCGTTGTTAGGCAGTCAATGAATAGGTTTTTGTTATTGGCTTACCAAAATTTCCACTATGCGACGTGATAAGCTTAACACTGGCTTTGAGTGCTCGACGGAATAACTTGTCAACTTCTTGCTCTGGCATATGATATCCATCAAACGAAAGGCCAACGTTGACACAGTCATTCCCAAAGGGGCCTCGTTGGGCTAGGTCTTCGACATGCTTGATGAAGGGTTCGGAAATGGACATGGCGTTAGGGACGCATGACTTGTTGTCCCATTTCTTCAGGTTTAGAAACGTTTCTCCGTATGCAAATACACCTCGGATACCGGAGTCGGAAAAAGCAGATATAGCAGACTCAGCTACTTCATGTTAGTCTTGATCGAGCAGAGAAGGGTCTCATAGACATGCCGTGTTCGGGAGATGTGCAGCCGTGGCAATGGTCGAGAACGAATGTTGTTCCGGCGTCGATGGCTTCGAGGCAGCCAGCCAATTGGCCCCAGTAAATATCTCGAGGGGTATAGTTGAAAGATTGTAAAACGTCTAAAATTTCAGCGACCTTGTTTCACTGCTGGATACTACTGACCATCTGAGAAGTATTCCAACCAGAAGTGATCCGTGCCATATCCTTTGAGCTGCGTCTGCCAAAGGTGATGATGTGTATTGATGAAACCCGGGCTGACGATCTTGTTGGAGCAGTCGACAATTTCAGCATGAGGTGGAGGTTTGATAGATTTGCCGATTTCCTTGATAATGCCGTCTACTATCAGAACATCCGTGTTCTCGACAACTTGAACAGAATCTTGCTCGCCATGTTGTATGACTAAGCCATTCTGTAAAAGAATTGTCGTACTCTTTGCAGCCTGCGTTGATTGTCTTTTATTATTTCTTGACGGCTGTAATTGCTTCCAAAGCTGTAAAAGAAGTAGTGAGACATGTTGATTCTAAGATTGAGCCTACAGAATATCTATTTCCTTTCTACCAATTCTCACCTTTCTTTATATATTCAACACAATCAGCTAATTACACACTCCCCATTTTCGCTAAGGATCAAGCTGTGGGTGTAAAGTGATTGGTAAACTGGACACTTCAACAACTGATTATCGCCGAACTGGATCTAGGCTTGCATTAACCTTGGCAAATCGTTGGAGAACCATGTGGGAGGAGTATTACGAGGTGATCTGTCAGCGGATGCAGCTATCTTCAAACGAGACCTAGGTTGCCAAGTTCGTGTTAGTTTCAGCCAAGACAGTAAATATCGGGGCCTCGGCGCGATCTACTTGGCGAAAGGCCGAAATAAACACGAGTGCCGATGGGGTTTTGTATGGCTTATCGGGACTTGTTGTCAGCGGGTGCCGACTTCTCTCCACTTTGCTTCCCCAGACTTCATGTCGATCGAAAGGATTCTAATGAACTGTGGACCTTTCTTGTTCTTGCTCAGCTTTATCTTGTCTTTGGCGTGTATCATGTGCTCGTTTCGGAGGCTTTTGACGTAATGCTTTCGTGGATTGGCTACATTTCTCGGTGGAATACGCTCCGTATCCTGACTTGGCAGTGAAGAAGAAGAGCTTTGTAATTATGACTGAGGTTCAGTTGGTTCGGGAAGTGGGGGTTCAAGAGTTCAAGATAGAGGAAGCTCTAAGGAGTGTATAAAGAGGGCCTTCTGGAGGTTGAGAAAGATTCTATCCAGTTCAATGTGCTAAATTATTATGGGGATGTTCTACTATAAAGGTTCTTACTTGTTCTTTATCACTATTGAATTATCGCGATCATGATCTTTGGAGAGGCTTGAATTGCTTCATCTCCACTGTCCCGTGGATCCACTTCCACAGCTCCGGACTGCAATTGGCCCAGACGACAATAAAGACCTGGCAGTCACTGAAATGCCCAATATCCAAGCTATAAAGAATTCACGAATGTTGCTAAACCTCATCAGAAGTTGTTATTTATAAAAAGCAAAGTTTTGACAGATCTTGTCTCGATAACGTTTCTTCCCGCTACATGATCTCAAGCAATGCAACTCTGATTCCGCAACTCTATTCACGCGCTCCAAGAGAGAGTTTTCCCAAAAGTTAAAATGTCTCATTACCCTGCGATAGCTATAATTGATTGATCAATCACATGACCTAATAGTATCACTTATATATATCTACATGTGCCAATTTTCTTTATATGGGAAAATGTTTCCCATAGTTCGTTCCAAGACCGCGCGTATGCAGGCCTGTACCTGCGAAGCTGGATAGAAGCTGCTTGGGTGATTCATTAGGACTTGCATGCGAGCTACTGCATAATCAATGGCAGTCATTCCATTTTAAGATTACCTTGTGAATGCGTAGATTGTGTTACTGATTCACGTTGCGAGATATAAGTGGGGTTCTACCTGCCACTGCCCAGGAGGATGCAAATATGTTCGACCGCGTCCGCGAAAATCTGCCGCTGTTACGGAACTTCACCTTCAAACATTCCGCCTGGGGAGTTTATTTTGAAGACTTTCTAGGAAAACCTAACAAGGATGCGCTGTCTGGAAGGTATTACACCTTTGACGAAGGATACTGGGGGGCAATATGGTACAAGCCCGTCAACGAGCGTCAGTCATCGTTCCGGTTCGGAACTAGCTATTTTACGGACGACGACATGCCAGGAAGCCCAGTGGGTTTGTACACGCGTACTGAGCCAGCTGATCGCCAGGCATTGGAGAGGCTAGTCGAAGAGACACGGAAGCGACGTGAGGGGAGATAGTACGCTCTTGGGGGAAGGAGGATCAATCATAAGCAATGCTGAACAAGTTAGAGGAATTGTGATTCATTTCCATGCAAGGAGTAGACTCTGGTATCTATGATAAAACAACGATCATCTCTCTTAACTGCTCTCATCTTTCCAACAAACGGACCAAGAAACAGGGACCAAAATTTAAGGATGTACAAGTGAAACCAAACGAGGAAAAGCCTCCAACCAGGGTGGCCCTAGTTCCCAATTATTGAGATCACATGCAATGGCCTCAAACTCGGGGCTGACGCGAACCTGACCACCTTCAACAGCCATCAAGGGACATCCAGGCGGCCACTTTAGTTGAAGAGACTCGAGGTATATCTTGACGGAGTGCCTTGACTTGATACGTGGATTCGTACACAAAAAGTCTCGCAGATCGGGCCAAGGGATGTAATCGATGCTCACAGGATGAGGATACGTATTCTGAACCTCGGTAGGAAGCAGCCACGGCGGTACATCCTTGAGAGTCATAGGATCAGGATGTAAGCGCCACTACGCGAAGGATTAGTATGCAGGAGACAATAAGGTAAAGATGAACTTACTCTCATAAGACGATAGGCAAAGAAATAGACCCCAAACAAAGTCTCCACACTAGCCATCTCAAAACCCTTGAGAAACGACGTGAGAAAACATGTGACTGCATTATCCCCGTAAGAGTGAAGCGTCATGTTAGGCAGCTCAGGGTTCCTCGGCAGGGACCTAGCGTGAAGCGGATCCTTGGGAAAAGCAGCATGGGTCTCGTAAAGTATCGCGAAACTTCGATACTCGAGACAATCGCTCTGCGAGTGATGCTGCACTCCACATCGGCAATCGACATGCGACGGCGTGGGAAATAAACTCGACACTACCTCCGGAACCTCCGCAGGTGGGATATCGTGGTGGTCTGCTGCACATGGAGCACCCGCCGCTCGTCGCCCTGCGGGGAAGCCCGGGGTCTCAACGCTCGTGTCCATCTCGTAAGCCTCGCCAGGGGGTTTCTGCGAAGATCTCTGTTGCAAAGCCACCAGATCAGCGCTCAACTGCGGAAGCGTCCGGAGTTGAGCAGAAACAGTGTCGAGGTTCTTCCGGATCTGTGCTATGTCTGCTTCCATCCTCTCCATGCGTTGTTTGTGCTCTTGCCGGTTCTCTCTGTGCTTGACGCGATCTGCCAGTCGCTTCTGGCTCATTTGAGCTTCTGTGCGCACTCGTCGCTTGGACGAGCCGCTAGGTGGAGACGCGGACATGAGAGGTGAGTTGAGGTGGCTGAAATAGGGAGGTGGTATATAGTCTGCCGTCAATATCGAAAGGGATATCCACTGTTTTGAACGAGGGTTTTTGACGATGGTTGAGTGAGAAAACTCAACGGTGAAGAAGAAAAAAAGGAGGACGCGTCCGACGTCGACCAGTTAAATAGACTTGAATCCCGGTTACGATAACCCCCGTGTCTTTTACTTGGCACTGAACTTCAAAGTGTCAGGATTGACACTAAGTTAGGAGGTAGTATGTCAGGTGTGCATACATACGGATACGTGTAGAGGTAAAAAAGGGAAACAGTAGCAAAAGCGAGCGTTGAATTTCTTTCCTTTGGGTGTGCGAGTTTGGCTGCGACGGGAGGCGAAACGCGGGGTAAAGCGCCGAGATGAGCACCGGATTATTCCCTGTTGGTTCTAGCGGCGCAGGGGTTTGCTAGGTCTGTTGGGGAGGAATGGTTGATGGGTTGAGGATGTGATTGGTTGGAGGTTGTGAATGATTATCAGGAACTTGATTTTGACATTTGACGGGTGATTTAAGCATAGATTGAGTGGTGCCTAGATTAGATTATGTATGTTTTGTCGGTTTAGGGAATTTATCCGGTTTGAAGGGAGTGTCAGTTGGATGTAATGAGATGAGGGGCTAACCCAACAAAGTAGGCCAGAGATGATCTTGCATACCCTGGAGCTGTGTGAAAATACGAGACAACTCTTGCTACATTGAAGAACAAGGCATGTGCTGAAGATCTATAATGGGTTGGTTTATCCATTTCTCGGTCACGTAAAATTTTTCATGAAAAATTCGGACGGTTCGAGTTTTCTGTTCTAACTTCAGTGCTGCAGACTTTGAACTGGTAAGATATAAAAACTGTAACCAAGCAAGCGTGTTGTCTTCAAATCCGGGAAGACAACACTAAGTTTTGAACTAGTCAGATAGTTTGAGACTATATCAAGTTGTGAACTCGATCCCTCAACCCTTATTCGCCAGTGGAGGCTGACTCTGCCTTCTGCCCATAAACAACAATACTACCCAAAGATTAGTAAGATCTCAGCCCATTTCAACGTCACTTACACAGGAAGATAAGCATGAATCTTAGGATCCCTCAGCTGCTTCCGCACCTCCGCACAAAAAACCAGAGTCTCCTCCTTAGTCCACTTCATTCCCCTCGTAAACAGCGCTAAAGTCAAGCCTTCAAGCCCACCATCAAGATTAGCAAAACTCCAAGCGCCAATCTCCTTGTAGTAAGGGTCTTTGGCCCACGCATTAAGAGGCCATTTAAAGTGATGCTCAACAATGTTGATGAAGCCGGCTTTTAGCATCATGGTTTTGTAGTGACGCGGCGCTTCGACTGAGCGGCCGAGGATTGCACTGGCTTCACAGAAGTAGTGGCCTAGTTTGGCGAGTTCGAGATCTGGATGGAGGGTGCTGTCGTCAGATTTGTAGGGGAGGACTATGTCTTGCATTTCGAACCATCCACCTGGCTCAAGGGCGCTGAGATATGTGAGTTACTGGCTTTGAGTTTGGATGGAGACTGACTTGTAGGCTTTGGAGATGAAGGAGTCATAATCTTCGAAACTACCCGCCATGACGCGACTAAAGACAAAATCGAATGGTTTTGCCCAAGTCCATTCTTTTTCGACATCGTCGATTTCGAATGTGCAGTTGACGGGCACCCTTAAAGAGTCAGTGATTGTTGCGTCTGACTTGCTGGTTACTTACATGGTAGGCTGAGTTGGGCTCAGATCAACACCAATCACCTGCTGGGGTAAGATATCTATGCGGCTTTGCTATTTGATACGACTTACTTCTGACTGAGGAAAGGCATCGGCTTCGATTCCATTAGCGAATACAGAACAAGAATGGTAATTCTGACTGACCATATTCGATTGCCCAGCATCCTGTTCCCGTGCCCACATCAAGGACTCTCTTGGCAGCTTCGTTGCCCTTGGGACACAGCGCCAGACTTCCACGGAGAGTTAAAAGCCAAACGTTGTGCTGAATTTCTATCAGGTCATCAGCCAAGTGTAAAGGGTTTCTGGTCATGTCTTGGTCTTGCCTAGACGCTCATTCTCGCTTTGATCATTGGGATACGCATATTCTACCGATCATTAGTCAATATCACGCCACTTTCCATGTTTCGACTTGCTTCCAGCACTCATTGAGTGATATGTACGGCCATTCTCAATCTGATGCTGAAGAATGCTCGATCGCAGCGAAGCCAGAGAATCGGTAACCGGCTGGCGATAATCAGCTTTGAGAATCATCAAGGAATCATCCGATGATCCCTCAACTCACCTGAGACAGTGTAGAATCCGCATCAGAAAAGGTATCCGGATCCTTAAAACAAGTGAGTGGGTAGACAATTATGTCTGAGCATAGTGACCAACAATGAAATCGCCTTGAGGCCCAAGCCGTTCTTCGGAAGCCATCTCAATAGCTGGAGAGTTACGATTTGAACCCCTCTCGTTTGAGAGAATTATGATTTTATATCATGTTACTTTCCGCGGGACGCGTTGTCAACAGGGATTGTCCTTTGTCATACTCTATCCCCTCGAATCGTTGCTTCGCAATCCCTGTATTTTCACAAGTGACAGGACCAACATGCATACCCGAGCATCCCGCGTGGTAAGTTCCCCGACAAAGAACCATTCTGTTATGTGAAACTCGGGCCGACGGCCGACATATTCCAGAATCCTTGATAGCCTGCCTGTTCACCCGGAACTCTAAGTTATATATAAGTAGCAAGAAATAGTTTGTAGCTCGTAGGCTCTAAAAGCAACAGTCTGGGATATCCATAAACCAACCCCTTTGTAAGTGATCAGTCGCCCAGCATGTTAAATAAGGCCGTGATGCAAGAAAGCTGGTATAATCAACAAGTTTGCCTCTTCAACAGAGTTTGCCAAGCCACTTTCCATCACCAGAGTAGAAATTCGCCTCAAGCAGGCGATCTCATAGACTCCTTCACTTGCGGTTTTAGATAACGTCTCGGTCGGCCCCAGAACCTCCTTCACTTGAGAAGCTATAGCAAGCATGAATATCGAAAAGATCTCCTGCGCCCACATCACTGGCAAGTTTGTCCTATAATTACCACGAACAACAAGCTCAACTATATTTTCTGGAGTATGCAATTCGGTGGAGGAAGGATTCTTTTCTTGCCTGCCGAGGCTTGTTAACATATAATCAGGTGAGCGAAAAATACGAGTGACATACTTTGATAATGAAGATAAGAACATTCCAAGGCAGAGGGAATGTCCACGAGGTCTCCAGCCATATCGGTAGGTGTTATTGGGGTACTCATCTCGCCTTTTCAAGATACTGAGTTCAGCCTGTACAGCAGGATGTATGAGCCATTTCTTAAATTGGCCAATCTTTTCCTCAGCTGATGTAGCTGTGCTATGACCTATGACACGCCACGGGATATGCGAAGATCTGTTCTGCCATACATCGGGATTTGGAGATAGCATGGAAAATAGGCATATTGACAGAACAGCCTCAAGATACTCAGCATCCGCTAGTATCCAATGCGGTGGCGTATCAGGACTGATTAAATCTCGTCTGGTTTTGGCGCGGCTTGTGAGATGGAATCGAAGCTGTTTTGTCAATACATCTGTTAAGCTATCGGGCATAAACCGACCAGACACAACGTTAAAGCTCCATATTAGGCTGATCGGAATAATTCCACCGGAGACATCGTGATCACTATTTTCACCGGACTGGCCAGGTAAAATATTCAGATTCTTCCAGGTTACTGTTCCGGGCTCGCTGAGGAAGTCCATTACCTTTTCGATAAGATCCCGCAGGTTGTTTGAGACGTTGTTTCCAAGCGATTGCATATCGGTATATAAGGTTTTAGTAAGAGGCCCGATGAGATATTCGGGGAAGTAGCATCGATCGCGGAGGATATAAGCTCCCATACACGTCCAGATGTTTGCCTATGTGGAGTGTAGTTGTGATCCTTGTCATCACCGACCAGAAAGAGAGTTAACCAAGCGAGCTCATGACATTCGGAAGTTGGTGGGGATGATATGAGGTTAGGTTCGCCGGCGAGACCTCGCCTTACCCAAGCTCGGATTCCAGTAATGACGAGTGTGATGCCTAGTTGAACAACAGTGGAGGACCAATGGAGAGCCCGAAAGCCAACGAACTGTACGATGTATCCTGTGACTGCCAACAGAGATGAGCAGTACGTCAACAGTCTAAGAATGTTATGCAGAGTCCAAGGGAGCAGATGTGATGGTTAGACTTACATGTAGCCCTTGGTATTATGGCCGATCCGAGAGATCTTGATACTGCCGTTGGAGTTGAAGATTGCATAGGATGGAAAGTGTTGCTCTCCGACAGTTCGACCACGCTGGTAGCAGAATATCTTGACATCATTTTCCACGTTCTCTTTTGAAACTTTAAACTCGAACTCTTCCGTTACACCCTCGATAACTTGTCCGCACATCATTATACCTACTATCAAGCATATACTCCCAACCGAGAAACATGGATATCCATATGCTTGAATAGTACTTTCACCTTTCTCCCATTCCCACAAGAATTCGGCAAGGGCTGGGAACACAAGGGCAAATAGCTGGAGTAAAACACCCAGCGCTGTCCATATCCACAGTTCATAAGATGGTGGTGTGGCATTGGGGACATTGAGAGCCAGATTTGGCGCGGCGTTGGAAAGGACTTCTAATTCCTCAGGGGTGAAATGACAGCCCTGGCCAGATACGCTGAGTACGTCATGGTTGACTGCCGTTTGGATGTCGTATACATTTCCGTACTTTGTGGCAATGAGTGTTTTGAGTTCCTCAGAGTCTCCAATTAATCGAACGATTTGTTGACCATTCCACATTTCGCACACGTTCTCAGAAGTGGATGATAGAAGCTCCTGCTCGGCAACTGATTGACTCTCTCGTGCTCTTGGATCATATTAGCTCTTGTATCCAGGTTTTGGTTATGGTTGTATACCTCCCGATCAGCGCTCTCAGCCTCTTATCTCCGCCTACATGAATGGCACTAACAACAATCGTGATAACACCAAGAGGCCCCATGGCAAGCAGGATATTATCAGCCCATCCCATACTCATGCTAAGAAATTGCTTGGTCACCTGCTCACCAAAAAGAGTGAGCAGCGGCGCAAGGTCACTGAATAGGTTGTTGGAAAAGTCATCACCTTCGAACTCGGACATTTTGATATGGTTAGTGCAGAAAGAAAATAATATTTTCAACCTGCGTGTTCACAATTCGCCGGGTACTTGAGTTATATCATCGAAATCAGGCTGTGGTATCTACAGGGTTTATGAGAGGGGAATATGCGGCTGAGGCTACTACATGCAGGAATATGGAACATCCCACCAATACCATGACGAGAAAAAGTGAGGAGGATGCAGTATGCATCTTAAGCGCCTAAAATGATGAAACTTTTTGCGGCAGCAATGATACCCTACTAATACAGCATTTTACAACGCACAAGCATAAAAGGTTGAGACTCCAAAAATGGCTTGAATACTCATCAAGGACTTCAAAATTTAACTATTAAGAGCCGATCCTAATGATAGCAGAAAGAGTAGCGATCTCGTAAGATTTTTACCACGAAAACTTTTGTCCAGTTGCCTCCTCAGAGAAATCCCACAGTTTCTTAGCCTCACTGCTCGAAACAGCCAACGGTTTAGCCCCAGTACTGATCTGACAATCAGCAAGATATGCTCCATAATTCTCACTTCCTTCATGAGTCTCTCCAATACCGATCGCAAGCTTTGGATCCAATGCAGCAACAAGACTGGTCGAAGCCCCAGCACCCAACGACTTATGAGTATAGAATCCCATCGATCCCAACTTCTTAACAGCTTCCAACGTCTCTTTGGGAAAGTTTCTTCCCAATTCAGTAGTCATGATAACACCAGGATGAGCAGCAAGAGTGAAAATACCATGCTTTTCGAAGAGACGCTTGTTTGCTTCGATGCCGAAGAGAACATTGGCGACCTTGCTGCGGTTATAGCCATCGAGGGGAACATAGGGAGTGTCTTCACTGTTTTTGTATCCCCAAAGTTTGAAAAACTCATAATTTGGCTGCTCTTCCTGGGGAAGGTCTTTGTTCTTTTTGTCAAAGTTCATATCGCTCCAGCGCATGTTTGATACCATAGGCGAAGCAGAACTGACATTGACGATACGAACGGAGCCCTTTGGTTTTCCCTCGGATGCTTTGATAAGCTTGGGTATTATTAGGCAGCTGAGAAGCCAGTGACCGATGTGGTTGGTTGCGAGATGCATTTCGATATCGTCTTTAGACAGAGTTCGCTCTTGGACGGCCATAATGCCAGCACTGTTGATGATTAAATCAATAGCAGGTATATAAGACCAGGAAAGAACTTCTTTGGCTGCGCTGCGGACGGATTCTTGACTGGAGAGGTCGACGTCCAAGAACCGGTAGTCTACATCTGGGAACTCTGCTTTGAGTTCATCGATGCTTTCCTTTGCCTTCGAGGGGTTGCGGCCAGCAAGGATGATATGAGCTGGGGACTGAGTGGACTAGACTTTTATCAGACTTGGAGGATGTGAAGTTCGAATGGGCTACTCACAAAAGCATGGGCGGTCGCAAAGCCAATACCACCACGATTTACTCCAGTGATGAGGACAATCTTGCCACGGATACCATCAGCAAAGGCTTTTGCAACTTCGACAGCTTCGGTGTTGGCATTGAATTCTGAGTGTGTTGTGGAAGCCATAATGATAGTTGATGAAGGTTATTGGGACGTTGAAGGGATAAAATCTAAATATTATGATTATGAATGTGTTCCTGGAAGTTTGTTGTTTAATTCTCTCTGGACGATGGAAAGCAGCCTATTTATGCTCAAATAAAACTCGGTTAGGACCCTGAATATTCACAATCCTCTCAAGCCTCGGTCTCGAAATTGACCAATACAAGACTTGCTACCCGATTCGGAAACCATCTCAAGATGTCAGTTGGAGATCCTGGCGCCACTATAGTCTAATCTGAGCCAATAAGAGACTTGCTACCACATCTGGTTAGAAGGTTCTCGGCATATTTCAGAAACCCCATTGGTTGGTTACATTTACCTTGAATAATATCTGAACGGAGTTAACGGGTTTCTTTCATTTGAGCATTAACTCCATCATTACACGTCTCTCAAGCGGACTTCATCCCATAACTTCCGACTTGGCTCGTCGTGGATAGCATTCATCCACGGAAAACTGGCCAAACTATCCTTTGCTTGTTCCCAAGTCATGATGCCAAGCATTGAAGCTTGGTCTCGGAGTTTCTCAACCATCCACTCACGTCCATCATTTGCAGGAACTGATATTCCCCCCAATATGAGAAGCCATAATGTGAACTCATCTTCGTGATCATCCAACATAGATCCAATGACTTCCTTCGCAAGAGCTGTGATAAGTCCCGGTCTAGCCATGCGATCCTGCTTGTTATGAAAGTAGATCGAGATCATAAATAGTGACAACCCGATGTTATATGCGGATTGAATATCCCCCTTGAGTCTCGATTCTTTCATCGTGCTAAACCCCAGAAGTCGATAGCTGATAGATACCAGGACTTCTTGGAACTCAAGCAGATTGAGCGGCTTCTTATCCATGTGCTTGTTGAACAGTCTGCACAATCTCATCGTGTCGAATAATACTTCTTGGAGGGCTGAGTCAAGTCGGTTATGACGGAGGGAGTATACATCTGAGTTGCGCTCCAGAGAGAACCCTCGAGATGTCAAGATATTATGTATGTGGCACATATGATCTCGATAAAACAGTGGATGTCCACCTTGTTGTAAGGCAAAGAGAATATCAGTCCTTCAGATATCAGCAAGTCACCCATCCAAAAGTTGACTAGTTTTTACTCACCTACAAATCTTGACAGCCACAATGCCATCTTCAATGTTCTCCAGCCCACCGCGGAGGTCGACTATCTTCTTCAAACCCGCCATATGAGTCTCCGCAGCCGCGTAATGTTCCGCTGCTTGCTCTTGGTTGATAAGAGCCATGATAATCGACATGGTATGGTCCGACAAAGCTTCTTTGCTATTCAGTCTCGCCTTCAACTGATCGAGAGTCCGAGATATACAAGCGAGTGAGTTGGTGCAATTGTAGCCTATGCCGAGATATATCTCGTTCGACGCTTGAATGAGAGCCAGAGAACAGTCGTAGGCTTGGAACAACTTAGCAGTGGGCGACATTTATAGAGGTCTATACTTGCATCCTTTATCGTGAAACATGATCTCGAGCCATTTGACCTTGTCCTTCTCGAGGGAAAAGCCGAGCTGGAAAGGATAGACGAGTCCGATTGTCACGTTGAAGACTAACTTTATCAGCACAACACGCCGACCTCGATTGGCGTCAACTCACAATCATCTATCGCCTTACCAGCAACCTTTGTGACTGGTACTGGAAATGGGAAGCTGAAGAACTGTGTTGCGAGCGGTCTAGGGATTCTTTCCATTGGTCGGTGCTGAACAACTTGATTTGTTCGCGATGGTCGATGGAATGTTTTGCCTGCATTCTTACCCTTCATTACATGCTGTCGCATGAGCCTTTTTGAGCTCTTGTCGGCGTTTAAGCCGTCCACGAAGAAGAAGTTCTGCTCCATCTGAGCAGTTGGTGGTTGAAAGAGTGAGATTCTGATGATGCCAACGTAAGCAAACTCCGCTTCAGTATTGGCGGGCCGCGTGTTTGTATACCTATTCAATGCACCATAACGAAAAGAAACTATCCTTCGACAATATGTAAAATGAGTGGCTTATCAAAAACATAACACAACGAATGTCACAGTTTCATCATGGACCCAAATTTCTGCTCATAATTCGTCTTCTCATTTTATTCTACTCTACATAAACTCTCATCATCTCTCATAATACAGACTTTTAAAAGTTATACATCCTAAACGGAAACAGATCCACAAGGACCTCCAGCATGGCTATGTCCGCTGGATCGCTTCAAAACAGAAGCAACCTCAGCATCCCATCGTCGGGTGTTGTGAGTAACCTTGGGCAGGCTCTTCCAGGTCTTAGCATAGCGAGCAACAGAGTTAGCAATGGCCTGGGTGTTGACGAGGAAAGCCTCCTTGTTGAGGTTTTTGATATCGTCGCCGATCTTGTGGTAGTTGATATCGTAAGCGACACCAGCCTCACCGCCGAACTTCTTGGCTTCCTCCTCGGTCTTGAGCTGCTCGGCGCCGGTGAAGAGACCGCCGGAGGGAATGCCGTTCTCGATGAAGGCGGCGTAGTCGGAGCGGCCGCTGAACTCAGAGGGGACGTAGCCGAGACGCTTGGTCTTGAAGAAGCGCTCAAAGTCCTTCTCGATGGCGTCAGAGCCAGCGGGGCCGGTGAGGTTGAAGGCGCTTCCATCACCGTCGTAAATACCGTAGACGTAGTTGGGGCTGGCAATCTGGTATTTGTAAGTATTTGATTTTTCTAAGTGATAGATTTGGGGTCTTACCATATCAAAGTTGAGGTAGGCTCGGATCTTGGCGACCTCAGCATCAGAACCGTTGATGCTCTTCATGTAAGCATATGAACCGAGAAGACCGAACTCCTCGGCACTCCAGAAACCGAAGCGGACGGCGTTCTTGACGCGGTACTTGGTAAGAGCCTGGGCAACTTTGAGGATACCAATGATACCAGAGCCATCATCGCTAGAGTCTGTTAGTATTGAGGAATTTCAAAGACATGTTGGAAACTTACTTGATACCAGGACCGGCAGCAACAGAGTCAGAGTGACCTCCAACGACAAGAACGTTATCGTGGTCACCCTCCTTGGTCTCAGCAATGACGTTGAAAGTAACACGGTTCTCAACGGTAGCATCAACCTTGAGGTCAACAGTGACCTCACCAGCCTTGGTCTTGGCAAGAATAGCCTGACCATCCTCCTGGCTAATACCAACAATGGGAGCAAACTCGCCAAAGGGCTCACCAAGGGTACCAGCTAACTCGCCAGGAACGTTGTTGTAGACAATGACAGCAGCAGCTCCAGCAGTCTTACCGTTGGCAGACTTCTGAGCGAAAGGGCACTCTCCTCGAAGAACGAGAACAACGTTGCCCTCAGACTCAGCGGGGAAATCACCAGCCTCACAACCAAGGTTCTCAGCAACGACGAGAGGACCAGAAGCCTCACCAGCAGGGGTGTAAGTCATGATGGCAGCAGTGATATCATCGCCGTCAACCTTGAGGGAGGCAGTACCGGCAGAGTACAGCTCAGTGAAGGGCTGCTTCTTGACATTGTAGTAGCCAGTTGCCTTGAGAGTCTTGTAGAGGTAGTCGACAGTGGCATTGTGACCAGCTCCACCAAAGACACGAGTGTTGCCGTTGGCCGTGGCGATGTCCTGGAGCTTCTGGGCACCGGCCATGAGGTCCTTGATGTTGATGTCCTTCTGGAGCTTGAGCTCGTTGACGAGGGGCTTCTTGGTGGCGCTGGCCGCCAGGGCGAAGAGGGGGAGGGAGAGAGTGGTGAATCTCATCTTGGGCTGGACTGGACTGGACTGCAAGGAGAGGGATGAGGAGTGAGGATGGATTGTTGAGGGTGGAAATAGTTGATATTTATATGTGTTGATCGTACGGAATTAAGTTTATTGCAATCTACTCGTCACAAACCCATACTCTTTCGTGATAGTACAGGTATCTGCACGGCACTTCTGCATAGCACGAAATGTCCCACGAACCAATGGCTCTCTCAGTCCGACCACGGCCGCGGATCCAAATCAGGCAGTTCCAGGGATGTTCGGGCGATCGAATCTTGGCGTTGTCTTTGATTCCCCGCAGGAACTGCCTGTTCCAGGAACTAGCGCCGACTCAGATCCCACGTCGTCTGGAACTTTTGGAGTATTCGCCAATTCGACCTATGTTGATAACGGCAGGTCGCAGGGATTATCGACCACTTGGCCAAGCACAAAAGATAGGCCAATGGTCACGAGAGATAGAGTATGACTAGCGCTATGATAAAGTTGGCGCTGGGCATTAAGCATCTTTCTACGCTTATTCGTCGTATCGACAGGGATGTGAGATAGAACAACGTTTATCAGCCACCGCAAATGACATGATGATCTTTTCTGGACGAAATGGCTCCATTCAAGCATTCCCCTCTTTCTAACCTCGGCGGACTTTTGTAATCGAGCTTGGAAAAGCCTGTTTGGATAATTCTTGGACTCACCGGTTCTTTTGCCATCAACATGGGTCAGCAAGATAAGAAACCTTGTCGTCAATTGAGTTGTGCCACAGGCTAGTTTATTTCCGAATTAGTAGTGATTATCCGAGTGTGGCTGGTTACATGACGATCTGCACTGCTATGAGAAGACGATTCTTTCACGATGCAGTGTTGCAGTGCGTTGAATGATTGTGTTCACGCTTTTTAAGGAATGATCTACCGGTTCGTTGAGGCAAGATGTAGTGTAACCCAGCCTTGTGAGGCGAACTGACTTTGTGGATGCAAACTTACGGGAATGTACACTAGGAGGGGGAAGATCTGGCCGTACCCTGTAGTTCAACGCATATCAGAGCAGTTGAGGGTATCGTGGTTTACCGGCACAACGGATGACTATCCGCAGTATGGTTTCATTGCAGAACCGTAGTACTATGATCTACCTGTCATCTAGTCTGTCAAGGCTTGGCAACCAAGACAAGGATACGCAATACTAACTTGCCTTTTATTTAGCTACGGCTTTCGCTTCTCACGCGTATATACGTTGAATATATTGTCAAGGTTATGCTCGTGCTGCACCTTCAGACCTGGCTTGTCTGGCAAAGTCACTTCAGAAGCCAAATTCAACAGTACACTCTTCAGTTCCGAGATTTAGCTGAGGTATCACTATAGCTCTGTCTATTCTTTCAAAATGTAGTCCTCTTCTCGCCAATTTTTGATGTTCTTTCTACCCACTTGGCGTCCAAAAGGCATCCCTTTTATAGGCCTCTAACCTAAGGGAATCATAGTCTGCTTTCGCACCTTTAGAGAGAAGTAGCCGGGCAATTTCAACACGTCCAGCCTCACACGCTTTTGAAAGGGCTTTGGATCTGCACAGGCGTTTTGATTAAGTATCCAATAGCCGGCGAACAAGTCCGATTGTGCCATGAGAGGCTGTGCTTTGGAGTAATCCACAGGTTATAGGCCTAACTTTGCAGGCCCTTTAATGAGGAGCTCGACTATCGTGGTATGACCATTCTCGAGAGCGAGTTGAACAGAATTGTGTATTTCATCGTCATGCCCAGCCTTGAGTAGATCTTGTGCGATCTCCAAGTGGCCATATTCAGATGCAGCACACAGAGCAGATTTATGGCGGTCCTCGCCCTTGCCGTCTCTGTTTGCGTTAGCTCCGGCATTTATTAGCATTTTTACAAGCTGAGTGAGACCCAATTGTGATGCATTATAGATAGCATGTCCATATGAAGGATGTGATGCATCGGGGCTAACGCTATGCTCAATGAGTATTTCGGCTAGCTCTGAATATTCACTGCGAATTGCAATCACTAAACAGGCTTCCTTTTCCGGCTCTTGAACCTTAAATTGCGAATCTTTCATCATGTATATGACAGTATCTCGGAGTCCAATCATGCAGGCGTGATAAAACCCCGAAACCCCTTGAGAATGGGGATCTTTTGATCTTTGGTAAGGATAACAAGACCAGTGCCAGGGTGACTCTCTGGATATCCGGTCACATTTTGAAAGATTCTCTGAGTTCAACAAAAGGTTGGCTGTGGTTTCAGCAATTCTCTTGACAGACTGTGCTGTCCTTGCAAATGCAGGCCAGACATCTGCTGCACGCTTTGCTAATGGGTAATCAGCGCACATACGATAAAATAGCCTTTTCACATCATTCAAGTAAGTGAGCGAGGTTTCGGTGATAGCAATCGCACAATTCAATTAAAAAAAAAAGAGTTGTTCTGTTTCATCAGATACTCTTTGACAGAGAAATGGGTGAGATATACTTCTTCCCAAGAGTGTAAAGGTTCTTTACGAAGATCTTCGTCTGTGACTAGTACGATATGTATCATACCAGGACAATATCTAACGATATTGGAGGGGTTGAAAAGCCTATTTTCAGTGTCAAACTTAAGTCGATCTCGATGTCGGTCTGATCGTGTCGCTAGAATCTCAACCACAGGTTTCGAATAACTCAAGGAGCTTTGCCGATGCAGCTTCCCCTCCATATTTACAGAGTTGGAATGCCAGTGACCGAAGAAGGCCATCGAGAGATTGTTTCCCGACATCGTTGAAGTCGAAGTAGTGTGCTAGTGTAGCTATGCCACTTGTATCACTGAGATAATCGAAGATTCGGGAGCTTAGTACCGTTTTCCCGCAACTAGCCAATCCATGGAGCCATAGATGCTTTCGTGAGCCTGTCTTGATCTCCTGGAAAGCCGGACTGTGGATGAACCACAGACCAGAACCAACATGACGGCGCTTGCTGGCCTTGACCACATTTGTCGAGTACCTTGGTGGCTTGAGCCAGTGTTCTATGTCCGAGTGTCGCTTTTCTCTCTGAATGGAGCTCACAGTCTCCTTGGTATCCTTGATAGTGCTGCTCATATTCTCGAGGTTGCCTCAACTACATGACTATTTAGTACTTGTAAATTACCCATAACACCCATTTTCACATACTTCCGTGCAAGGCCTTGATCAAGGGGTCCTCCTTCTCAATCTTGCTCACAGGGATATACCCAAGTAGATTCTTCGCATAAGCCACTGCAGCCATTGCTGCAAACCCCTGCCACTCGTCGTTCTTGTGTGAGTCAGAGTGGTCACAGATTCCTCGTATAACAATACATGGGAAATAGTTCATTAAACCAGCTGCTTCCATTTCAAAACACAAGACTCCCTGTTCCACGATCAGTTGATCACGAAGATTTGCATCCTTCATCAGTTGGTTTGCGCTAGCTATAAGCCCATAATGAACCTTGGGGTCGTCATCTTTTGGGTCTCGAGCCTCGCGCGTTTTCAGAGCAGCATCGCTACAGTTGTCCTTGCACTTGTCTGACGTTGCTGATGTTTTCTGAACAAAGTCCGATTTATACAACTTGTCGGTTTCCGCAGGAGGACGTGAGTATTTATCCCTGATTCTCGAGTGCCTCTCAAGCACCTCTTCGATACTCTGACCCAGTAGATGACCCTCCAATATGCTCTCTGCTTCCATACTCGCCACAGCATTCAGTAGAAGTCAGGGAGGTTGGTCCAAAGACCCTTTCAACTCGAACTTTCTCTCTTGGATAGCTTTACCATGATCATACTGGAGAACTCCTCCTAACTTATGGGAAGAAGAGAGGATTATATAGCCCATTTTGGGCTCTGGAAGGTTCTTTGTTTGTTCAAACAAGCAAACCCGCATTTGAGGCAGCATACAAACATAGGATAAGCGATGGCTGTGTTGAAACCCTTGCACGCAAAGCAACGAAGAAAGCAGCGTTTTCCTGCAGATTGAGCATTATTCACAGCACCTCATTTCTGAATGACAAATAGGCAAGTAGGATGTCCCTATACCTTTTAATCTGTCTGATGAAGCTTATGATACTTCGGCGAGTATATCATTCCAATGGAAAGACCTGGGATGATAAGCGATGGTAGAAGACGTAGTTGACCTTACTCAAACTTCGATCTCTATTTACATGAGAAAACAGAATCTACTCAAGTTAAAGGGGGTGATATCAAACGCATACACAGAGTATATATTCTAATTCCACGTTGTTCATGATTGGCGCCAGCTAGAATCGGTTTGTTGAAGCACATTCACATATCGGTGCAATTTAAGCGAGCTGTTTGTCGGTTAGTAGAATAACCTCAACGCATAAGGCAACAACAGACCGCAACAACCGGCTGACAACATTCCAGTTTTACCTCGACAAATACCCAACATGGAAGCTGAAGATACAATTACTTATGGTAGTACCAAGCTCCCAATCGAGATTATTTTGTTGATAGTCGAGAGTCTGGTCCTTCAGAATGATGCAGCACGACCAATCCTCCCCGCATCACATCCTACTACAAGATTGCTCGTATCTTTGACGAGGGTTTCCAGAGAAATATATCCCACTGCTTGCAAACTCATCTGGCAAAACTGTCTCTATATTGACAGAAAGTCAAAACTCCGCAGGTTCAGACGATACATCTCTCAGAAAAGCCCTATCACTGGGCGGTTACCTTGTGAAGCCTATGGCTCAGCGAGACTATATCTCAACCCATTGCATTACAAGTTTGATACGGCTTCTACTTATGAGACAAATTCCCCGTCGACTCGTCGTGATAACGGGGTTTCTGGTCGTATCAACGACGGCTCGGACAGTGACGTGGCAAGCGAGCATAGTGATGAATGGACCGATGGATCACAAACTAGCAGTTATCGCGCAGCACCCGACCCGTCTCGGTCAAGATCTCCTGTAGATGATGGGTATTCTCAATATTCAACGCACAACTGGAGAGACGCACCAATGCAGGACCTTCGAACTATTTATATTCTTGAAGAAGTTCTCGTCACTCTTGCACCAGTCCTCAAGACTCTCATCGTGGATATGCCCTTACGGGATTTAGACCCTTCAGAAGACTTAGTCATTTTAAAGCCCCTCAGACAGGGATTTGAGGCTCTGGTCAATGTCGAAGAGCTCATCAGCGTTAAAGACGAATTATACCTTGGCGAGACTGGCATTATGCAACCTCAAGCCTTTACCAAATGGCCGAAACTTCGACGCTTATACCTGTATAACGTCATGATGGAGGAGCAATTGTTGAAAGATATGGCCTCGTGTCCACAATTGGAATCAGCTGTCTTCATAAGGCCTGATCCGTCTGATGATGATCTCTCAAATGATGATATTAAAGGAGGATGGGCGAGGGCATGGGCCGCAGCAAACCCTCGAAACAGGAAACATGACGGTCTAGTATATGAAGGGCCCAAGATGACAATAGCTATCTGCAACTGGCCGCCTTACCTACCCGACTTCAGCGGTATGATACCTCACTGGCAAGAGGTTGACCCTGACAATAAAATCAACGTTCTGAATGTGGCTACACATGCAAGATATGATAGAAAATCAAGGAAAAGGGGACCCATTGCCTCATGCCAGGATTGGATCAGGGATCACGCTTTGAGTGGTACGATGTGGAGTGAAGTTGAGACCAAGGGCCAGCCTGTAGCTGCGCCAGTGGTGTTTGAGGAGGGTCAGGTTGAAGAAGATGATGATGAATGGGTTGATGATGATCATGGTGCGGACTGGAGTGACGACGATGACGATTCATGGATGTGATGGATCTTATGACATACTTGAAGAAATTTTTGGCAGACTTCACAGATTCAAGGACCCATCCTATTTGTCAATGGATTCTGCTAATTTTCCTGATGTCTTTCGACACTACTCTCTTACCGCGGCTTGTTCTTGGCCTCATCAACCTGCAACTCAAAGAAACTCTCAATCAAACTCAACGTGATCATAGCACTCGAGAACAAAAGCGAAACCTCATCACCAAACTTGACATCCTCCAACGGATCCCTCACCAACTTCGCATCACGATCAGCATCCAACTGTCTCTTGGGCATCTCCTCCGGCAATGGATGGAACGGAAGACCAGATGGTAACTTCTGTGGCTCTTGGAGTTTATCACCCGGGAATCCACCAAAGACATCACCACCTTCTTGAGGAGTATCGGGTTCTTGACTCAAGAGCTCAATGGCTTTCTTGTAGGCTGGGTTGTCAGTTTCTTGCTTTTGAAGGCCTTCGAACATGAGATATACTGCGCGGATGACGCTCTCGAGGGCGCCGACGATCCATGCGTGGTGGGAGGAGGATGCTTCGCCGATTAGGTACAGTTGGCCGTAGGCGTTGGGCTTGATGATTTCTTGCCACATGTTGGAGAATTGACTTGGGCCGAAGTATGCGAAAGCACCGGACATATTCTCGTCTCTGTACCAATCGTATGCATGATGGTCCTGGTACTGATCTTTAAGGAGAGCGAGGAGCTGATCGTAGGAATAGTCGCTCTGCTTGGAGTGCAACAGCGCGAGATCATGGAGAAGAACGGAGAGGAGTTGCTCTTCGTTCTTAGGCGTCTCGGGTGAGATCAGTGATCCAATGCGCTGCGCATCCTGGCCCCAAGTGTAAGAGCACAGAAGAACAGCAGGCTTGTTAGGATCCCAATCCTGGCCTTCATTGGACTCAATGTTGTAGGATGGATACACACAAACCCGAAGAGGAAGATCAGTATGCGCGATTCCACCCTTCTTAATGTTGAAAGGCGCCTTCTGCCACCACGCAGTCTCAAACTTAATACCAACCTTGCACGAAGCACCATATCCCAAAGCCCGAATAGCCTGCTTCGTGCCCCATAGAAGCCCAGCATCCTTAAGATCCATTCTCTGAAGAGCACCGAGCGTCGTACTATTGAACACAGCGAAGTATTCCTTCTCCTTGACGACTTGGTTCTTGTTAATGCGGAGTTTCATCGATGTGTAGTCCTTGGGCTTGCGCTTCTTGCGTTCTTCAACCTGGGCATTTATGGCGACGACTTGGCTGTTGTATTGGATGGGTTGTTTGATCATCTTTGCCATGCGGTGGGCGATGGTTTGGGCGCCACCGTCGATGCACCACCAGTAGTTGGTGGTTTGGCCTTCGATTGGGTCGGGAGTTGCGAAGTCGAGTTCTTCGAGGACGCATTCTGTGAGGGATTGATCGTACCAACCAGTGCCGCTGAGAACCGTCAGTACAGACTCAAGTACAATCTTGGAGGTTACTTACTATGTCGCTGACTCAAGCCATTCGATGGTGTTGTAGTTGTATCCCGGTCCTTCGGGAATGGGACCAGAGTTGTCTTTGGGGATGCCCTCCCTCTTCTTCCTGTCGCCATCTCCACTGTTGTCATGTTAGCTCCACATCAACCACGATATCATCATACGGAGGGCACCCACGAAGCAAGGAACTGACGAGTGCTCAGCTTGTCAGCCTCCATAAGGAGCGTCCAGAGCTTAGTCGTCTCCGGTCCCTTCTCATCATTCTCTTCAACGGCTTTCTTGAACTTCTCTGCGGCCACCTTGATGAAGTCCTCTAAAGCCTCACTGACTAGGTTTGACGGGTTCACTTTGAGTAGGCTATGTGATTGTTAGTGCACTGCCGAGTATAGAAGAAGTAGACGTACTGAAGGGGGATCTTGGCCTTGTCTGGAAGACCCTCGTTGATCTTGAATGGATCATCCGCTTCGGCGGTCCAGACATTCCCTACACTGGAAACATCGTTGAAGTATGTTGGGCAGACATTATCCTCATCTCCAATGTAGTATGGGATCAATCCGCCTTTTCCGGGCTTGAGGCCGATGTAATTGAACAGCTGAAAGGTCCTGCAACATGTGAGCAATTACAACGCCAACAATCCCTTGGAAGACTTACCTCTTCATGATGGTGTTGTTGGGGAATCGCATCGCTCCAACATCATAGTAATCATGCTCATCATACGAAAACCGATGCGTATACAACCTTCCACCCAACCTATTCATCTTCGCCGCCTCAATAATGTCATACTCAATCTTCAATCCCTCCTTTTCACACTGCTCATTCAACCAGTCGAACACCATAGCTGTGAAAAGACCAGCGACACCAGCGCCGATGATACCAATCTCAAGATGATTGGACTCTCTGGGGACGAAGCCAACACCAGTGAGCTTCTGAGTCTTATCAAGAATCTTACTGACACCTTCATCCTCATGAACTTTCTTTGGGAAAAGCTCGGGATGCTCATTTTGGGCTTGGATTACGCGCTTGGCGGCGGCTTGGACATCGTCTTCGAAGCCTTTCTGGGCGACGTGTCGTGCCCACATGTGCTTGAAGGCACGGGTATGAAGGTGGTGTTCTTCAGCTGGGAGAGACATAACGAAGACAGGATTGACAATTGGTAGAGAATACTATGCTTCAGTTGAGTAAAACTGTCCTGCTTTCTGGGGACATCCGTCTACTTATGCAGAACATCTAGCTAATGAGTCTAGGCCATGGAGGTTCCCATCTGGAAAGCTCCATCACAACACCAAGAACGTGGCTAGCTGAGCATATCAATGTGATGATAAACGATACATCAAATAGAACCCCGCTCCAATTGAGACTTTCGTCACATACCGTAGTGAACTTTCCCCGCAAATGACTACGCGTCTTCTCACCGACGACCTATTGATGCAGTCCATCCAAGCCTAGAACACCAGATCTCACGGGCCGTAGCCGTTCCTAGCGGCATCAATACAGACCAAACGGCTCTTCTGCTGTCGGGATAATTGGATGGTGTCCAAATGTGGCTGGCTGGATAGAGACTATTGGCGGCTAAGGACTAATACGGCTATTGTGTCTTGTAATTGGGGTTAGTGATGATGATGCTTCGTCTCAAGTGGATTAGACTGCTGAGGCTGAGAATTGGAGAGGATGCCTGTTTTGTTGAAACATGCAGACATTTAGACGTCCGTGGCTTTCATTACATTCTGTGATTGTTGAGAATGTTGCGTTAGGGTCAGCAATGACACGTCGGTTGCATATTGGAATGGTATTTAGTTCACCGTACTTTCAGCTCGACATATTGATGATGATAGAGGCTTATATATTGCTTGCGGCTGAAGTTTCTGACAAGTCGAGACGCATAGACGCAACAACACAGACACAAGCACCATATTATTCTTACATCAATAGTGTCAATCACATTCCAAAACATGCATATCCATTACCGTTACTCTAACTACCCAGCGATACATCTACCCATCTCTAATCACCAAGCGGATAAGCATGAAGGACCTGTCCATGAAACAACGTTGCATCCTTGGAAGCCAAGAATACATAACTCGGCGCAATCTCACTCGGCTGTCCAACTCTTCCTAACTGAGAATTCTTTCCAAATCCTTCCATTTGCTCCGCAGGTCGAGACGCTGGCTGAAGAGGCGTATGCACAGGTCCTGGCGCAACAGCGTTGACTCTGATGCCCTTCTTGACGAGCTGCTTTGACAGCGATTGTGTGAATGATGTGATGGCACCTTTTGTAGATGCGTAGTCTACCATGTGCGCTGTTCCTCTGAACGCAACGGTGGAGGTTGAGTTGATGATACTGTATCGTTAGTCAAGCTTACAAAGTTTGAAGGAGACTTACGAGCCACCCGTTTCCATATGATGAAGCGCATACTTCGTCATAGCAAATATCTGGAGAATATTGCTCCGGAAAGTACTCTCAACGTTATCCAGGTCAATATCCTTGAAGTCTTCACACATGATCTGCTTCGCAGCATTGTTCACCAGGACATCGATCTTGCCATACTCATCAACGTGCTTCTGAACAGCATTCTTGCAGGTCTCGTTGTCCATGAGGTTTCCGGCGAAGAGAACACATTTGCGGCCTTCTTTCTCTACCATGCGCTTGGTCTCTTCGGCGTCTTCTTGCTCTTCTGGGAGGTAGACTATTGTTACGTCTGCGCCTTCGCGGGCGAAGAGGACTGCCACTGAGCGACCAATGCCGGAGCTACAGGTATCAGTGTCCTAATTATATGTGCTAGCGGATGTGAGTAGACTTACTCCCCGCCGGTGATGAGAGCCTTGGCGCCCTCGAGTTTGTTGGCGGCCCTATACTCATGGAACTCATTCTTGCCTTCAAGCTTGGTGGACTCGCTAGTCGGGTTCATGTCCTTCTCAGTTCTGTACTCCAGTGTTAGACGTCTACTCGGTCAATTGATCGTGTAACGTACCCAGGGAGCTTTTGTGCTTGAGCCTCAGGAACAGGGTGGAATGAGCCATCTTTTCCAGCTTGAGACATGTTGTCGTTCAATCAATTGGTCAGTAAATATGATTCTCTTGTATCTGAGTTTCAGTAAATATAAGTTAAAGAAGAAATTACAACGACCGTGACATGCTAATTTATCTCCGAGTAATGATGTCAGAATACATCCATCGAGATTGTCCTGCACCATGGCGGGGTTACTCAGTGCATCATGATGGCATCACGATTTAGTCGAGCCAATTGCTTGTCCAACCCTCAACAAACCTACACGTAAATTAACGAAACCTCCAATGCCAAACTTCAAGGTCTGTAATTAACCACTGAACCAAACGTATCAGATTGTCCCCAAATCCCTTCCCTCAAACACGACAACTGCACAATCTGCGAATGGTCCACAAACAAATTGACATCAGTCCCAAACTCTCTAACATACCAATTAAACACCTTTGGGTCCGCTGCCTCAAACATTACTTTCTCCTGCGGTAGCTCCCTCAGAATCTGCTGAATGACATCCGTTCTCCAGCTCTTAACATTCTCTGTAATACCCTCGCTCTCAATCATGATACGTTCTACACCAGCGTCGATAAAGCGCTTGCCCATGTGGATTATCTTGGAGGGGTCAGATGTTCCCAGGGATGAGAGCTCAGATGCTTCTGTGTCGCCGCCAGCGCCGAATTGAATGCCGCATTCGGGTTTGGCGATTAGACCGGCCGAGTGGACTTTGTCGACGATGCGGAGCCAGTCGTCTTGGGGGATGGAGAGGAAGCCTGATGAGATTTCGATAACGTCGAAGCCGAGTTGTTTGCACTTTTTGAGATATTGGTCTACAGCCCAGGCGGGATCAGATTGGAGGAGGACATGTTCCATCCATCCACCCTAATATCTTGGTCAGTAGTGCTTTGAGAAAGGCGAATAGACTTACTGTAGAGACGTAGACATTGTACTCGTGAGCGAGGTTGATAAGCTCTTTGAGTTTATCTTCTGGGAACAGGGAAAAGGAACCACCAGCGAACTTGAGCCCATCGACATGATGGCCCATTCTATCACTGTCAGTACCCAAGCATGGCGTGTGATGTGGGCGGACTCACGTCTCAAGGACATCCTGCAGGTATCGTTTCCCCATCACTGAGTAATATGGTCCCCGAATCTCAGTCACTCCGACAGACCTAGGCTTTGGTGGACGACTGTTGTGACGAATAAACCCAAAACCTTTGTCCTTGTCTTCCAACAGAATCGGAGGAGTCCCAAGTTGACGGGATACTGAGAAGGGCCTGATAGCGGCCTTGGGGATTGCGGTTGAGGCTCGCCATACTGGGCGGGCGGCTTTGAGCAGGCTGACATGAGACATTGTGATAGCTTTGAAGGCAATTTTACTAACGTTAGGTGAGTTGTTCTTCTGCTATCCGTAATCTGCGTACCATGGCTTCCGCGGTCTCTTAAAGGATCATGTTGTAACATGATATCATCATGATGCACCAGTGAGTTGCTGAAACTGCAACATAAACTCCTGGCTTTGCGTCATAACATACATTTACTTACCTAGTATCATGCAGAATCTCACTGATAAGACAGTAGCACTGCCGTTGGGCCAGAAATCGGCAGCAAGGCGTGTCTCCGTCCCGGTCGGAGCCCCCGTCGCCGGATTTGTGGAGACACTCTGGCCGTCGTCGCCGATATGCAATACGGAATCCATTAAGCTCTTGTGGATGAAGTACACCATGCTACAAGTGTATCAAGAACCAGCTTGAGTTTTCTTCTCGTTTCTAGCCATTTTACACCTCATCAGAGCCGACAGATAGCTCAAAACCTCGAAGACGAGTCCGGATCAAGACTTCAAGAACAGCCTGATGCCTTTCACTGTGCCATGAGGACAATAATATCTGAACATCCGACACCAAGTCTGCGTCAACTACTTATCAGGGCAAGTCCCACCAGCGAAGATAAGAAAGCTTTACAGCGCATAGATCAATCCCAATGTTTCCATCAAAAAGACCGTTGGTGTAGACAGCTCAAGCAGATTTACTGTGTCGCAACAGGCAAACGGTACCAGCATCATCAATGCCCGGCGACATGGTATTATCAAACGCAATGAGACTATAAAGTCAATAACAAGGAGCATTGAAAGAGCCACCGATCCAGAAGATAAGCAATACAAGCCAGACCATGGACGTAAGCATTCGACCCCGATCGAGGCGCTCAATCAATCAAGTTAGCATATATCCAAAAAGCACCCAACCGATTAATAACTCAACTAGCCCTCTTGGCCAAGTGGTAAGGCGTCGCACTCGTAATGCGAAGATCACTGGTTCGATTCCAGTACGGGGCAAAACGTATCTTTACTTTTGCATCCCAATACAACTTTTTATTATAATCTTCTTGCAACGACTCTTCGTCGTTGGAATAAAAACTTGCAAGACAGGACGGGACGAGATGAGATCTGGGCAAACCGTTAGGTGGGAAAGAGCGCAGACCTTACCGTGACTGTATGACAGGGTGATATGCTCGGTTCTGTCAATTGACTTGATGGGAGAGACGTCAGGCCGCATTACAACAATTATGCAGTTAACGAAGACATCACATCAAAGCAGCCGCAAACTTGCGATTGAACAAAGAAACAAATGCGCATTGGTATCCATCGTTATGCTATAATCCATCATCCATCCATGACCCAATAATGCATACAAACGACACCTCCATATATCAACGCCCAAATCATCATACAAAAGAAATCCATCGTATCGTTGTATCTTTATTCCAAACTCCATGTTTCATATCTTCATTAGTCCTCTACATCCGCCGCACATCCCTCATCATCAACGCGCTGTTGCTTCTTCCTCTTCTCCATCGCCTTCCGAAGCTTAATAGCAGTTTGTATATCAACCTTTGCGTCATCCGCTTCCGTAAGACCATACTGATCCCACCCTATTTCACGAAGATCAATGCCCAAGTCCGCGAGGGAGACGAAACCTGGTGCGACGGGGGTGTCACTCTCCCAGAATGAATCGGAATCTGGGTCTTCAGAGGTAGGCACTTGGCGGGATTGGCGGGGTGTTGTTGTGCGGCTGCCGGATTGACGGGTGCGGCGGGGAGTGGATTTGTTACTTCGTGTGCGAGGTCGTTGAGGACTCTTGGGGCTTTTTGGTGTTTTGGGACGTTTGGAGACTGGCTCAGAGGGGATTTTGGGGATTGGGGGAGGCGAGGCGGGAGCTTTGAGGATGGGTAGGGGTTCGTATATCCCTGGGAGACCGTCGCCAGACATGCCGTAGTTGTCCTTCATTAGAAGACCTTCGCCATCACGACGCTTCTCTTTCCATGCGACAAAGGAGTCTACAGAGTCTTCGCTTGCATCCGAGATATAAAGGTCCATGTCGTGGCTGGCTGTCATGAGATGACCGAGATGTTGCTCGATATCCATTCGTGATGGAACAAGTGTCTCGGCGGAATAGTCATCCCCAGGTGAGTATTGCTGAGTGTTCTGGTTAACTGCAGCACTCTGCTCATGCTCAGGTCGCATCTTGATCGATGGCGGAAGAGAAGCATCGATCGATGTGCTTGGCGTATGATGGCCAATGGGGTATTGGTTGCTCGAGAAACCAGATGACGGTGTTGTCGGTGTAACGCTTGCTTGTGATGCGATGTTTAGAGAAGATGTCCTCACAGGAATGTGTTCGTTTATATCGTCCAGACGCTGATTGCGAAGAGCAACGCTAGCCATTGTGCGAGATCGGGGAAATGGTTTGTCGATTGACGAAGAACTCGAGGGACGTGAAGGTTGTGACATTTCGTCTCGGGGATACGATGACAGAGTCGAACCTCCATGATACGACTCCGGACGCGGATAATGGACGTCGTTTCGATCATATCGGTAATTTGGTTCAAGATATACACTTGATCGCTTGTCAGGTCTGAATTGCGCGGGGATAATTGGACACGGCGCAGATTCATCAAACGCTTCGTCAACTGTATCAATCTCAACACGACCAAAACTCCTTCCTCGACTTCGACCTTCACTTGTTTTTGGTCGAGATCTTTGAACTGGCGGTGGTGAAGATGAAGTCTCGTATGTCAAACCACTGGATAGTGAAGGATGTAGACTCATGGGCCTAGGCTTGCGAGGTTGAGGTTCGGGTTCTGCTGGGGAAGCGAATGCATTGAACGACTTTCTCCGATCCCGCATCGATAATGTCCCTGGGTTAAGATTCGATTGCGACTCTCGTCGACTTAACTTCCCCGATCTTAGCAGATCATTACCAATTGATCCCGAAAATGACCTCCATGCCGATGAACTGGATGGTCTTGACCAAGCTTCCCGTATTGTCCCCAAATCACCATGTGGAACACCTGGCGCCGGGGCAGAATCATCCTCATCTTCTTCATACTCAAAAGATTGCAGCTCCCGTCCACCAGAAAATCGATAAAAAGCCTTCGCAGCAGCGCTGTCAAGGTTCACGCCGTTCTCACCAATATTCCTCTCCGCAACATCCTCCCCATACTCCCTCGCCCCCGAAGCAGCCACACGCGATCGAAAATTCGAAGGCCTAAATTCTCCCTGTGCATCAAGAATGTCTATAAATGAATTACGCTTATCATGCGCTGAATCTGTTGAGCTTTCGCGACGATGGTGTGTGGGAATTGACGGTACAGGCGGTGGTCGTTCGCGACCTCGTGTTGGTCGTTCTGGAACACTCCAGGCTGAATTGGAGCTTCGGATACTGCGTGAGAGGGAGAGTGGGCGCGAGGAGAGACTGTTGGCTTGGTTTGGTGCTGTTGTTGGGCGGGATGGTGATGGGCCTCTGAATCGGGGGACCATGGGAGGTGGCGCGGCTGGATCGGCGTTGATGTCTTGTGATACCATTGATAATTGGGCTTGGCTGCGTTTTCTGGCTGCTCTTTGCAGTTGATCCAACACGTTTGGTCCATTTCCAGCGACTGGGTAAGTTCCTGATATTGTTAGACAAAGAACTCGGTATATCAATTGTGGTGTTTACCTTGAATTGGGGGAATCGAAGCTACAGTCGAATTGTACGCTTGACCCTTGAGCGAAGCCCTGTTCCCATTCTTTCGCGCAAAAAGAGTGCTAAAGAAGCCCATGATGATCGCCTTGCCCTGCCATGCGGCAGGTCGGCATCAAAAGAAAGATTCGCGATATGTTGATCGAGTTCACTTTCAAAAGGGACACCTCAGGGCTTTTAAAGATGAGATCTTTGCATTCCGATCTGAAATGAAGAGTACACGCAATCGGGGCGCAAGAAAAAAGGAAAACCAGGCACTTAAGTACCGTATCAAAAACACACAAGGGAAAACGTGAGACTAATGCAAGCCCAGTGAATGGAACCTGTTTTTTTTCTCTCTTGTGTGGCTTTAAAGTTTAGGAGGAGGTGGGAGGTCTGGTCTTTTGTTTTATGTATTTTATTCCGCTGTTTGGTTTGAGAAGCTTCTTTGGAAGAAAGGTACAGACATGATCCTTGACCTAAAAGAGACAAGACGCTTGGTTTTGGGGGGCAGGGGTGGATGACGCCAACGAACGAGAGGAAGGGATCCATGCGACCATGTTTGGAGTGGAGGGTGCTAGCGGAGAGTGACAGGCCACGATGGATCTTGGGGGATAAAAGGGTTGAAGAGTGAGGGGATGATGGGATGTTGCGTCTTGGTGATGAATGAAGAGAATGCCTTGACGTGGAATGTCTCTGCAACAAGTCAGACATCTCATATCCAAGTTGAGACATCTTCACGTACTTACAGAGTAGATCGTTGACGGGAGAGTGGCCGATTAACCCCCAGGATATGGGATGGATCACCTCAGGTCAGGGGGCGTCTGACTTGCATCACCCCTGAACCTGAGCCGAACTCTGTGCCATTGCCATCCCTGGAACAGCCTGGACCGATATGGACGGATGCAGGGACCACTATTCTTCCCACTCAGGGGCTTCGAAAGTGTCATGGAAAATATCACCAACAAATGAGATCCAAACATGATGAAGCGTTCAGAAAGAGGGCTTGTTTAACTGCCATCTGGGGTTTAACCGACTGACGCCATCAAAACGGCGTGGCGACTTCGAATTAAGTAGTGATAAACCCCAAGGAACGATGCTCAAACGAGAAGCTGTATGCTTACCTGATACACAGCCTGAAGTAAACGCGAGCACCAATCGAGTCATGCCTTTAGACAAATATGTAAGCGATAAAAAGGAGATATCCGGTGAGGATAGGCGAACTTTGAGATCCAACGCGAATAATTACGCTGTAGTATCACATTGTCCGAGACAGAATGTCGGCATCCGAGTCATTGGGTCGATTATCACAATGGCCTTGTCAAGGTTGCAGTGGGAAATATTATCATGGTTACATTCTACGGACACGGGGACGGGCCGCTGCTGATTTTTGAGTTTGATGATACTCTTGATTTAAATTGCCATGGTCTTTGTGTATGCGTCGTGTTTGTGTTTGTGTTAGATACTACCTTTGTGTTCTGCTTACTAGGCATACCTTTGTGTTATGGATACTCAGTGGTTGTACGGATACGGAGTGTGAGGGACGGAGAAATTGACGGATTATTGATGGTGAGGTCACATTGTACAAGAAGATCTCAATCACGGAGTTGCTTAAACTTAGTGCGAGACCGGTTCCGCGCGCGTTGGGTCAACCTGTGATCTTTGTATGTCTGTGCACACGGGACAAACGCTTTGTTGATGGGCTGAAATGCTTGATGTAAGCTTCACCAGTTATCTACACACATATGATGGTGTCATTGATGTTTATATCGTTTCAATTGTGTTTCTATAAGCCTGGATTGCTATAACAGAAGGGTTACATATCACTTTGCTTTTTCTGCAATCGACCCATGTAACTATAGATCGTTTCGGATCTGTTTCTCACGCTGGACTGACACAATCAAACTAACAGCAGACTAAATATGGCAGCGCTGATCAAGAGACTAGGAAAATATTAGGAGAATGGGATCTACAGTCAAGGCTGGTGATTGTCTGTGCCTTTAATGGGATTGGATAAACTAAAATGGGTTAAAATGAGGATGAGATAAGGTCTTGGTGTTGAGTGGTGGTTACCCTAGAACTGTGCAACAAACTCAGTTGCTTCTTCTATGACGCTCTAGAATGCTGATGTTATAGCTGAAAGCTCTAAGAATTGCTTCTTTTATCGATCCTGAAACTGCTTATCTTGGGGCTTTATGCATAACTTAATACAATAGCGCACACTGCATTTGTATGCCCAGGATGCCAGGTTGTAAGGTTGAGGTAAGGTAGTGAGGTGTTTTAGACGACGTCATCAGTAAAGCCATCTGCCCCACCAATCTAACGTGGGGCAATTCTTCCCTCCATCATCAGCAGCTTAACAATCACCAAAACATCCATCTCAACACCTCCAACCTCACAGAATACGACATCATACAACAGCATCACCGTCAAAATGTCTTCAACAACAGACCCCAACCCCTCCGACTCCCGTCCCGCCTTCATCCCCCTCGAAGCCAACCCCGAACTCATGACAACACTCATCCACAAACTCGGCGTCTCAAACGCTCTCGCAATGCACGACGTCTACTCGCTCACTGACCCAGACCTACTCGCCTTCATACCCCGCCCCGCGCTCGCTCTACTGCTCGTATTCCCTGTTAGCGCTGTGTACGAGAGTCACCGCATGGCTGAGGATAGTTTGGCGGATGAGTACAAGGGCAAGGGGGAGACGGAGCCTGTGCTTTGGTGGCCGCAGACAATTAGGAATGCTTGTGGGCTTATGGGCTTGCTGCATGCTGTTAGCAATGGAAATGCTAGAAATTTCATCGGTATGTATATTTGTTGAGGGTGAGGATAGATGGAGCTAATATTTGGCAGAGGAGGATTCCACGCTTGATGTGTTGATCAAGAAGAGTATTCCTCTTGATCCCCACGGCCGCGCAAAGGTTCTCGAAACCACGCCTGATCTTGCAACAGCGCATAAGGAAGCTGCTACACAAGGCGATACACCCGCACCAGCTGCAGAAGACGACGTGGAGCTACACTACGTTTGCTTCGCCAAGGGAACAGATGGTGGATTGTGGGAACTCGACGGACGACGAAAAGGACCCATTCGACGAGGCGATCTGGAAGATAACGAAGATGTGTTGAGTTCAAAGGGCTTGGCGCTGGGTGCGTTGAAGTTTCTGGAGAGGGAGGGTAAGGATTTGAGATTTAGTGCTGTTGCGCTTGCTGGGTCTATGGATTAGGATTGATACCCAAGGAGAGGCTGGAGCATTTGGTGGACGATATTCGCGTGGAAATGAATCGCATAGTTCAATCTTCTCACGAAGACTGTAGAGTGGCTGAAGTGGTTTTTACTTAGCGTAGTTATTTTGAGAAGCTGAAGAAGAGCAAGGCAGATTCTTGAAGCCACGTCTAATCTCAGCTCCCCACTTCAAGGCAGCGACTTTGAACAACATATAAAAAAGCCTGTTACTTCTGTTTCTGATCACTCCTCAATTCAATTCAATTCAATTCAATCATCAGCATCATGCGTAAGTTTTATTATGAATGATGCTCGTTTCAATGCTAACGTCCCAGGTATCGCTCGTTGGCTCTTAGGTGGAGGTCGCGAACATGTCGGCATCGTTCTAGGCAGTGATACAGCCGGTAAAACAACATTTCTATACAGACTAAAGTTCAAAGAAGCTGTACAGACACTCCCGACAATCGGTTTCAATGTCGAGACTATAGATTATCCTGATGGAGAGAAGGTCACGCTCTGGGACGTTGGAGGTAAGCTCCCCTCTTCAGCCCATGATCTTAGCTAACGATATAGGCTGTGATGCCATTCGTCCTCTTATACGACACTACATGGCCAAAGATCGGTTCCTAATCTTCATACAAAGCTGTACCGACACAGATCCAGATCGTATTGAGTTCTCGCTTGAGTATCTCCGCATGGGAATGGAGATGATGCTTGAATACGAAGCGAAGCACATGTTCATCATCTTCAACAAACAAGACCTCCTCTCAGAAGAAGAACGACCAAAAGTCGTCAAAGATCTCAAATCTCGTATTGAAGCTGAGATCAAACCATATGCTAATAAGCTGGACATAAAGATCTTGGATTATCCAGGTCTAAGTGCCCTCTGGGGTGGCCAGGTTCATAAAGTCATGGATGAGATACGAAAAACTCTAAAACCGAAGAAACCAGCGAAGGATACAAAAGCTGAGATTGAACAGAGGGAGAAAGGACCGAGTGAAGAAGAGCTTCGCAATAGGGTCAGAACAGCTAATGCTGAGAGTGCTGATGCCAAGACGTTCTGGGAGTCGTTTTTGGATGGGAGTTTGGAGGAGTGGGACCATTACACTCATCTCAGAGCAGGTTTCTTCGTCATGCATGATTCCTTCAGCAAAGGATTTGGATTACTGGAGTGTGCTGATGAGTTCATGAAGCACTTGAACCGGCTGCGGGAGGGAAATCCTGAGAGGTTTCGCAACACGGCGCACAAGTATGTCACCCATCCTACCCTCATGTTCTGGAAACTGACTGTTTAGAACGATGACTATATTCTGGCTTCAACAAATCCAAGTCGCTGCAATCGAATACCAAGCAAAATCAGGTCTCGACAAATTCCCTTCCCGAGGAGACTACGCCGATATCGTCTTCTCGGCACCTCATCTCATGAACTCCGGCCTATGGAGGTCATACTACTCCAAGAACCTGCTGTTCTCACAGCTAGCTCGAGATAATTACCATCTTCCTGACTTACAGCCTCTTCCTACGATTAAGCAAGTCACCTCTGCACCTTTGCGAGAGAAAGCTGTAAACGATGTTGATAGATTGCCACGATTTGCTTTTTCTGTGGTTCAAAAGACTCTTTCTTCGAAGCTCAGACGGGGAGGTGTTGTTAAACAGGCCCTTGAAGCATTGCAGTCTTCGACTATGCGTTTGAGAGCTTCGGATTCTTCGGTTCCTCCGTACTCTGAGACACAAGCATACTTCTGGATCCAAATCATCCATGCTTATACTCGCTCCTTGGAAGTTGAATCGTCCGAAAGCCATTTCATCACTTACGAAGCGTTCAAATCTCTCTTTGATATCAAAGGTGATGAATGGAGGGAATATTACTCCCAATCAACATGGGAGAGCATCTCCGCTCGAATGACATTCGTCAACCCCGACAAGAAACCTCTCCCAAATATCTTCGGGTTACCGTCACAAGCCAGAATGGACCTCGCTAGATCACAGATGATAAACGCTATGAATCACCGCTCAACGAGTACAGACCTTCCACCCCCTGAAGATCTAGACTTCTTAGCAGCGATTCTCATCGACGAAGCAAAACTCATGCCAGAATCCGAACTCAACGTCGCCAGCCACGCAAGTCTCATAAACTTCTTATTCAACCGTCTAACAGGGAAGACCAAATCCTCTGCTACGAGTACAAAACGCGGTGATGCCTCGCTAGCTTCGTCGACGGCGTTGGAGATTGCGAAATGGACGGGCTTGACACAGGCTATGTTCTGGGTACAGCAGATCCAAATTGCACTTGCTGGACGGAAAGAAATGAACTTTGATGAGTTTATAAAGGGGAACTCGGTTCTGGCGTTTGAGGATTTGCCGTTTGTGTATTATTCGCCGCAGTTGTGGGGGAGCGTTGAGGCGAGCGATGGGTATGTGATACCTGATAGACGGGGGCTTTCTAGTATTGTATCTGGAGGGGCCAAACATGGCTAATGAATGGCCATGTTTACAAGTTAGAATGCATTCATTTTGTTATGATTCCTTGGATATGAGAAGTGCCATCATGTGTAGAGCCCAACTCGGAGGCGAAGCTAGCTCAATCAAGTCTCTCTCAGCGACGCACTCAGGGGACCAAGAACGTATCTATCGTGTCATTTTTTAATTTCTCTATGATCTCTGGATACGCTTCTAACGCTATGGCACGCTTTATGTCTCTGAAACACATGCCCTCTAATTATAAACGCAACTCATGTCAGCTCAAACAGCTGTTCCATGATCAACCTCAACACCCCCCCCTCCAAGCTGACAATCACACCCCAAAAACCTCTTCGCCGCCTCAATATCATCACCAAACGAATCAAGTATCTCGAGCGCCTTTGTCGCGGCACGCTGCTTCGAGTATCGTCCACTCTCAGAAGTGTCGTCAGCAACAACCTTTTGATGCACCATGAACACAGCACACATTTCCGTATCTTTCAGCGCCGCCATGCCCTGTTCAGCACTGCATGGTACAGCTTCTGCGCTGATGCGCCAGTTTGTGCAACCGAATTCTTGATGCATCTTCTTGGAGAGAAATGTGACCGGGTGTTTGTTCGCAAAGGTGTCGTAGAGGCTCATGTCCTGAAAATATGGCTGGATGAACTTGGTGAAGAAATTCTCAACAACAGAGAAGTTGTACTTTGAATCGACAAACATAGCTCCAACAAGAGCCTCGATTACATCGGCGTAGACCTTGGGTGCCGAATCCACCTTCAGCCAGAAGTCTTTGCGCATGGGAGTTCCCTCTTCTTTTGCTTCTGTACGAGCATTTTCTTCAGCAACCTCAAGTTCCATGACATAATCGCGAATTTGACTAAGGAGACTCGATGTACTGGAAAGTAGGTGTTGATGAAGACCAAGCTTTACGCAGAGACAGCCGAGGAACTGATTCGATACCATGGCCATCTTGTGTTCCGTCAGCCACTGAGGATCTGCCCTTGGGAAGTTTCGATAGAGATAATCAACGATGGCCATGTCGAGAAGCGAATCGCCCAAAAATTCGAGGCGTTGATAGTCTGGGACAGACTCATACGGCCAAGAAGGATGTTTGAATGCACTCTGAGCAAGTTGTGCAGACTTGAAGCGGTATCCTGTAGCTTGTGCCACCTTTTGTACAAGGTTGCGTTGAGAGGCGGATGCATTACCTTCCTGCCACTCAGGAACCTTGTAGGCTTTATAGTAATCCCTAAAAGCCTTCATCCTGTGGTTCTTTGACTTTGTCATTCGCGTCACGGCTTTGACAGCCAGATCCATGTTGTTGTCCTTGCTTGTGAGATATGCCGCTCCAATGAGAGCTTCACATACATCCGCAATCGTCTTGTCAGCCAGATTATGCTTCATCGAAGTTTTCGGTGCCTTTCCTTTCCTGAGCGGAAGATCAGGGTACCAAGTTCGTCTGTCAAAAGCCTTGGATCGGACGAATTCTTGTAGTTTGCGATCAACCGAGTGATTGAAGAGGTTCTGGTTGCAGATAAGAAGCATACGCTCAACGTGGTATTTGCACTCATTTCCGTCAGGCATGAGTGTGTAGATTGAGATTGTGGTAGCCATCTTCAAGAAACAGTCACCGAGAAACTCTAATCGTTCATAATTGTCGCCCATGCCGGTTTGGAAGTTGATCTGTTCTGTGCCATGTTCCTCAGAGTTGTCGCTGTCCTTGGTCAATGCCTCCAATGCTAGCTCTGGTGGAATTTCAAGACCAAGGAGATTGCATGCATCCAAGGCTATCAGAACGGAATCGATTCTGTGAATAATTGCTGGGAATGCCAAAGCCATAGAGACCACATCAATCGGTAGCTGAAACAATTAGAAAAGCTTCGAGCCTGGAATTCAACTTACAGGAGACACATGTAGAGGTTCCAGAATGATAAAACACTCCATGTTGACCTTCTCGTCAGCTTCAAACTCATCCAGAAGGTTTCGTCGCAAAGAGAGAAGCTCTGCCTTGACCACAGGCTGATCATCTCGCCACTTCACCTTTTGGCGAGATTTAGAGTACAGACTGTTACTGTATTGCATGATTGTCTGTTCCGCAGACCTATAGGCTCTGCTTCTTGACTCGGGTACTCCTTCAGGCGTTGGATCGGATGGCTTCTTCGTTTTGTCAATGCCTTTGATGACAAGCTTGCGTCCTCCATCATATGGATCAGTCACAAACTTGTTAATGAAGAAGTCTTCTGGCGCAGTCTCCCATTCGAGCACCTCTTTGTTCCTCACAAGATTGACAACATCCCAATCGATATGTGATCGAGTGTCTGGTTGAGGATTGTCGGCAACAGGTGCGAGGAGGTATGGAAATTGGTCCGACGTGGTATCGTATTCTTTGCTGAACACATCAGCAAATACCCGATGAGTGAACTTGGTTAAACCGTCAGCTTCTTCAGAGTTCAGTTGAAGAGGATCCTGGGCAGGCGTCAATTTCGCGGCAGAGGAATACCCACTGCCGAAGAACAAAGGAACGTCTGGAAGTTTTGGGATTTTCTTGCGCGAGAGAAGAATTAATGACTTTCCTGGTATTTCCCTCCTAAGGGCGCCCCCGTCATTGATGGTGATTGCAGTCGCAAAACATTCAGTCCATTCCCCTCGTTCAGCCCAAATCTCTGGCCGCAATCGCATGTCGTAGTCAGCCTTCTTGTTTGAACTGACAGCTAACCGTGCATTCCGCATAACGTGAACCTTTTTCTTGAAAGTGGGCTGAAGATTACCGTCAACGTGTTTGTCTCTGATCAGTATTTTGCAGGCTTCAAAAGCCGCAGAGCACTTGGCCAGCAATTTGCTACGCTGTTGAGTACCCTTCACAAAGTTGACCGGGGATTGGAATGGCATGACCACGTCGGCCAGATATCGGTCGCCAATTTTTTGCACTTGGTATTCAACTTTGGCGTAGCTGTCAGTTGACAAATGAGAAACAAATCTGGCCAGGATCTCAAGGCTCGCGGGAAACGTAAGACGTGCGCCCGTTGAAGGTATCTCGTACACTTGATGTTGCATGCGCTCGGCCATTATCTCCATGTCCTCGTCTATCAAATCATCATGAAGTTTGCGGTCGGCAGACAAAGAGAGACAGAATTTCTCCAGGGCTTGAGAATCCCTCAATGCTTGTTTCGAGCTTCGAATATGTGTCAAGTTTCCCTCCTCCATCATGGTGATATATCGAGAGCGTGCTTGTCGAGCGCGTCCTTTGGATTGCAAGTATTGAATGACAGAATTGTAGAGATCAAAACGAATAACAAGGTCGCAATCTGGAACATCGATGCCTTCCTCTGCAACAGGTGTTGTAAACAGGCAGTTGGTATTGCCCCGCTTGAATTCGTGGAGAGCCAGGACTTGTTCTCGAAAAGACATGGTGCCGAAGCTCGAATTGATTGATTGACAGCCGACCTGGCATGATTAGCGAAGGATAAAGAAGAGGAAGACTCTTACTCACCATGTATGAAGCAGACATTCCTGGGATCCCCATGGAAGGCTGGCTATAGAGGTCTGATAGCAATCGAGCTGTGTATCTCTTCTCGACAAAAACAATGCAGCGTTTGGTGCTATCCATTGTGAAAGCGTGCAACAAGATTTCATGGAGACTTTTCACCTTGGCCGACAATCCTTGAGACTTCGGGTCAACCATCCCGAACTTGTGAGCCCGAACAACTTCCTGGACACGCCGGACGGCCTCTGTTGCTCGGTCTGCTCTTGTCACTGCAATGTCTCCAACGAATTCCCGGCTGGTTCTTGCGGCGAGCCGTTCAGTCTCGAGGTCAGTCATCGCAAGCTCCCAATACCGGTCCGCGCACCAAGTACCGAGAACTGAAGAAGCTTCTTTTGTAAATTCGAGCGACAACTTGAACTGCTCGTTGCGAGAGACTAGCGCAAAGATCTGGTCCCATAGATGCGTCTTCGTATCATTGGGGGAGTCAAGGGTGCTGTAGTTGACAGTTTCTTCGGTTTGTTTCTTTCGGTGCATAGTGTCCATCAGCACCTCGTCAGATATCGTTGCGATCTGGCTGTCAAGGGCTCTCTCAAGTTCCAGGGCAGTATCTCTCACATCCCTGGTGCGCGCATCCACAGGAGAAGCAGTCATTCCTAGTATGCGAGGCTTTTCGCCTTCGTGTTTGCAATAATACCCGTCCATTATGCGAGCGTATGGATGCTTCTTCTTTGTGTGGTGTGCTTCGTCGAAGATAAGGAGGTTTATTCGGGACATGGTGATGAAGCCGCAAGTGAGACAGTCGAGGAGTATCTGGGCAGTGCAGACCACAACCATGTTTTCGCCGAACTTTTGATCCCAGTATTCTTTCGTCTTCGTCACGCCTTTCATATGGCCCATGAACTTGGTAACTGGGTGGGCTCCGAGGTTGCAGCTAAGGACGGCATGTTGCTGAACACAGAGGGCGACCTTTTCTACCAAAAAGAAGGCAACTTTCTTGGGTTTTCCGACGGCTCGAGCTTCCAGCTCCTGTTCGAGGTGATGTCGTAGTAGCAAGGCGGAGATGAGTGTTTTGCCGGTACCTGTCCTGTTAGCAAGTCTCCAGATTGGTAGCCATAACATACCTGTAGGCAGTACCACGATGAGGTTTCTCTCTTTAGCGCGCTCGAACAGTTCAATCTGGTATTCTCGGGGTGATGCGATGATCCTGTGACTCTCGTTCTGGTTCATGAGCTGGGCCAGGGACTGTTTACTAGGGTCGCTGAAAGGAACGGCACTCTTTGCGGCATCTCTCTGTGTCTTTTCTATGTGCGCTTGAAGAGCAGCTTGGTCTCGGAGCTTCTTTTCTGTAATCTTTCGCGGCTTCGAAGGGTTCACGATGAGGCGATATCGGTCGTCTTCGTCATCAGTGTCGATGTACTCGTGATCCGACATGTTGAAGCGTTGATTTGCCACCGTTCAAGGATGAAGATACAGATGCTGTGGGCATTCGTATACGCGAGAGCGATTAAAAGCGAGAGGAATAAGCACTATGTATATAGAACGAGGGAAAACAAGAGATAAGAAGAGAGGGATTGTCTGGAGGTGGAAGGTGCTCTGAGTGTGACAGCAAGAAACGGCTGGCAACTTCAAGCACAACACTTACCACTTTCTCCCTACGGCAAATCACACTGTTTGTCTTTCTTCTGTTCTCTGACCACTACCAATTGTAGAGCAAACGTTAGGCAAACAGAGAAACAAGGCATACACGGACAATGTTTGGCAGTGTCAAACGCAAACACGCAGAGCACAAGCACTTCTTGCGAAGCTCCTACACAATTTTATTTCGTTACGTCGAAGCGAGTCCAATTCAGCCCAAGATAAGCAGGTTTGGTAGGGTTTAGTACCGGCGTGTATCGTGGCAGCCACGTATAACGTTCGACGTTGGGACAGTGTAATGGAAGAAAACCTGAGGGAGCTCTCCCGCACATCATGAAGTGAATCATGCTACAATTCATCTCAACTTTGCTCAATATCTGCACATCGCGTTCTCGAAGTGGATGTGTCTTCAAGCCCCTTATTCGAGTGCCTTATTGGTCTCTTCCTCTCGCCTTCGCCAGGCAGGGTGGCCACTCATGCCTCAGGCCGCCATGGCCAAGCTCAAAGTTATTGTCGTAGATGTTGCGTATGCCAATGCTTCCTCTAGGGACGTGGGCCAGCTTACTGCCCTCGCACCAGGTTTAACTTTGATTTCCAGGCAAGATACAAGAACCAAGTTCAGGCAGCCTGTCATCCCATGCAACTATCAAGGTTTCCTGTCGCCACTGCATCTTGATACTAACTACACAAAGAGCCATGCTAAGTCGGATCGGTATTTGCTCTCGGTGTATCTATGTAGTTATGCCGGAGCACAGAGACTCTGATTTGACGAAAGTTCAGATGTTCAAAAGTCTATAGATTTTAGAAAATTCACGCAGGGAACTTTATATTGAATAAGAGCATACATGAGTAACACCGGTTGGTTGGCCCAACATTAAACTTTGCTAATACCTTAAAATAGAAACCTTTTAAACATCTACTGTTCTTAGAGTCTATTGGCCGAACTAACAACACCAAAACTGCGCTGAAGCTACAACTCGTAGTCCCTCACTTCATAACCTGTAAAATCGATTTCTGGTGATTTATTTTGTTTTCATTGATTTCCAAAAGACTGTGGTATATTTCCTTATGGTTGTGGATTTCTGTAGAGATCTCCTCGTGTAGTGATGCCAAGATGTTATCTACTCTAAACAATGACTGGAAGACTCAACTCTGTGATATTCAGCGTAAACCAGAAACCTACCGTCACTGGAGCAACAGGCTGACACGAGATACTCTTTGCCCTCACTGTGATATCATTTCCCCCATTGGTTCGGAGCAAGAGAGTTCTGCGTGAAGTAATATCTCATGATCATTGGAATAATTCACTGACGTAGTTTGTTTCGCCATCGCTGTTTCACTCGCTCCAGTTGCTCAGGGCAAGGGCTCAACGCGAATTAGTGTCTTGATATTATTGGAGCAATACACCGACATCGTAGGTTTCGCCATCGATGTGCTCTTACTTCTGCTTCCGATGACTTAAATCAAGAGTCTTCAGCGTGAGCGAACAGATTATGATTCTTGGAGACTACAGCCTGACGTAGTCGCCTCCATTGTCTGTGTTCTTAGTTCTTCCTCCAATGAATCAAAAAACGAGAGTTCAGCGCGAATCAATGTCTCGATATTATTGGAACAACACACTGGCATAGTAGGTTTTGCCATCGATGTGCTTCTGCTAACAATGACTCAAATCAAGAGACTTCTGGGTGAAATCATCAACCACCATCATTTGACCGACACCTTAATGCATATATTTCGTTGTAGTCAGAAAGGTTTCGACTCTGCCTATAAATATCACAGGATCCCCCTTCTCGTCAGTCTCTTGTTCTTCTCCTCTAAAATATTCAATTTCATCTCTCTGCTCTTTCAGACATCACTTCGATCTTGACAAGTGTACTATAACTTTGACAATTTCTACTGTGTATTACCTGACGACCAAGACACTTTCAACTGTTTGTTCCTACTTATACCCAAGTGTTATTCCTCGTTTCAACTTAGCAAGATGTCGACACCCACACCTACAGCTCCTTTAGCCATCGATGCTGAGATGGGAAATTGGGACGCCTGGGAGGGGTTATGGGCTGTTCAGGAGTTCAATAGGCTGCACGACCTGAACAACTCTCAACCCTTGTTCCAAGACACCAGCACCAGTTCCAATTTGATGGAGTCTCAGGACCCGATCGCTCCCCAGGAGCAAGATCCCGACTCGCCGGTTGAGAGTTCCGAGGATGATACTCTTTGGGGTTCACCCCCATCCCCCAACGTCAGTTCCAGCATGTCCCTGGCTCTTCCTGTCCCCTCGGAGGCATTTTCTCCTTTTAAACCCCCAGAAATGAGTCACAACCCGTTCTCGACTCCTCCTGTCCCTGAGGGAAGCATCATATTTCCTCATGATCAACCCACCATGGGTAGTTTCGCGGACATGCTATCCGATTCCGGCGACTGGAATCTGTTTGGTGATACGAGCAACAACGACTTTCAGCTCGAAGGCATTCCAGAAGAGAAAGTGACTGGCCCTACCCCTGCCATTGAGTCCTCCCCTGTGGTTACTGAGAGCAACACAGAGCCCCAGTCCCAGGTTTCTCAATTTGATTCCAATTTGGTCGCGAATGATGCCCTCGAGAGTGTGCTTCCTGAGCTCAAGGAGGCATCCAAGACCAAGAAATCCCGGAGCAGCTCAACTGCCGCCAAAGGGAAGCCAAAGCGGAGCCCTACCAAGGGTGTCGGCAAACGGCCAAAGCGCCTTTCTGGACACAAGTTAGCACAAGAACAGGACAAAGAAGGATATCGAAGGTTAGCGCAGATGAGGGCTGAGCAATATCTCGCTAATCACATGGCTCAAACTCCTCCATTTGGCGGAGCTCCTGTCCAGTCTGGTGGCCGGAATCCAGTCCAGAATCCAGCCCAGAATCCAGCCCAGAATCCAGCCCAGAATCCAGCCCAGAATCCAGCCCAGAATCTTTATACTCAGGATGTTTTCCTTGATCAAGCTGCTGTTCAGCTCCCCAATCAATCTCTCGATCTGGAGCTTTTCGGTCAATCTCTCCCAGAGGCTCAGCATCCTTTGGCTGTCACTTCGCGAAACATTCCGATGCCGCAGCACCCGTACCAATACTATCAAAATTGGTACCGTCGGTTTTAAGGAACTTAGAGGAGGCATGAAAAAACTTAGGATCGAGATCCTAAGTTGCAAAAGGTTGAGATAAGTTGGGATGAGTTTAGGAGGCTTTTTGTTTAGTTTATATTCGCGTGCTGTGTTAACGTCCGAAGTTTTGTTGCACAACATATATATATAATAACCAATCCATTGCATTTCTCTCACAAAGCTATCTAATCAACAAGTGACGTTTCCCCCTGAACAAAAGAAGGTAGACTAATTCATTCTCGCATGCCAAAGCACAGAATCCAACTCCCACATATCCTAACTCTCCTGTGCGCCATCGCCTCCAATCTATGCAGCATCAACCCCAGTGCCTCCAACTAAACACCCCTCTCACTCTCCCTCTTCTTGAGACTAGCTTTTCTGGGTCTCCCCCGTCCAGCTTTCTTGGGCGTTTTCTTCTTCGGGTTGTAATCATCGTCTTCCTCAGGCTCGGGGAGGTCAATCGGCATAGTCATGGGATCGACTTCGTCGCCGCTTTCAGTGTCTTGAGATGCTCCTGTGTGTTGGGTAGCAACGTTACCGGTTGACTTGCCTTTCTTCTTTTTGAGAAAGCCGGACCAGTTCGTGTCGAGCATCTGGCGAAGCTGCTCAGATGGCGTGGAATTGTCGACAGGGGCTGAATGACCCAGAATTGTGGGTGTAGAGTATTGATCGGGTTGAAGTGTTGAACCACTTGCTTGGATGAATGCTGAAGGTGCTTGTTCAGGGGCGGGTATGAAAGTCGGATCCTGTTGCTCTTGTTCCATGTCATGCTGCGGAACTTCTTCCAAATACACTGGCCTTTGATGCTGGTTTGCGATGTAGTCGTACCTTGGGTCAGATAGAAACGCATCCTCAAATTGAGATGTCAAAAGCGTCTGAGCCTCCAAGCCCTGTCGAGTAAGTCTAGGCGCTCCAGACACCCTTCCAGACGTCAATGAAGCATTCCCTCTCGCCTCCTGTCTCGCAGAACTTTCTCCAGGCCCAATATCACCTCGTTGCATAGGCCGCCTCCCCGCTCCTTGACCCTCAGGCCCGACAATACCACAGATCTGCTTTTGCTTCGCAAGGAAGTGAAACCCTGAAGGACAATACGCTGAGAATTGCACTCGCGGCGGTCTTTCTTCCTCTACAAGAGTAGACACTGTTTTCCCATACACCATGGTGTAGGCTTGGTGGTAATATCTCTGAGAAGCAATTTGCAAGATGTTTCGTTGATATGGAAGAGGTTCTTCACCGAGTGGTCCTGGGATGAGGAACGTCAGGGGACCGGGTTGAGCATCTATGGTATCTTGCTCATCTTGTAGTTCAGGACCTGCAGGTTGTTTTCCTTTGTCGCGTGGCTTGTTGTCTTCATTTGTATTTTGTGTCGCGTCCGTATCGTAGCCATCATCTGTCATTGGGATGTCCTCGTCTGGGGCTTCTACCAGTGGAGGTGTAAGTCTTCTCTTGATAGTGCCCAAGAATGGATCGCCCAACTCAGGATTGATAAATGGACCAGAAGGTGGTTTAGGAGCGGAAGCTTTAGCCATGAGGCGCTCAACTTTCTCTGGGTCGAGCCAACCGAGCTCAAACGAGCCCATCATCTGTTGTTTGTCGATAGCATCCTGTAGGAACTCCCACTCAATATCCAGTCGAAGAAAGTCAAGCAAGCCATTTCCTGTGTACTGTAAGAATTCCTCAACTACCCCAGAGATTTTCAATCCCTGTAGAAACTCAACGCCTTTGTGTTTGTCTTCGTCTGAAACTTTATCAGTGCAGAGAAGAGGACGATGTTCCCGTAGGAGCTCTGCGACAGTTTGTCTCTTCTCAAGAGCGTGTGCAAGAAGCTTGGCGTTGGGAATCTTTTCAACCCTTTCTTCCCAGGACTGCCACGTGCAATATTCACGAAGGTAGATCTCCATGAAGTCCTTGACCTGTTGGCTGCTGAGATGTAAGATGAGACTGGTGACTTTTGCGAAGCGGTTGTTGTTGCTGAAAACTCGGAGTATAATCCACTTCACGCCCCAAGAGAGATCATCCTATTGTCTTTCTTGGGATTGAGGTGTGATGTTGTTGAGATATTCCATGGTAGTGGTGTCGAGGTTGAGTATTGAGGACGCGTCGTGAGATCGGTGCCAGGTCGAAAACAACTCAGTATTCAAGATGAAGATAGAAAACTTCGAGACCATACTATCACTCCAAATAGGCCTTGGTGTAAGCGATGAAAGAAAAGTGTTTATCAGGGATGAGTGGTAAGGAGGTGAGAATGTTTGAGTTGAAGTGTGTGGATGAAGGACGCAAAGGATGGGACCAAAGAGACAGCCTAGACGGACAACTTACAATCCTGTGCCAATCCCTAATTCACACCTGTTCACCAATCACGATGATTGAAGTACTGGTTGTCCCATCAGAGCCGAGTTGTCTTTTCACTGGCCAGCTGTCTGACAGCTGTCAGTGACGGGATCGCCAATAGTGTAATCAATCAGCTCATAATTTTTCAGTAACCGATGTTAGACATTAATTTCTTTCATCCTTTATGTGTAAATGAAAAGTGTTGCTTTCTTTATGATAACAAAGAGTCTTGGTTAGGCATGGGTGAAGTCAAGAGGACACTGTTGGCTTTCAGACATTCTCAGTGAAAGAGAATTGAGAGCAGGCACGAGTCCCTCCTGGTCATGACTTCACCAAACTACACTACTTGAAAGGTCTAGTATTTATTCAGTCTCGGGAAATAATCCTGCACAGGGTGTGCTCGTAGCTCCTTGATCTAATTAGTCTTTGTTTCACCCTTCAACAGAAGCGGAGCATGTACAGTTTCAAGACAATATCATTAAATTGAAGTCTAGCTCTATAAGCAATACAATCCAGAACCTTTAACCTTTTCTGAGACGACTAACAAACAAGGAAACAAGATAAACAAGTCCATTTCCTTGAATGCATCAGCTATAAAAAACTGCCAATGCCAATAAATATACAGGGTATCTGAACCAGTCCCAACGCCATGCCTTTTCACTCTATCTCGAGTCAATCAGTCCGTGATCTTTACATATCCACGAAAGGCACAAACGATCCTCGTCCATTAAACCGATCCTGATCCAGCGCGAATCCTCCCTTGTCATCAGGGACCTCGCTCGTGTCCATCAAATCGTCGATATGTCGCTTCGTGTGCGTGGCGGTGAGGGGTACAACCGGCTCCATAGCAACCTGTGAACGTGCCCGTAGAATATCCTCCCAGCACTGAAGCTTTCGCTTGATGTCCTCGTCGAAAGAGCAGCAGAATCTTTGGATGCTGATGAATTGAACTGCGGTAATCATGTCCTTCCCAAAGACTGCCATGATGTATGCTGCGGCTATGGCGGCTGATCTGTCGTTGCCAGTCTCGCAGGTGATGAGGACTTTGCCGCGGCGGAATGAGCTGGGATCCACGAGGAGTTCGCCGTTCTTGTTTCGGCCCTTGGCTTGACTGTGATACACCGATAGAAGATGGTCGTTGATCAGACGAATGATGTTGGGGAATGAACTGATTAGTTTATCGTAGCCTTCCAGATCCACGTATTGAACCGCAATGTTGAGAGCCTTCGCAGCTTTCTCAATACTCATGAGCTTCACCCCCGCCATGCGCGCATCCCTCGTAACAACAATCATAGTGATACCCTCTTCCTGCAACCACTTAATATCCTTGGCGATGCTATTGGGGCCAAGATACAAAAAGTCCACTAGCTTCTGGGCATCACGTCGCTGCTCGTAGGACCAATCTGCAGCGCGGTCCGTCGCGATCTGCTGCATGTTTTGTGTGATGATCTTGACATCGTGGGCCGTCAACTGACTCGAATCGACCTGTTCGTACGATGGGAGGAGTATAGGTGCAGCGGAGACTCCGCATTGTCCTGTCGGTGGGATGTGAATGAATGGCGGGCTGGGTGCTCGACGGACGTAGGGTGCAGATGGCACGGCGTTGTTGGTGAAGGAGGGGTGAGGACCGCTCGACATCTCCATTGTAATGTTTGTCGCGTGATAAACACGATCCAGTGAATTTTTGTAATGTTGGTTTATCAGTGTAGAAGCTTTTTGTGGTACGAGAGAGATTGTCTAGAGAGGAGCATCGGGGAGTTGGGAGACTGAAGATAAAGGTTGGAGCTAGAGATGTCAGCGTGAAAGAAAGTGGAGAGCCTCGCTCAGGATGCCCACTCTAAATAGGCTGCTGACAGGGGTCAATGCTCTTGAATGACGACAAGTGGAGCAATCCGGGAGCCCTACGGTCCCTGAAATTCTAGATTCAGGAGTCACGTTCAATTGGCTATACTCTCAACAAACAACCAACAGCGAGATGAGATGATCTGACTCATAGGTCAAACGTAAAGTCAATTACGAGGACAAAGACATTCCATAGGCTGCTGACTGAGATTGTAGGCGGCTTTTTAACTTTGCGAATAAAGTCGAGATGCCTAAACTCTACACGCACCATGTCTCAGAATAGCATCAGACAAACATGTTGCAAACACTCATATGAAACAAAGGCACGTGTGGAAATTTACCATGATATGCCATATACGCATTCTCTATCGTACAACTATGGTGATACATTGTTCTAATAATAAAGTTACATCCAATCCATCTCTATACAGTCCCAACCCAACGCCGGTTCATATGCCATGTCATGTACTATACAATCATCCTGACGTCGGAGCAGCTGCCTTCCAATCCAACTCATCTCCGATCGGTGTATCATCCGACTCTTGCTCAAGATTCTTAAGATCTGTTTCTCCCAGCTCTTCACGCGATGTTGTTGTCTTGCGAGCTTCCATTCTGTTTCGAGATCGGAAGCCCTTGAGGTCGGATTCTGTGAAATCAAGTCTCTCCAGTGTATCGATCAACTTTTCTTCAACGAGGGATCGAACGTGGAATGCTAGTACTTGATCACGGAACATACCGCTGAAACGGTAGGATAGCCAGATATACTGGTTGATAGCAGCGTGCAGTGATTCAAGTCTGTGAAGATACTCCAACGACGTGCCCTTGAACGTCTTGAAGTCGATCTCAAGGTTCTCCAGAGGAATTTCTTTAATCTTGAGAAGTTCGCCATCTTCGCTGTTGGCGACAATCCTGGCGAGGGCTCGAAGAACAGGTACTGCGTTTTGAGCTCGTGAATTTATAGGTAAGTTGGTGAACGTAAGTCGATCATAGATCGTCAGTGGGATATCCTGGATGTGATCGGCAACCTCAAGCTTATCGGGAGAGATGTGGAGTCTGTACTGTTTGCTCACAGACGCTAGCTCTCGAATGCGCATGAGAATGAATGATAGAGGTGTTCCCTTGGGGAAATATGTCGAGAAGCGCTCGACAGCTGCAGCTGGGGGAGCAATGTACGCAGCCTCGATGTCATCGACATTAGCGTCAAAAGCTCGATGTACCGACTTGAGATCCTGGTTATCCATTGTCGTGACATAACCAACCTTTCTCTCCTCCTCAACAGCAGTGTCGGCATTTGGCCCTGCTTCAGCGGCGTTACGAGCAGTTCGATATCGTCCAGCTCGACCACCAATCTGCTTCAACTCAGGATACGTGAGCATTCTATTATGACTTCCGTCATATTTGGCGACTGATTCAAGAATAACTCGTCGAATTTCCAGGTTCAGACCCATACCGATAGCGTCACTGGCAACGATAAAATCGTAATCGTTGTCGGGGTCGTTGAATAGCGCTGCTTGCTGAACGCGCACTTCAGGTGGTAAAGATCCGTAAATAATCGCACATCGTCGTCCGGTTTTCTTCTCGATCGTCCGTTTCAATGCGTGCAAGTTCAAACGACTAAATGCGACAATCGCATCTCCCTTCTCGAGAAGGCTGTAATCACCGTCCAGAGCATCATCCATGGGTTCCAAAGGACTAAGACGATCATATCGATGCACGATGCACTTATCGCCAATAGCTGCGCAAATACTCTGGAGCAGACTCACAGTTCGCTCTTCACCACAAAGATGAACTTCCTTCGCTTGAACTCCCAACAGCGCAGTTGTCCAAGAGCTTCCACGATCCGGATCAGCTATCATCTGGATCTCATCAATGACAGCAACATCGAACCGATCATTGACGGGAACCATTTCAACCGTACAACTCGTGAAGTACGTGTCCGTGTGCTCCGGCAAACGAACTTCCTCTCCCGTCAACAGCGCGCACGGCAATCCCTTAGCCGTAAGTCTCTGATAAACCTCGTTCGCTAGCAGACGTAAAGGACCAGCATAAACTCCACGCTTGGAATTCTCCAACGCTTTCAGTGCTCTATACGTCTTTCCAGAATTCGTCGGTCCAACGTGAACATGGATCGTGCGCTGCATAGCTCTCGTCGCAGGGAACCATTCATAAGGGAACCGAAAGTCCAAAAGCCGCTTATGGCTCTCCTCCAAGCCCTTTGAGAAGCGCTGTCGAATGAGAAATGACTGGAAGGAGTACTGAAGCTCGTTCGTAAGACCCTTGAGATCCTTCAAGATGAAAGCGTCGCGCAGATTCCAGAATAAGGGGTTCTTGACTCGATCGGTGATGTTCTGCTCGGCCATGTCGAATGCTGAGTCAAGTACGTTCATGAACATGGAAGCCTGTTGATGAAGTTCATCCTCTCCTACTCCCGCAGCAGACACGGCTGATTTGCTAGTGTTTTTCATGACATCTTGAAACTTCATCAAAACCGTTGATCGGAACATTCCATGTCGACCACTTGGCTTTTTGTCCATGCCAAATCTCATTCTCTTTTTATCATTTCTGGCATCGGTTCTGGTCACCTAAAATTGGTAAGTATTTCTCCCAAAAATAAGAAAATAAGAACATACTGGCTTTAGAGGAGGTTCAGGCTTCTTCTCTCCAGTCTTCTTTGCTTCAAACTTATTCGCTTCAAATTTCCTCTTGGCTTGGTACTTCACAGCGTATGCCCGTGAAAGTCTCGGTGATGTTGATATCGTCCTTCTTGTCACCGGAGCTTGTAAAGCTCCAGCCCGGAGTAAAAAACTCATTATGAAAATACAAAGAGTGAGCCAAACATGCTCCTCTTGAAAACGAAAAAAAAAAGATCGTCAAATGACCGTGTCTATTTGCACGATGGCGAATGCGACTGAGTCTCGCCATCATATGAAAACCCGTCTCAAAAAATTCCCATGAGACGGAGATTTGTTCCGCCGGGCTCCGTGGGTTCGCAGGAGAGTGGGGAATGACGATGAGACGCCGCGACCAGAGTCGTCATTGTAGACTTGTTACTTGACTTGAACTTTACTTGGGTTAATTATCTTGGTTACCTTGCTTCCATTTCTTTCTGCAGCCTCGTCTTGTGGTTTCATCTTGAATCGCCGTAATCTTCAACACCACTCAATCACTTCATCAACACTCAGACTCGGACTCGCCCATCATGGCGTCGTCATCAACTCCAGCAACTCCCCTACTCTAGTCCGTCAAACATCACCATTATCGACAAACGCAGCTAACAATCTACAGCTCCTGTATCGCGCACAATACCACGATCCTCTCAGAATGCACAACATCAGCCTCCTCCCAAACCTCATCCCTCGCCTCCCTCATCCTCCCCAAGATCGAACATACAAACCCTCAAAAGCTCACCTACACCCACGGCCAACACCAAATCCACTATGTCTCCGAATCTCCCTCTGAACATCGCGATTACCCTTCCGCAGGCGGTCTAACGTTCCTCGTCATCGCCGACTCATCTCTCGGCCGTCGCGTACCATTCGGTTATCTCTTCGAAATCCGCAAGCGCTTCCTTCAGCAATTCCCCGAGAGCACTGATTTCTCCGACATGCCCAACTACGGCGCTGCGTCATTCAATTCGGAACTTAAATCTCTGATGATCGAATACGGAACTACAAGCGGAGGTCGCGACGACGCTATTGGAAACGCCAAGCGCGAGATCGACGATGTTAGGGGAATCATGACCAAGAACATTGAGAGTCTTCTTGAACGCGGTGAAAGGCTGGACTTGCTGGTTGACAAGACGGATCGTCTCGGTGGTAGCGCACGAGAGTTCCGCGTGCGCAGTCGTGGCCTCAAGCGCAAGATGTGGTGGAAGAACGTCAAGCTTATGGCACTCTTGGCCCTCGTAGTATTCCTCATCATCATGGCTATTGTGATCGCTGTCAAGAATGGGTCTGGTTAAGGTAGGGTTTGTGAGCGCGGAGCCATTCCTTTGTATTATTTCCTTCTTGTTGAAACTGTGTATTTTCCTAGGCGAACAGATGGGACGGACAACCCGGGCAAAAGGGTATAATTATGCAACAGAGGCCTCTTTTCAATCAAACTGATACCCCAATATCAATCAATCCATCTCTCAACGTTGTCGTAATCGTGAAAATGTGTCGTAACCATCCACCACTCAAAACTCTTGGCGTCTCATCCTTTGTCGCTAGGTATTTCATCATCCAAATGCATGAATTAAATCGTCGGTTTTGTCTCCGATCCTCCATTTGTTGTTTTCAAAGCTTCGGTTTTCTTCTCTCACTTTCTTGATAAACATATCCCAACGTCACAGGACTAACAACCGATCCCGTAGCCAAAGAAGTCGGAGCTCTTCGAAATCTGTCTGTGAAAAATGCCGGGTGTAGCGAAGAAGCGCAAGGAACAGGTTTAAGCGGCGGCGGTTGCGTCGCCGGAGGACAAGCAGCGCCCATCTCGATATTTTTTGAATGGCGAATAAATAAAAACAAAGACTAAATGACGATGAGTTATCACATTCTCTGAGATTTGGGGGACGTAGTATTAAAGAGGCACGGTAGATATCTTACCTTGCGCCGAGGTCACTGTTGATCTTTCTCCACGTGCTTCGGTAATCACACCGATGACCTTATTTCTAGCAGCCGGAATGGAAGACTCGGAATTGATGATGACGGAAGAGCCCACCGTAGCGTATCTCTCTTGAAACAGGACCAATTGATAAGTCCGGGGAATCGGGGAGACATTTACCGAGAAGCGGGGAGCCCTGTATAACATCGAGATAGTAAACCTTGGTAATGAGAGATAGACTGTTCATTCATTCATACGACACACTATAATAATGCAATAATACGTCATACGCACGCTCACTATAAACTAACCAATTCACAATCCCATCCCTCAACTCCAGCGCCCGTAGTCCAGCCATTCCCGTAAGAGGCA